CAGAGCTCTGAGGGAGGACAGTGGAAGTACTGATGACCTGTGACCAGAGGCTTATCAGTCCGGACCACCTCGAGGCGCGGACCGGATTCCCACAGTCCACTTGCTCTGTCCAGCGGCCGCTCACACAAGGTCGCTCTGCACCAACACACACAGACACACACACGCACACGCACACGCACACACACACACAGCCTGCAGGGAGAACTGTGCCTCCAAAACAACTGCTGCTCTTTTGACAATCAGAAAGTTTTGATTCAGGGCAAACCATTGAACCACTATATTTACATTTGTGTGGTGAGTGAATTTACTGGTTTTGACTGCTTCTCTAAATTATTACAATCAACTGAAAATATTTACTCTATGGTATTCCACTGATAAAAGTACATTAATAATACCAGAATCAAACAGATTTTTGCTTTAGATTTCATAAAAAAGTAAGCACTATGTCATTTTTATTTTATTTTTATATTTTTTATCGTACCTATAATGTCTTTTTGTTTTTTACATGTTTGCACATTTCCTGTCTATTTGCACACCCTGAATGATCTTGTTGAAGCCAAATATAATAATGTAATATGTAGATGAGCTGTATATGTAAAAAAAAAACATATATATATCTTATATCTTATTTTAATATGAACATGATAATCAGACCTATATGCACCTAAAATCTAGAACAATCTTCCTGAAGGAGTGAGACAGCCCAATACAGTCAAGCCTAGGCTGAAAACAGTTTTAGCCAATGACTGATCATCATCAGACAGGGGATCATCAGGTGTTGTTTTATATTGTTGTTTTTAAAATTGACTTTTGTATGTGTGTTTTACAGTGCGTTTTAATTTACTGACTGCGTTTTAATTTACTGACTGTTGTTTTTAAATGTTGTCAATGTGACGCACGTTGAGTTACATCCTCTATGAACTGTGTTTAAGAAATGCACTTTGATTGATTGATAATCTGTAGAATTAAGAAAGAATTGGTCATTTTGAACCCTCTTCAGCCAAAAACCTAGTAATTTCCCCAAACATTGCAAAAAATCTTTTCATTTTTGGAAAGAAGATTTACAGACAACAAAAATGTGGTTGTAAAATGAAATGTTTTTTTATAATACTTTCAATACTTTTCTAGCTGCACTATTTATTATCCTGAGCATTAGTTTATTTCCTCACACTTTCAAAAGTTTGAGGTCATCAAATATTCTCTTATTGTAAAAAAGCACCATCTATTTTGTTTCTGAAGAGGATGTCAGGAGATGAATCTGAAATCCAGTCTCCACCTTGTTACAGTGGTGAAGTGTAAACTAGAGGGAATACCAAGGCACCTTTCCAGTGAGATGATAAAATTGTGTTCGCTCAATGTGTGAAGTCAACGACAAGAAAACTTTTGTTCGCACATGAATCAAACTGTGAGATTTCATGAAAAAACATTCTGTCTGTACGGCAATGTAGATTTGATTTCGAGTGTGTTATCCTTGAGAAAGACCAGATCGCTTTCATGCAATTTGTCTCCCCAATTTTTAACTTACAATTATAAATATGTATTATTTTGCTTGAAACTGTCATTTAAAAAACCTGTGACAAAACACTTAACTCAATATATTTTAGATTAAATTAATAGCACTATAAATGCAGAGGAAGTTCCATTTGTCGTATTTGTTGCATAACTTCCTGTCCCAAAGATAATCATTTCCCAAACTCATCTGATTTTGGGCCAACTATGCATCATTTCCGTTCATTATCAAACTTTTATAGTGGCAATGTTGCTTGTTTTTTCCCCACCACCCTTTTAGATGATTCCAAAATATATTCTGAATTTACGAGCGCTCACTCAGCCCTGGCCCTCATCCTTCAGCGCGCCTCTCCAATACTTACCGACATATTAACTGTGTTTGGGCAAAAATGGCCATTAGCATGTTTAGCAGGGTTCTATTAGCTTTAATTATGCCACGCACACCGCTGCTTGCCGAGTGCATCGTTATAAACCTCAAGGACCATTTCCCTTCAGCTGAAACACACAAACGTGGCCTGCGAAGGTTACGAAGCTCCAGACTTGTTTTTTTTTTTGTAAAATTCAAGCATCTGTCCTTGGAGTCCGGGCCTCATTTGCCCATCCTATGCACGCGTGATCGAGTCTTTGGAAATCTCTCTTGAGCTGAAGTAGGAATGACAACAAGTCTGCCCCGTTAAAGCTGGGGTACCTAATATTGCACTACTGGCTAGACTGTAAATAAGCAGCAAATTTTGAAAAGAAAGTACGTTTTTTCTAAATAGACGCCGTGGGAATGTCGGCAGCAGAACGGTTATGGACAAAGCAACGGAGATGTTTTCTTCCTCCCGGAAAAGATGAAGTCAGTACAGCGTGTTCACCTTAACTGTGAGCTTCCACGTCGGGACCATAGACTGTAAAAATGTCGGGAATCATATGCCATTATAGAATCCTTTTCATTCATTCATTCATTTTCCACCCCTTTTATAGTCAATTTCTGGGTTTAGGTATAAACTAGCATCACAGGCATTTCTGGGTAAACTAGCATCCTATCGCTACTAAATGTGATAGAGTCAAAATAAGTCTTGGAACTCTGCTCTGACAACAGCCCAACTCCAACACAATAAAAAATAGATGCCGCAGGGTTCTAAAAAAAATGAAAAAGTAGCATCTTATAGTTTGACATTTATGGAAACTGTTTAATAAAATCCATCTCTGAACAGTTTTGTTATGATCAATAGTTTCCACATGTGGGTTTGGTCTGGTTTTCAGACTGACACTTTGAAAAATGTCATACCTCTTGGTCATGAGTTGTTTACCTGCACTGTTAAATGTCTATTGTGTGTATTAATTTACAAGAATTATATCAAGATTCTTTTAATGCATGTCTTCATACGTTTTTTGTTACTTTTATATAACTTGTTTGAATCATATATATGCTATACAAACCAAGTTTACCTACTTACTTATATGCCAAAGCAAATTCTTAGTTTGTAACTTCCTCTCCCCACTCAGATCTCACAACATTATGATGTGATCTGATTTCTTCACAAACTGTTACTTTTAAAGACTGTTTCTGTGGAGACAAACAAAATATATTATACCTGCAAAAAATAAGTTGAGTAAGTACACCCGCGTTAACTATAATCAGTGTTATTTTCAATAGAAGTGTGACAAACCAAAGAGAAATAAGACTTTCTGTGCACTGGGATCTGCCATCTGCCAGTGTGATAACTTGGATGCCATGGACATTCCAGGCAGAGCAATAACATTACAGAGACAAGCAGATGGTAGGCATTTCACTAAAAAACTTAAGTGCACCTTAGACCTGTAAAAGTGACACTTGAGGCATCTTTACAAATCCAAAACTGTGTCGCGTTGTCCCCGGAGATGCAGTTTCATCGACAACTAGGGCAAACCTCCAATGTTTCACACCCTTCTAATAAACTTCTTACCATAAAAAATACAGGACATTGCATGGAGGAGGTCTTCTGTTACCAAATCCCATCGCACGTCGCTAATTAAATGGCCTTTAAGATAATATTATCCTGACCTTGTTTTGAGTCATTGTTGCTTCATTCTCTTATTTTTCTGGCTGCGCGGCTGCCTTGAATCGCAGCTTCTAAGTGGCTGGAATTATACCACAGAGGACGTCATTTGCGGTGTATTAATTAAAGCATGGATTGGTATTGCGTTGTTGTTCATGCAGCTGCACCGATGTAGCCTCAACATGATCTTATTTAACCAGGATAGCCCCACTGAGATTTCAGAATCACTTTTTCAGGGGACTCAAGAAATTAAATTAAAAGTTATAGCTGAATAATAAAAAAGAACTAACTAATGTGGGGGGAAAAAACGAAATAAAACACTCAATAAGTAAGAAAAAAAATATGTTTGTTATGTTGTTATGTTCCAGTCCAATTTCCAGATATCCTGTTATGGGGAATTTTACAAGCTGTGAGTCATAATTATCAACATAACACATGAGGCTTGATATATCTCACTGGAGTAATGAGTTTTTCCAGTATTAGTTTCACATTGTAACTTGAATTAGAAAAATAAATCCACTTTTGAACAATATTCTAATAATACAGAGGCCACCTGTATATTATAATCTGTCTGTAAATTAAAAAATATGTAAAACTCTTCTTATTTTATTAGAAATGTGGCCTTTTAGTGCATTAATAAAAAAGGGCATGTCTTAGGACCAACCATTTCTTTCTCTGACATACACATTTCTGCATAGATGCTTTCCCCATATATACAAACGGACTGAATACACCAGGGTATGATTCCACAGCTGCAGGAGAAATAACCCAGAAATACTCAACACTATAGTGCATCACTCGAGGCAAACCGTGAAATGAATGACAAAAATACAAAATCTTACTTCAACTGTGAATTTTACTCAATGCAATAATCCCAGATCATGTTTTCTAAGAGCAAGCAATTGTAAACATATCAGATGGTTGGACAGACTGCTCACAGCGACACTGGATAAAGACAAGTCCAGCCTCTTCACATCGTCCACAGTGCATGAAATCACCCTACAAAGATTTGGTAACAGTTATGAAAAACTTCCCTCACCTGTTTTGACTAAGCATGGTTGGTGTCTGCCCCGGTCCTAGCTATGGCACATTGACAATTCCTTAACTTTGATTGTCTCTGACTTTGACCGGGTATCACAAATAGACATAATAATCAATGAGCTTGTTTTCATTCACTTTTACAGACAGAATGAGGACTTGAAAACATTTTAGTAAGCTTTTGAACATTCAGAAATCCACTTCTAAGACATTATAGATCTGTTTCCCTCAATATTCAAGTCATATTTGGAGGCCTTGCATCATCAACCCCGGTAAAAAAGTGGTCTCATCAAACGACAAAAAATACATTCCCAAAGTAGCCAGTGGAGCCCCTTAGACACAGAAACATAAAGCTTTTTAATCCACAATAAGAAGAAACGGCACCCGATGTAAGATGGAGTTTAAATTAAAAAGGTCTTTGGTGGAGGTTCACAGTTTGGAGTGTGTCAGTAGTGATTTGGTCACGTCCTTGGCCTCTCCGGCTGTCCTGACCCTTTCGTATCCCAGCACGGACATGGCATGGTGGCAGTAGTCCTCCACCTGTTTGATCTGCTGAATGCTCAGAACTGTCCTCCACGCGCTCGCGGCCAGTGTGGCGTTCCTCGAGGACACTATAAACGGTTTGGAAGAAGAACTGGACCCGTTGGTCATGTTCAACGCAAACACCTCCATGTCGTGGTTGGCGGTGAGGTTGGCGAAGTTGTAGATGTTTCGCAAAATTTTCACCGGGCTTTCCACCAAGTCCTCATAGCGCACCACCATGTACTTCCCCTTGAGCCAGCTGGGCGGGTTGAGAGCGCTTCGTAAAGTTCTCGAAATGCGGTCGCAGATGACTTCCATGGCTCCTATTGAGTGGTAATCTGAGCCATCTTTCTTATTGGCCTTGTGACCCGGATCCACGAAGGGTATCCGCCGCAGTTTAGGGTCCCGACTACGCACCACTTGTAAGTTCTCCCGGATCAAACCGTGTCTAGATTTGATCCGGGAATTGGCCACCGCCCTCGGGTCTCGGACCAAGTGAATAACTTTTAAATCCAGTGAGGGGTCTTCCATGAGCGGAGCCAAAACATTGATGTCCAATATACGCACTCCTTTAATGACTATAGTGTTGTACTTTAGGCACTCATCTTCCAGCAGTCTAAGGCTTTGAGGGGGGCACTTTTTACACACCTTATCATCCACCATCCCAACCACCTCCTTTCTGTACGCAGAACACAGAGGATAGGAGCACACCACTTTATTGATGGTGGCTCCAAATAGTCCCAAGGAGGTGAAATTCTTCCCCCCAGGGCTGTTGTAAAGTTGAAAGACAGACAGATCACAGCGATACAAGGAACTGAGCATGTCCCTCGCTGCTCCCTGCAACGACACGGCGTCACCTGGATACAGTTTCTGCCAGATGTGCCACATGGGCTCGTACAAGAAGAACACTTCAGGGTTTTGGTTAAAAAGCTCACCGAAGAACGACGAGCCGGACCTCCAGGTGGTCAGTACATAGATGAGCTGTCTCTTTTTAGCCAGCGAGGGCCTGTACAGGAAGCGAATGTCAGATCTGCCTTGATATGTGGTGCTCCTCATCTGGTGATTGCACTGCTGAGGCTCTTTAGTCCATTTATAATTAGCCAAATTGAGCATGGTGAGGACCAGCAGTAGGAAATAGGCAATCAATAAGACGATCCTCTTCTTGCGCAGGACTTTCATCACGATCCCAGGCTGTGCTATTATCTTGGTATGATTCCTGTAAGTCTTGAGCTTCCTCCCAAAGCCAGCATCCTTCTCCCAGGGTGCTGACAACTTGTGTGGTGGATGGTACGGTTTTCCTCTCATCTGTTCCTTTAGAGAGCGGCTGTGCCTCTGCACGCAAGGCTTTCACGTTGGCATCAACAACACAGGCTGAATGATGTCTGGAGGCAGTCCTGGAGAAGTGGTGACCAGCAGCAGACGCAGCGCACTGGTTAATATAGTCACCACTGGTTCCTAACACACAACACGACGTACTGTTTCGCCTGCACTGCGCAATGGTCTTCATAGGAGGAAAACACCACAGCGTTGCTTTAAGTCCTCACCAAACAGTGCAGTGGTCTTGCGCCTCAGAGCCGCATTCAAAACAAAAAGCAAGGAGTCTTCATCATTGTAACAGACGCCCTGTTTGTCCACGCTCAGCCGAGGCATCCCTGCGCACTTCTCCTCTTGTGCATCCTCAAAAACGAGCATCGCTTGCAGACGCGGTCCTTCTTGGTATTTATCTGGCGCGTAATCTTTCCACAACACACGCTCTAACCTAACGCGCAAATGGCCTTATCCACACTCACGCTTTTCTCAGAAGATTTCTCCTTTATCCAGGCTCCTCGCCTCTTTCAACTAACAGTAACTGGACCGTTTCAATGTAAAAAAGAGAGAAAGGCCCGCCCCGCGCAGCTCACCATTGGCTGCTCCTCTGGCGACGTGCACAGAGGGGCTACGTCATTGGCTTTGAGCGTCGTTTGTCTTCTCTCCAGCAGACTTCTGAGACACCGGGAGCCCGTGAAAACTGTGGGCATGATGCTGTTGTTGTTGTGCGTATGATCCTTTCCTTTTGTTTAGACACATAAGCGCTGCGTAATATCTATCCAACATTACGCCCTATGGGCTTTTTGAAAGCGTTCCTTATTGAACTATTGTCCTCTGGCTCTTTGTTTCATTGAGGGTCAACGGAAGCTGGGTATGCCATGGCCTTCTGCCTTCTAAGAACAAATAATAAAAAACACTTTCGTAGCTATGTCCTGGTCCTATGAAAGTTGGTCATTAAAAATGGGGGAACATACTGTTTGTCCCATAAGAAAGTATTGTCAAAAGTAACGTTTTCTGACTGAATCAGACCACAACATGCTGTATTTATCTTGTTTTTAAAAAAGTTTGAAAAGAAAAACATGGAGAGCGTTCTGTTTAGCTGTACATAGCTGCTTAATATTCTATTGTGCATGCCTTGTGCCTGTCTTTTCTGACTGAAATGTTGATCTAAAGATAAAGAAGAAAACAAATACAAGCATGTGAAAACTTGTGAAAAAAAACATTCCATTTGCTGTGGTTACTCCATCTTTAAGCATTAAACTCTGGCAATGACGCTTGTATTCAGCCGTATCCATTGAAGTTGAATCAAATAGTTATGTTTAACAGATGTCGCCTGTGAAGTGACTAATCCCAAAGACCTGTGGGTAAGTAGTAGTAGGTAATCTTTATTTATATACCGCCTTTTCACTGCACATCGGAGTCTCAAAGCGGTTTACAATTGTGATTTTTGGGAGTGGGGGTGCCAGTACAGGAGGCACATGCCAGACCTATTGTACATATTTTTAGTGGTAGGGGAAACCGGAGCACCCGGAGGAAACCTACGCAGACACGGGGAGAACATGCAAACTCCACTCAGAAAGGCCCTGGTCCAACTGGGATTCGAACCTAGGACCTTCTTGCTGAGAGGCGAGAGTGCTATCCACTCAGCCACCGTGCCGCCCTGTGGGGTCATGTGTTGGAACCACATTTCTGCTTTCTGGGATCTTCTATTCTGTATTTTTAAATAAACTGTTATAGACCTCTTTGTTGCACTATTTATGAAATCTAGAATCCATTCTGGTCAAGAACAGTCGATACAAATATTATGAACAGTCTGTTTTTCGTCCCGTGTGAGTTTTTTCAAGAGTGGGCCACATTGTAAGGCAAACCTTTGTGCACACCGCCCCCTGCTGTTAAACCATGGAAATGAAACCTGAGATGTTTATCAAAACATGAAATAAAAGTAATTACAAAATTATATTTATCTTTAAATACATTATGTATATTTTTAACATATATATCGTATTTTTTTTTTTTTTTTTTATTTATTCAGCCATGACATTATTACAATTATAATGAAAATAATAAGAACACAAATAGTTCAATTCCATTACATGTTGCTGAATAGGAGCATGTGGAAGACAAAGTATATATATATTTTTTTCCTTTACACATAACAATCTTACACTTTGCTGTAGTTATTGTTGATGTCTTTGTGTTTACCTCTTTTTTGTAGGATTTTTGAACAACCAATCATTTACCATAATTTGCAAGTACTTTTTTTAATACATTTTCTTCAACTGTACAATGGTGTTACAGGATTGTTCACAAGGATCCAGAGAGTTCCAAAGCTTAATACCTGCTGCAAGGAAACCTTTCTGTTTCAAAGTGGTGTGTGAAAAAGGCACACAAAAATGTCCTTTCCTTCTGTTACTACTGTCTGTGATTAAAAAGAATGTATTATGGATGTGCACTGGCACCAACTTGTTCTTCACCCTCCACATTGTTTGAGTAATTTTGAAGTGAACAAGATATTTGAATTTCAAGAGTTGTAATTGTGTGAAGAGATTATTTGTGTGGTCTAGGGCCTTTGTGGCAGATGATTCTTACGGCTTTCTTTTGAAGTAGATATAACTTTTCTGTGGCCATAATACTAGCATTTCCCCAAACTTCGATGCAATAGTTAAAATAAGGAACAATTAAAGTTGTATACAACAACATCAATGAATGTTGTATATTATTCTTGGGGGTTTATTGAACACAGAAAATGTTTAATACCAAAAATATCCACTCAAATCTGTATAGGGTATTGTCCAACTTATTATATGTGTGCAGTGTAATGACAGAGAATGACTGGAACAATATTGCCAGAGGCCACAGTAGAAAATAATGGCATTATTGCTATTGTTTCTATATTGGTCTTGCATTAGTATCACTGTCACACATATACCTGCCAGTGTTGACACATTTCATTAAAACATATATAGGCATATATTCCTTTTTTATCTCCAACTACTGTCTACGTTTTTGCTGCACTAAGCTGTTACATAATCCTAAAGCTGTAAAGGGAGCAGGTGGAGGCGGGGGCATGCGCACTGGGCTCTTCATCAGACAGCAGCATCAGGACCAGAAGAGGAGCCATCGAGATCCTCCCTGCAGCAAAACAAGATGGTGCTGATAAACTGGCCACACGGGAAGAGACGCATCCATGAACCAGCCCTAATTTTCTGAAACCTCTTTTCACTTGTGTTTTGGGGGGGAAGAAAGAGCGCGGGCACTACACAGGAGCGACATCCATTTTGGAGACGCCACCTCAGTGATGCTATTTACTTGAGAAGACGCGTCCAGGCTGCGCGCAAAGGCGACAGTCCAGGTCCGCCCGCGTCAGCACATGTTTCTCGCCGTGTGGTAGCCGCGTCGTAGTGGGATGCACATCAGTATCTGCTCGTATTCGCTTTCCGTGGTCATGTCAGCTCTATACCAAGGCGCGGACGCTTCCTCTCCGGATAAATTTCTGGCCTTGAAGGACGTGAGGGAAGTGAAGGAGGAAACGACGCTGGATGAGAAGCTCTATCTCCTGGCCTGCGAGAAAGGCAAGTGCATAAAAGTCGAAAATGTTATGAATTTATTGACGGTATTTAAAGCTGAGGTTCCTGACTTTCGTTTTCATCATTAACACACGTTGAGAAAGTGTCGCGTCAAATTAAAATGTGAACAAATCAGACCACAACATGTCGTCTTCTTCTCAATATAAGAAAACGTTATCCTTTGCCTTGTAAGTCACTATTTGACGCTTTGGGCTAAAACCTGATTGGCTGAGCGAGGGTGGTCCACTCTTTCTCACTGTCTGAAAAAGCTGATCTCAAGATGTGACAAAATACTTACTGGAAACTTGTCTAAAGAGCGAGGAGCTAGTTGGTATATGTTATTAGAATTTAATATTGTGTGTTTTGAAAGTTAGGCGCCCCAGTTTTAATAGTTTACAATAGTTTTTTGACATCAAGCTGCAAAGATGTGAGTCTATAACGTGCATACAGGATTTTCAAAAGCTCTTTTCCTAATCTTACAAGTACAAGTAAGTGTAAACAACCCTGAGACTAAGACCAGACGGGGCTTCCTGGTGACTTATTTGATACATCTAGACATTAAGCAGCAGCTCTGACCATATAAAGCTTATATAAACATGGACTTAACCACACGCTTCCTTTTATGGGGTTGAGCCCATTACAAATGACTGGACGTAATATAAAAATAACTCATACTGGTATTGTCTTCCCACAGGTGACTACTACATGGTGAAGAAGTTACTTGCGGAAAACCGGCATGGCGAGCTCAACATTAACTGCGTGGACGTTCTGGGAAGAGATGCAATCACCATTACTATTGAAAACGAGAATTTGGACATACTGCAGCTGCTGTTAGACCATGGTTGCCAGGTACTGAAAGCAAAATAACGCTTTTTTTTTTTCTCTCTCTCTCTTTACATTTCTGTGCTTCTTCTTCTGTTGGTGTTTGATTTGAAATGGTTTCTGGTCCAGGCCACAGATGCCTTGTTGGTGGCCATTGACTCTGAGGTGGTTGGAGCCGTAGACATTCTTCTCAATCACAGGCCGAGACGATCTTCCAAACCATCCATTGCGGTCAGTGCTTTATTCATGTCAACTTTGGCTCAGTAAGTTTTGGTAGTGGGAGTACAAGCAGTAGGCACAAAGACACCAAAATGATAAAGCACGGTGGGACTAAGGAGATTAGGGCCCTAATATTGTATAGCCCTAGTACAGTATACATACATTGTTTATCCCTAATATACAACCCTATAGCCCTAATATACAAAATTAGGGATATACTTTCTCCCGTTCACAACAGCAGTCGTCTTGGAGGACTTTAGAAAGTTGTTGATTCAATTCCCTAACAACATATACAAGAGAATCAAACCGTACAACATCCGAACACAGGAAGTACAATAATAACAAAAACTCTCATGGACGGACAGGATAATATCTCTTGTGCAGGTCCTTATCGATGGAAATCAAGATATACTAGTGTTACATGTTAGAACTTTCACTTGTCATTCTCTCCATTCACAATGAGGGTAAACTACAGCTGCCCTGGGTCAAACTGACAGAAGCGAGGCAGCCATCCCACCATCATTCATCCATGGGATCAGCCCATGTTGCATTTTCTGGGTGGTGGGGGAAACCGTAGCACCCAGAGGAAACCCATCCAGACACACGCAAACTCCACACAGCAAGGCTTGTGTTTAGGCCTGAGCATTACACATACCACCATGATGCAACTGAGCACGTATCTCCCTCTAGAGGGAAAAGTGCACATTTACCAGTAGAAGCTGAGTTATTTGAAACTGGGAATGCAAATTGTTTACTCTGACATATTTGTTATTATTATGATTTTTTTTATTTGGACTCATCTGAAGTTGTGCTCCTTGCATTTTTAGTAATAAATCAAAACTAATGAGGCACTATGAACTCAATACACACCAATAGAACCGCAAGCTCCATCTTTAAGTTCACTGTATACATTTGTAATGCCCTGTTTATTGTTAAGCAATATGGAGGTCGCTTATGCCGCAGATATATGTTTTTGCATTTGGCTCATGGTCGGATAAGGTGGAGTTAATGGCCAATGCTGTGTTAACATGAATACCATTTTGCCTCACTTGTTTTAAACTTGTGCTGTCGCGTGTGTGTGTGTGTGAGAGAGTGTGTGTGTTTATGGTTACTGTGTATTTTCATCATAACATTTCTTTATTTTTGTTTAAGCATATGTTCTGTTTGTACATTATACTTTTTGGCCTTTGTAGATTCATTTTTGTCCATTGTACGTACATTTTTGTGACATTGACGAGTATATAGACCTCAGGAAGAATAGGTACTGTCTATTTCAGTAGCTAATGGGGATCTAAATAAAAACAAACAAACAATAAGTCATCAAAATCTACAGAAAACACACATCACTTTGCCAATACTGTGTAGAATAACTGATCTGTTTTCTTTTACATGATAGAAACTGATGCAGCGGATCCAGAACCCAGAGTACTCCACCACCATGGACGTGGCTCCGGTGATCCTGGCCGCGCACAGGAACAACTATGAGATCCTGACCATGCTGCTGAAGCAGGACATCTCTCTGCCCCGGCCTCATGCGGTGGGCTGCGAGTGCACCCTCTGCAACGCCAAGAACAAGAAGGACAGTCTGCGCCACTCCAGGTAAGCCTCACTCTGCTGTCAGAACCTCAGTATGGTCACTCCAGGTAAGCCTCACTCTGCTGTCAGAACCTCAGTATGGTCACTCCAGGTAAGCCTCACTCTGCTGTCAGAACCTCAGTATGGTCACTCCAGGTAAGCCTCACTCTGCTGTCAGAACCTCAGTATGGTCACTCCAGGTAAGCCTCACTCTGCTGTCAGAACCTCAGTATGGTCACTCCAGGTAAGCCTCACTCTGCTGTCAGAACCTCAGTATGGTCACTCCAGGTAAGCCTCACTCTGCTGTCAGAACCTCAGTATGGTCACTCCAGGTAAGCCTCACTCTGCTGTCAGAACCTCAGTATGGTCACTCCAGGTAAGCCTCACTCTGCTGTCAGAACCTCAGTATGGTCACTCCAGGTAAGCCTCACTCTGCTGTCAGAACCTCAGTATGGTCACTCCAGGTAAGCCTCACTTTGCTGTCAGAACCTCAGTATGGTGACTACGACACATTCGAAATCTTGATAACTCCGCTTTCAAACTATCTTTTGTAAAATCCGTTACAAAGTTGGTGTAATCACTGAGGCACAATATTGTTTTTAACCAACAGATCCCTCGATAATACCCTCATAATATATTGTGGGGGAAAATCTAAAAAGGGTTGACCCATTTATACTCATAAAAATGTCCCGTTCATCATGAAAAGACGACACATTATTTGCTCTGTAAGCCACTGCTCTATCTGTCTGTCTATCTGCAGGGTCGCTTTGTTCTGTTTTGCAAGCCCAGGCGTTTCCACAGTGAGATAAATGAGTCAGTTTTATTCCGGTAAACAACACCAATGTCTTGGCAGAGGCTAATAAAATGACACAGATCCGATTTGATCACATTTCCTCTGCTTATTTAGACGCTACATATCTCACATTAATGCCATCTGCTGCTTGTCCAGGTTCCGGCTGGACATTTACCGCTGTCTGGCCAGTCCCTCGCTCATCATGCTGACGGAGGAGGACCCCATTTTGAGAGCGTTTGAACTCAGTGCTGACCTGAAGGAGCTGAGTTTGGTGGAAGTGGAGTTCAGGTATTTGCTTGTTATGAATGCTTGAAGAAACTACAGTATAGTTATAATATAAGTAGAGCAAGTGATCATCATAAAAAGGTGCACATTTATACAAATGTAGCCTTTTGCGGCATGAAATAACAAATAGTTAAAACATCAACAACAACAACAAAACAATTGAGAAAACTATTCAGTGAAGAGGAAAATTCATTCAAGACATTGTTGCACAAATTTCCCATTTTACTAAAACCTAAAGAAGAAATATTCTGCATTATTTATTGTCAATAAAATGACAATGAGAATGTTTGCTTTGCTACGTTTTTGAATGTGAAATAATTAAGTAGAAAGTATATGGTGATACTGAAGGTAAAAATAAAAAAATGCGCTCAGCCTGTAATTCTCTGTGCTACCACCAGAGAGAGGAGTTCATTTTGGGGTTTTTTACTAATTCAAAAATTGCCAGCTGCAAACACTTTTACATATGATTGTAAAGATTGTAATTTAACTTGAGATTCAAGATTCAAGAACTTATTTGCCATTTGCAGTAAAACCACATTGGATTAACTGTGCAAGACTTCCCCAGTGTGAATCAACAGCACACACCGGAGCTCTTGCCACAGCAGCATTTTGCCGGTGCCATGTGAGAAATTGCCAAAACTAATTTATGTGCAGTTTTGTTGTACAGTTAGAGAATACTAAACTATGGATTGTTTAAGCCCAAAATGGTGAGTGTGACATAAGCGGTTACTGAGCTGGAGGAATTTACTTTTCAATGAATACAAGTTAGTCGGAACAAAGCTTCGTTCATGAGCACCTCCCTAATGAGAAGCTAGGGGGTTAGCATCGTTCATCTATATACAGTCTATGCTCTCCTCATGCATACGACTGATCCTATCTCTTGGCTGCTTATAGGAACGACTACGAGGAGCTGGCAAAGCAGTGTAAGATGTTTGCCAAGGATCTGCTGGCTCAGGCTCGAAACTCCCGAGAGCTGGAAGTCATCCTCAATCACACGTCCAACGAGGATCACGTCAACAAACGAGGCCTGATGGAGGAACGCATGAACCTGAGCCGCCTCAAGCTCGCCATCAAGTACAATCAGAAAGAGGTGAGGCCACACGGCAGCTCTGTCGGGTCTGCGGCCGGTTTTTAGATCAGAACGAAGGCTGCGGAGGAAATCAGGAAGCAGAACATTGACAGAGGTGATGATGAATATGCAACGTTTATTATAATGTAGCAAATAACTAGAAGCTGATAATAATAATGCTTCTGATTGGCTGTTGGACGACACATCTGCTCTCGTGCTCCCTCCACATATTTTGAGTTATAAATGAACATGGCAGAAGTTACTGTACGTCCCCCAGGCGCTGCTCCACTCAAACACGCCTCAAACATCTCAAAGTGAAAAGGCCCAGGGTCAAATGTACAGCTGGAGCGTGTCTGTAAAAGCACAAGACATCTATCAGAATGAACTGTACTGTAGTTTACCCAAGTTTCAATGATTTTACTGCACTAAGCCTTCTCCCATGCAATTATTGTGTTCTATGGCAGAATCAATCATGTCAACAAGATACAATGAACTTTAAAACTTACCATAAACGCTTAATTTATGGTTTTATCCAATGTTTATTTTCTCTACTCTTAATGTTAAAGAATGAGAAATTACAAAGTTTGAAATTTAGCGGTATATTATAATACATTTATCCAGGAGCTAAACTGCATTTCCAAATTAAAATAGTGTGTGCCATTTTAGTGGTTTGATTCTATCTCTGCATTTTCATAGATCCATTTTCTCCTGTTTTTATTTTCGATACTTTGCACACACACAAACATGTGGCAAACATAACCCCTTAATGCAGCCCAACTTTACCCAGACTCAACCTCGTACAGTCCCAGGAGAAATTGAGTTTTAGCTTGAGCTGAATGCATCGAAAACATGTGAACTGGTCTTTGACTTCAGTCGCAATAGTTCTCATTTGCCTGTAGTTATCGACAACTCCCAGGTGCAGATCGTAGAGGAGTGCAAGTTTCTGGGTTTAACTCTGTCTAACGACCTGAAATGGGTCAAAAACACTGACCGAGTCGTTAAGAAAGCTCGTCAGCGTCTCTACTTTCTGCGTAAACTTAGAGAATTTACCACTAACTCTAAGATTGTGCTTAACTTTTATCGCTGCACCATTGAGAGTTTACTTGTTGGTTCTGTGTCTGTGTGGTTTGGAAACATCACAGATAAAGAAAAGAGAGCTTTAAACAAGGTGCTCCGCTCTGCAAAGAGGACCGTGGGCTGTGAACTTCCTGTTCTGGAGGTTCTTTATAAATCCAGACTTTTAAACAGAGCTCTTAGAATTATCAACAACTCTTCTGGCCACCCTGGGAAAGCCATGTTCCAGCTTGTTCCCTGTGGCAGAAGATATCGTTCTCTGAGATGCAGGACATCTCGTTACGCTAACAGCTTTTTTCCACAGGCTGTTATCAGTGTGAACAGAGCACTTTAAAATGATCTTGCACTTGTATAGAAACTGTTTTAGTCGATCGATATCACAGTGGCAATTGTTTACTGTGTATTTTTTGTTTTATTTCTGTACTTTTAATGTTGTGTTATGTCTGTACTTGTCTTGTGCACAATGGGACTTTTGCTAATGTATTCCAAAGTGGTTTTACTGCAAATGGCAAATAAAATGAATCTGAATCTGAGTTTTAGCTGCTTGGTTTTGATTCCTTGTCCTTCTCTTGCTACAGTTTGTGTCCCAGTCCAATTGCCAGCAGTTCCTGAACACCGTATGGTTTGGGGAGACGGCCAGTTACCGCCGTAAGCACACGTGTTTGAAGATCGCCACGGTGCTGAGTGTGACCGTGCTCTGGCCCCTGCTCTCCGTCTGTTACCTGCTGGTGCCTCGCTCCAGGGTGGGACAGATCATCCACACGCCCTTCGTCAAGTTCATCATCCACAGCGCCTCCTACCTGACCTTCCTGCTGCTGCTCAACCTGTACTCGCTGGTCTACAACGAGGGCATGAAGAACACCATGGGCCCCGCGCTGGAGATGATCGACTACCTGCTCATTCTCTGGATCATAGGTCAGTGGTGCGTCAGACGGAGATTCATTTGAGAAGTGTTGTTTATTTGATTTTCAGTCAGCTCAATAGAAAGTCTGGAGTCTGGATTTTAAATGGTTGAAATTCAGGCTGTGTTCACACTTGTTGGTCTTGTTCACTTTAAAGAGACCTGATGTAATATTCACATTCAGTGGTTGAATAAAAGTCAAATGAAAAAATTAAATTACAATCCAAATCTTTTTGCCACAATCTCCTTGCCCGTGACAGATGTAAGTACTGATAACGGCAATCACAAAGAAATGCTTGGATAATTGGAAACAGTAAAATTATAGACATCATGTCTACCATTTTATTTTGAATTAATAATATTTTTTGTCATGTTTTGACGGACATGAGATAAGGGCGGTCATAAATTGTGTTAATTGATGGATGATCCAGAGTTCTAATATAACATTATAATATACAAACATTGTGAAAAAGTTAAAAGAAAAAATATTGCCAGTCATTTCAAAAAGTGATTAAATGCAAAGTCTTAAAATATCTCACTCTTTGAGGTACATTTCTTCTCAAACTGGATGCTAAACAGATGCAGAGTTAAATAGCGTGTGTATTATCCCTGGACATGTGAGCGATGAGTAATTTTACATCAATGTTAAGGGTGGTAATGACTTTTGCACACACACAAACCCTTTATAAACACACCCCTATTTGCATGCAATGAACACATGGGTAATACAGTATATGTTATCCACTTCAGGATTCACAGCACCAAAACCAAGCTTTTGTTTTGATGTTGTTGCACTGTTTTTGATTTTTGCTGAGCCGTTCCAATATACTGTGCTCTCCAAAAGACAAAAAGCCAAAGTAGAAACACAATAATACATAGGACAAAGGGATTGAGATTGGGATTGTCTCTGGGGAAGTGCCTCCTCCTCTGCTGAGAACCCATTAGGCTGAGCGCTCGATGGCTGTAATGGGCCAGACCTCTGCAGCTGTGAGCCGGCATTTCTGCTTCCTCCGGCTGAACAGCGTGCATCACACATTACTGTTTGATAGAGAAGTCTGAGCAATGCTTCAGGCGTTTTAAGGACATGTGTCTTTGCTGTTCTTTCCCTGCTATCCTCCAGAGAAACATGCCTCAAATGAACGGGAAAACAGACACGTTGTTACCGCCTGTGCGTCCGGGTGTTTATGCCTCTGGACGACTGTTTCCCCTGTGTCTGTAAAATTTGAGAATGATTCCGATCTCTAAAAGCTTCAAGTGAAATAACAGAAGATTATATATTATATGTGATTAAAAGTAGAGCAATGTGTGTAATAAGGTGGACAAGGACAAGGTGGTGGGGATGTTTATGTGAAAAAACAACAATGATAAAAGAGATTGAAAGAGAGAAGGAAAAAATACAAGAAATATTTAACACATATCCCATTGCTGGCCTGGGATTGCCTCAGGATTGAAGTGTAGTGACTGTCAGGTCTCTTCTATTTTTTTGTCTTCATCCCCTGCTCCTGTGTTCCTTCAGTTCTGTGTTGTTTATTGTATTCTGGACTTTGCTATATATATATATATATTTTAAATTAAAACACAACTTTGATTTGCAGTCACGTATGCAGGTCCTCCTTCGTAACAGTGGATTTTAATTTATCTACAAAATGACCTGTGAAATGTGCTTTATAAATACATTATAGATGCCTCCATTTGAGGGGGGATACTCCAGCTTGCCTTAGCAACCGTCTTAGCAACACATATTAGATCACTTACTTAAGACTGCCACTGCTATTACTATTACTACCAATACTATTTTCTTTTTCCCTTGCTAGCTACCACTCCAAATCCTCTTAGACATACTTCTCTCACACATGAGCCATATTATCCCCAGTAATACCCGGCTTCATACATGTGTGCATTCCTGTTTCACTTGGACTTGGACTAAAACAATTCTGAGCCTAAATCTGGATCACATTTTCCTCAGATGATAGTAAAATGTCTTTTCCGATGCCACATGAGACTTGAATGTAAAAGTCTGATCTGTGCTCTATAGGCATGGTGTGGTCGGACGTGAAGCGCTTGTGGTACGAAGGCCTGGAAGACTTTCTGGAAGAGTCGAGAAACCAGTTGAGCTTTGTGATGAATTCGCTTTACCTCGCCACATTTGCCCTGAGGATTGTGGCTCACAGCAAGGTAGCAACACTCACACAAGCCGTTAGGAAGGGGCTAGATAGATAGATAGATACAGTAGTAGCAAAAATAAATAAATTGGTCTGTTGTAGCTTGAATAATAAAGGAAATGGTACTGGTGAATGCAAGAAACACACAAACAAAGCACATTTTCATCTGGTTAAATCCAATTAAAGCTGGGGTACCTAACTTTTTCTTTTGTTGTTGTTTGTCTTAGAGAAAGTAACATCACACCGCCACCTCTTGTATGTATCCTGTAACAAAAAATGCTAAAATATGTCTTTTGAATACTTAGAGAGAGCCTTGTGAGTAGAGCTGAGTGCTGATTGGCTGAGAGAGGGTCTTCTATGTTTCTCATTTCTGTCTGAAAAAAATATATCTGTCTGGAGAGCGAGAAACTAGTTAGATGGAATGAATTACATAGTTGTTTTTCTTTTCTTGTTTGTTAAATGAAAGTGGGGCGACATTATTCTACTGTTTGTCGCATGGCGCCGTAAAGATGGCGCCGTGGCAAGAGCTCTGGTGTGTGTCGTCTTCTCTGTCTGGTGCACACCGGGGTAGTCTTGCACAGTTTTTCCAATGTTTTACTGCAAATGGCAAATAAATGAATCTGAATCTGAATCTGAATCAGTGGCTCAGTTGGCACAGTATTGGCCTTCGGGTCTAATGGTTGTGGGTTTGATTCCCGCACAAGACTCACTATTCCCACTGAAGTCTGCTGTTGTTGTGTCCCTGGGAAATACACTTAACCCTAGTGCTATGAGCATTGGGTGGTGGCCCCGAACCAGAAATGGAATAATACAAGGGATAAAAATGAATGAATGAACGAACAAAAGTTAGGAGCCCCAGCTTATCTAAGTATCGAGCACTGGGACTTTCGCATTTGAATCTATATGTATATATTTCAGCAAAAAAAGCTGTATTCAGAGGTGACAAAGGAGTTTATATTACCATGTTTAAATATGTATAAGAGAAGCAGACATCAAAGGCAAAAAAGTAATTGCCAGTTTTCATTATTTTCAATCTAATCTGCCTAGTTATCCCTATAGAACATTTTTTAGACAAATAAATCAATCTCACGTATATACTGGCAAAATAAAAAAAACACTTTATCTAAGCTATTTTTGGATTGACTATAACAGTATGTATTTGTATTTACTGCAGTTCAAGAATGTGGCCGACACGGAGAGGAAGAACTGGGACGCATTCCATCCCATCCTAGTGGCCGAGGGTCTGTTTGCTTTCGCCAACGTCCTGAGTTACCTGCGACTTTTCTACATGTACACCACCAGCTCCATCCTGGGGCCGCTGCAGGTACTACGCATGCGGGGACAGAGTGGAGAATGGGAATGAATGGAAAACCAACCAACTAGGAAAGCTGGAGTTGGATTGGTAGGACTGCAGCTTTTGGGATTTTTCTCTGGTTTCAACAATCGTAAGCTAATTGTTGTGATGTCTGTAAAAATAGATAGATAATGATTGCATTGACAAGAGCTCAGCATATACATCCCAAAACTAGAAATTTAAAGTTATTGAAGAAGATGACAAAGTCTGGGATCGCGTCTTTAATTCAGACAGAAGACATGTTTTATTGTCAATGGTAGAGACAGCACGAGCACGAACACAGATACAATAGAATGCAAGTGTATTATACAGAGCGGAGGCATGGAGACCTCCAATCAGCAGCTGCCACGGTGTGCTTGTAGCTTGGCCTTCAGATAGACAAAACAAGGGAAAAGTACAGGCTTCTGCACATGGATAGAATGATGAGTTTAACTTTAACAAAAGTTGCTTAAAAGTGTTATGAAATCTCACATTATGATTCGCTCTTGAATCTGCAATATTTCTTTACTATCATTATGAACTAAATGTTGAGACCCTTGTAAGTGTTCTAGACCAGGGGTGACTATTTATTTTAGTTAGAGGGCTACTGTTGTTAACCATGAATAACTAAAGGGGCCGACAACATGGATTGTTGAACTGTTTTGACTGGATTCAGGATGTTCTTGGCTTTAACGTAGGAGGATATATCCATATTGATTAACATTAGCATGATGTATGTGACAGAAATCCAATGTCAGTATAAATAAATAAAGTCAGTGAATGGATTCCAAAGGTACTGAGCTTTTCAATGAGGTATTGATTGGTGGAGCTGAAGTTGGCTGGACGACACAGTGAAAGTAGCGCAATGACAGCTTTGTGCTAGCAGCAGAGGGCCCCATGCAATGGCACAGTGGGCTGCATTTGGCCCCTGGGCCTTAGTTTGGACATGCCTGTGTTAAAGACTGTAAATATGTATGAAAACTGGTGATTTACAAAACTGCTTTGAGAGCTTGGCACGATTTAGATGGTTTTAAATATTCTCAAAAATCAGGTAGGCCTTCCCCTATTGCGGTAGTGATCAATGCATTTGCTTTGCCCAATGCAACGTTGGTGGTCTCTGCTTGTTGATTAGCAGTTCTGACACCTCTAACTTAGTGCTAACTGTGAGGTGACGATCAGGAAGACAATGAATAAACAAACCCAGCTGATACAACACTCTCCGGAGCATCTGTTTTTATGTTAGAGGGCATATATTTTCTATTTGTCACAGAAAAATACAAAGCACGCTGAATATCATTGTGGGTTGTGGTCGGAATGCTGGTTTTAAAGTAAGTAAGTTAGTAAGTAAGTTTTTTTTTATTTATATACCGCCTTTTCACTGCAGATCTGAGTCTCAAAGCGGTTTACAATTGTTAATTTTGGGCATTTGTATCTCACTCCACACAGAGATGGGAGCGGGGTCGCCAGTACAGGAAGCGCATGCCAGAACTATTGGACATATTTTTAGTGGTAGGGGAAACCGGAGTACCCGGAGGAAACCTACGCAGACACGGGGAGAACATGCAAACTCCACTCAGAAAGGCCCTGGTCCGACCGGGATTCGAACCCAGGACCTTCTTGCTGAGAGGCGAGAGTGCTATCCACTCAGCCACCGTGCCGCCCAGTCGTGTACAGAGCTATAACATTTTATTGTGTTTCTTGAACTTGTATGATTGAATGGTACAAATGAAAAAAAAAATCTTGTATTCGAAGCTACACATTGCCAAGTCAACTTCCTGTCTGAAATGCAAACAAAGGCTTCTGATTGATTTAACTGGTGTCATGTTTACCTGTGGCCAGCTGTTATAACACCACCAGCATTAGCAAAACTAAACATATTTCCACGCAGGTACACAATGTGCTCCGTCAAACGCTGCTTTCCGGTCATTATCCACTGAACCTATTTGCGGTTTTTCTATAAAACGTCCTAGCGAAGCCGAAGAGTGTTAATTCGGAGACTTAACTAAAATATCTCAGTTACCTCCCCCCATTCTCCTTTCCTCTCAGACCCCATATGACATCACCGTCTGGCCGACCGCGGTGGAAAAACGATTAGATGTTGGAAATACATGCTTCCTTGTGTACCCGCGACCACACTCACATGGCCGGCACACCCACTCGTGCTCAGACGGCTGCATAGTTCAGCACAGGAGCCGGCCCTGAGTCAGTCCAGGGCGGGTGGAAAAGATGCACGCTCATATAAAAGACAGATCCCTTTTTGGTAATGGGATGGGAAACGTTCTGTAGAGAGGATGACTGGAGGGCTGAGTACAGTGTGTAGCTATGCAGATGCAGACGCAGAGATTGACTAGACTTGCTAATTGCCTAATATATTTGCAATAGTGTGTGTCTTTCCCTTTTTGGTAATGGGATGGGAAACTTCTATAGAGGATAACTAGCAGGTTGTGTACAGTGTGTAGCTATGCAGATGGAGACACAAAGCTCTAGACTTAATAATTGGCTACAAAAAAGCCACTATAATACAAATTATAGTAGAATCTGTCTTTTTATAGTAAATACAAAAGTGTCTCTTGTCTGTACAGCACTTTGGTAAGCCTAGGATGTTTTTAAATGTGCTTTAAGAATAAATATTGATTGATTGATAATTACATAGGACATGCATGTAAAACTCAGGACAGCGGGCCAAATCCCGACATTTTTATTATTATTTAAGAGATAGTCCTTTAATCGTCCCACAGTGGGGAAAGTTCAGATGGATAAATACATATATACATCAAGGAATGCAGCGTACAATCACTTCCGCGCTCCTTATGGGCAAAGTGTCTTGTCCAAGGACACAACGACAGCAGACAGCAGTGGGAGTCAGTGGAGAGGGTCTCACGGTGGGTTCGAATACACAACCTTCAGGCTCAAAGACCAATATTTGACCAACTGAGTCACTGTCGCCCCCTTTTTCTTGCTTCATGGATGATATAAGGCTTCTATAGCTTCTAGCGCTTGCATGTAATACATAAGTTTAAAGCCGTTTTTTGATCTGCCTGAGGCCTCAAACGATAAGGTCAAAGTCATTCTTATCTAGAGTACTGCAACATAAAATAGATTATTACTGCTACTGCTACGAATGAGACACACTACCAGAGTCATGGAGGTGAGAGCAGTGACCTTACACATTCCTCTGTGTTTGTACAGTACTGATGTAAGCCGGCTGTCAGAATGAATAGGACACGCTCAGGCCCTAACTCAAACATGACCCAAACAGAAAGTACAAAGACAATTCTGCCTTTTACCGGTCACTGAGAGCCTGCAGCAACATCCACTTCCCCCTCAGTCGTTGATCTATGACTGAGTTCAAACAAATGCAGTGCTCTTCTCCATGACGCCCGCTGAAGTGGTTACATCCAAGTTTTTGAGAATCTCTAGCAGCTGTACAGTGCCAGATAGAGGCAGCCGATCATGATTTAATGTAAAAGAATATATACATATGAAATGAGATAATAATAGGAAGTTTTTAATAAGTTATCTAATCGAATCATATCATGTATTTTAAGTGTATAGTATAGAAGCCAATGCTTAGAGTAAAACATGATACAAGGCAGTTTAAAGAAGACATATTGTGCAAATTGACTTTTTTCACCATCAGCCCTGTAAAAAATATTATGTCATTGTACCACTATGTTTTCTGCCTTTTAAATCAAAAGTACTGCCTATCAATGCGCTTCGGCAATATCTCTGGTGAAATTATGTTCTTTGCAATAACATGGCTGTTTTTGTAGCCCGTAATATTCATACATTCTACAACACAGGCTCTGGTGGAAACACAGGGATGGGGCAGGCCAATAGCATGATTTATCCTTGATACTTGTTTCCTCATTAATTTTCTACCTTGAGATACTATTTCACAATCCAAAACATGAATGGACAAAGTAAAACGTATCATTATTATTTTTAATCACCAAAAATAATGCATAACATTTATTCTCTAAAGATGTTAACGTATTTTCAACCTGCCTATGGTGCACAGTTCTGTATTTCTTTCAGGCCATAAATATGGCCAATGGAATGAATTGGGTAGACCTGTGTGTCTTCCATGTTTGTTTGCTTCACCTCAGGCAGAAATAAATCTCTTTACTTTCCCCACCGGGTCAGTCGCTTTACAAGGACACGGCTGGAAAAAAAGCTTTTAGTCAGTGTGTCGGGCAGCGAGCTCTGTGGTATTAATGTCCTCTAACAGTGTGTCTTGTGTCCCCGCAGATCTCTATGGGCCAGATGCTGCAGGAGTTTGGGAAGTTCCTGGGCCTCTTTCTCTTGGTTCTGTTTTCGTTCACCATCGGAATGACCCAGCTGTACGGAACCGAGATGAGAGACCGCGACAAGAAGCCGCCCAAAGACTGTGAGGGCATCTTCTGTGAACAGCAGAGCAACGACGCCTTCCACTCGTAAGACACCAACTCAAACCGTCACCACAGCGCTTTCAGGAGATACATACGACTCAATCCCATTCGCCCCAAATCCCCTGTTCCACGCCTTTTTACCGAGGCGTTGAAAATGTTGATTTAATGACATTGCTTCACTTGGGTGAGCTTTCCATAGGCCATAATGCGATTGTGACTCAGGGCTCTGGGTCAGACTTTACTTTTATTTAGGAAGATCGGATTTTTATTTCAATTTTCAATGTATAAAGATTTTGTTTTGATATTTTGACTTTAATATCAATTTATCCTCAATAAATGAATCAAAAGTGTTGTATTTTTGTTCAAATCTGGCAGAGCTTTAGATAAGGGTACAAAAGCCTTTTTTTTTTTTTTTTTACTGAATTCTAATGCATAAAATGTATTGTCCCCTGTATCTAAATACATATCACGTCACATAATGTATTAAGATCCAGATGGTATTGGCAGCCTCTGAAAGATACCAAGCCCTATTTCCCACTGGTGTCCCTGGTTGAAAACAGGTCAAAATAAATTAACAGTTATGGACATTGGTCATCCGCCCCTTATGGACCACTGGCTCTATGAGGTTCTCTGATCTGTGTTGGCGAATCGACACCTTTGTTAAGATGACTGCTGTTGTGATTGTTACAAAAATAAAATGAATTTAATCCAAACTGAAGAGACAGGACTTCAGTGTCTTCAGCTTTTAGATTTACAACATCCCGCAGTCGAGAAACATTTACATAATCGTATTATAATTGCCATAGTTTATAAGTACAGTTCCCAGAGGCCTCTTGGGTTTTAGTGGCCGGAGAACATTCAGAATGACATTAATTTCAAGTAAATACAGTCTGTCTCTGCACATTCCACATAAGGCAGCCATTTGTAACAAGTAAGTAGTAAGTAAGTAAGTTTTTATTTATATACCGCCTTTTCACTGCAGATCTGAGTCTCAAAGCGGTTTACAATTGTTAATTTTGGGCATTTGTCTCTCACTCCACACAGAGATGGGAGCGGGGCCAGTACAGGAGGCGCATGCTAGAACTATTGGACATATTTTTAGTGGTAGGGGAAACCGGAGCACCCGGAGGAAACCTACGCAGACACGGGGAGAACATGCAAACTCCACTCAGAAAGGCCCTGGTCCGACCGGGATTCGAACCCAGGACCTTCTTGCTGAGAGGCGAGAGTGCTATCCACTCAGCCACCGTGCCACAGTATTCACTGTTATTTGTGTTACAGGTTTATGGGGACATGCTACGCTTTGTTCTGGTACATTTTCTCCTTGGCCCACGTCGCTCTCTTCGTCACCCGCATCAGCTACACCGAGGAGCTGCGTTCCTTTGTGGGCGCCATGATCATCGGCACGTACAACATCGTGGTGGTCATTGTGCTGACCAAGCTGCTGGTCGCCATGCTGCACAAGAGCTTCAGGCAGATAGCTGTACGTGTGCCAGCGTTCATTTGATTGGAAAATAACCTGACGAGAAGACATCTAAAACACTGGAACTCCCAGAGCAGTCAGTTTGACGGCTAGATTTGGAAGCATAATAACTCAGCTTATGTACATTTTACATACATTATTTTGTACTTTTACCATCAACTCCAAAAGCTGTCATTAATGTGAAGCTATTCTTGATTCTACGGCAATTTAAGCCCCTTTTCTCCAAGGTGCTGGTCCTGGACTGGTTCTTAATCGAGTTAGCTTGGTTTTCCACCAGAGAAGAGCGAATGCTAGTTACCATAGCTGTATTTCAGTTACATTTGCCAGTTTTAGCGCTAAAAGTGAGTATAAAGATAAAAAACTTTATGAATTACTTTCTTTTTTTTCAGTATTTCAGGTTTTTGAGTGGGAGCAATCAAAAACACAGCTCTGGAAGTTCTAGTAGATTCCGAATTCTGGGAGTCCTAGTGTTAATCTGCATTATTGGCGTGTTGTGTGCAGAATCACGAGGATAAGGAGTGGAAGTTTGCCAGGGCCAAGCTGTGGCTAAGCTACTTTGACGACAAGTGCACCCTGCCTCCGCCGTTCAACATCCTCCCCTCTCCCAAAACTGTGTGCTACTTGGTGACCAGCATGAGGAAGTGGATCTGTTCACATACGTCCAAAGGCAAAGTCAAAAGACAGAACAGCCTCAAGGTACAACAAGAAAAGTTGTACTAACTTTATATGCCCCGTAAGAGTACGAAAACTAGACTCCTGTTAAAGCTGGGGTACCTAACAAACAATTTAACATTCCATCGAACTAGTTTGATTTGATCTATCACTAGCTTTGTAATTGTATGTTTTGGCCTCTGTCACTTCTTTAGATCACTTTTTTCAGAGAGATAAGAGAGACGACACGACCACCCTCACTTAGCCAATCAGCTCTCACCCCCAAAATGTCAAGTAGTGACTAACAGGGCTCAAACAATAACTGTTTTAGGAGAAAACAAAGACAGCACGTGGTGATCTGATCTGTTCACATGTAGGGCAACAAAATGTTCTATGTAAGAAACAAAAAGTTAGGTACCCCAGCTTTAAGTTTGTATGCCACAAAACAGTATGAAAACCAGATGATTCTCAAATGATTGCTATAATAGTTCTGGTGCCGTGAGAGAAATGTCTCAAAGTTCTGTGCTTACAATACACTGTTTGTGAAATAAAACAAAGTTAAAGTTAGTGAACCCAGCTTTAATAAACCAGCTCTTCTTGCTGATTACACATAAGAACCACCCATACAAAAAGCACTTTGTTCTTCCCACATTTTTGCCCTAAATACACCTTTTGGTTACACTTTAATTTAGCCCTCACTAATTAACGACTAATGAAGTGCTAGTTTGTTTAGAATTTATGGTTAATTATCTTTAAATTGGTATTCATTAAGTTCTTATTCAGTCCTCATTCTACATGGCCTTATTTAACATCTAATTAACTACTAACTGACTAGGGCTAAGGTTAAGATTAGGGATAGGTCTAGGATAAGTAAGTAATGTTTATTTATACAGCTCATTTTACAGACCAAGGTCCTTCAAAGCGCTTGGATGGACTAATGATCACATAAATAGCTGTTTTTTTAGTGAGGGCTAATCTAAAGTGTTACTCACCTTTTAAATGGTCATAAATACACCTACTTCTACAATAAGTAACAATGCATGTTTTGTCTTCATGTAGGAATGGAGGAACCTAAAGCAGAAACGGGACGAGAACTACCAGAAGATCATGTGCTGCCTGGTTCACCGATACTTGACCTCGACGCGGCAGAAGATGCAGAGCATGGACCAGGCCACAGTGGAAAACCTCAACGACTTGAGACAAGATCTGTCCAAATTTCGCAACGAGATGAGAGACCTGCTGGGCTTCCGGACGTCCAAATATGCCATGTTCTATCCCAGGAGCTAAGAACTGACTCTTTCCATGATTTGTATGTTCTTTTAATTTGGGATGCTGTTTGACCAGAGCGTGTATTCAAAGCTTTTTGGATATGGAGGCATTTTGGAACTAAATATAATACAGTATTGTCGACCAAAGACTCAGGCCTCAAAGAATTAATCAGCTTTTTGTAAATAAGGAAAGCCATTATGTACAAAGGAAATTCAAATAAATGTTTATGTATGCTTATAAGTTGCTTTGGACTAGATTCTTTGTATTTTGTAAGGATATGTAACCGGGAAAGTCTCGTTTAGATTTCAGAATCTCTTTTTTAAATGCATTTCAAGAAATACAATATTGGATTTGATTGATGAAGTTAAATAACGTTAAGCAAACTTTTCTACATAACTCTGTCCTGGACCCAGACAGGTAGAGTTATGGGGGCTATTGTACATGAATTTAGTGTTCGGGGGAAACCGGAGCACCAGGAGAAAACCAACGCAGATACAGCAGAGAGAATGTGCGGACTCCATGTACAGTATACTTTAAGCAAAACCAAGAAAACAGAGATATTATATGACATTTATTTGAGCCAATGAAAATGAAAATATAAATATTCACAGACTTTTTCATATGAAAATATTCCATTATATTGCAAACCACTTTGAAAATCTTTCGGCAGCAAAGTGTAAATACTAACACTAGATATGATCACCTATGGTACAATTGTTTTTTATTCAAGAGTCATGAAACAGTGAGTTGAGAAATCAAGAGAATTAGTTTAAATATTGCACATCTTATCACCAAATCAAAGAGCTCCACCCAAACCACATTTTTCTGAAAACATCTTCAAAGTGATGATTAATGAAAAGGAAAGTAGATAATTTTTCTGCTTTGTTTTAATAAATAGCCTCCTAAAAATACATATAAACAGTATTTTACACGTTAAACTCTCTCTTCCATCCTCAGTGGAGCCCATGGCCTTGGTCCAGGGGGGAGGAGACTCAGCAGCGCTTGTTCTTGAGGCCGTTCAGTCCTTTCTGGTTCTTGGACTTGTAGGGCATGACGAAATGTTGCGGCGCGATCTTCCCTCGGCCCTCCTCGTCCACCTCGCCCATAAACACGTAGTTCAAGCCTGGCAGAGTCACACACACAAAGCCTGAATGCAGCGGCGTGACGGCAAAGACATTCAGGAGGGCCCAGGATCAGAATCTCCACACGGCAACTTTGTATTACATTCACACATATATAAAAACATATATATGCGCAAATGGGATTTTTCTGTATAGACTGACAGTGAGTTTGACCCCTCACCTCAGACGCCGATCCAGCAGCAACGGTGGTAAACTCAGAGCCTGCATTCTACCGATTATAGACACACTACTCATGCATTTTAGATAGTTCAAAGCAGATTAGGATTGCACTCACCTCGTCTGATAAAGGGGCACTTCTTGCACAGGATTATGATCTTGGTGCTCATGGTTTTGCCGGCCTGCTGTATGACCAGGTTCCCCTCTTTGTACACGTTGATGATGGAGACGGTGGCGAATGTGCTTCCACCTCGCACCACCGCCGTGATCACCGTGCCTGTGATGACTGCGGATATGACACAGAAGGTTAATGTTGAGATAAAAAATATATATATATGCATACTTTTGTGTTTGAAAGTCTACACGCCCAGGACAGATTTTTTTTTTGGTGTGTGTGTGAATGGTTGGTGATGGTGGGAGAGGCCAACGGCACATACTGGTTGCCTCGCTTCTGTTAGTGTGCCCCAGGGCAGCTATGGCTACAGTAGTAGTTTATCACCACTGTGTATGGAGTGAAAGAATAATGAAATGTGAAGCGTCTTTGAGTGTCCTGAAAAGCACGATATAAAACCGATGCATTATTGTTATTACAACGAAAACCACTTTTTCTTAGTTGTGTGAAGCTGTGTATTACTTTTTTTCTATTTTCAAGTTATAATGGCTACAGGAACTCCTATTCTTGCCCTTTAACATCCAATTCAATTCAATGGATTTTTGTATAGCCCTAAATCACAACAGCAGTCGTTACAGCAGGTGAACTTGATAATAAAAAGGTATGCACATATAAAGTATACATCTACTATATACTCTGGAGCAGGGATTTTCAACTTAGTCCTGCTCTCTGTCCAAGTGCAAAAAATATATACGTATAAGTAATACAGTATGAAGTATGAATATATAATACACTCTAGAGAAAGAATATTTTAGTCCTCTTTAAGTCGTTATCTCTGTACGTTCAAATCCTCTCTGATGGTAAAGCTGCCCGATCTTCTTGGCAAAAGCCGTTCAGTTTGTGTAAATTCCTTCGTAAGGGTCAATGATGTCATAATTTAAAAATAGATCATGTTTATTTGACAATATCTGGCTTCACACAACCACTAACGATGAGTGGGGAAAAAACCGTCTGTGTTGTGATTCATAATCTTCAAAATATGGCCCAAAATACATTTCTGTCTGGGTGTCTAAACCTCCAAACACATCTGCATTTATATATACACAGCTGCAGTGAGAATACTGTGGAATACTGTGGAATACTACTACTTCTACTGCGAGTGCTGCTACTGCTACAACTACAAAACTCTGCTTCTACTAAAAATACTAAACATCTTAAATCTACCTTAAATATACAAAGCACTTCTACTAATATTACTACCCTTGAATAATTTTAACATTATATTTGTAGTTTTTTTTTCCACCCAAAATAAAACTACAAATATTTGTGCTTTTCATGCTTTGAAATAGTCAGTTCTATGCTATTCTGAATTTTTCAATGTGCTTTTCAGTTTTTCGTGTCTTCAAACCACAGACATGACTGGTGATGACTGTCTGTTAGTCAGTGGAACAGTGCAGAGGTGGAGAGTTTAGTTTCTTGACACTGGATTTGGAATCAGGGACAATCGTTTCTATCAATCCACAAAAGAACATCTCAAATTCATGTCTTTTTTAAATAAATCTTGATCAACTTCTATTGGAATGGGGTTTGAAGACGTGTGTTAGTCTAAAATCTCGACAATGTCATCTGAGGTGAGATGGAAATCCACCAACAATCTGGTGAATTCTGAAGCACCATCCAAAAGTCTTTTCTCCGGCTTTTCTTTTGCCACAGCTGTATTCTTGACAGCCTGTGCAAACGCCTAGGACTGTGCTTAAAACTAGAGCCACTACAATATCATTCACACACACAACTATTATAATCCCATCTGTAGGACACACATATGGAGAGGGAAAAAGACAAAAGGATCAAATCGAGACCATAGTGCTGTGTTTCCCAACTGTGGGCACTGCAGGGACTATTGGCTACTACAGCATGCTTTATATCATTTTTTAAAGCTGGTGTCTACAGGAAAAGAAGTAAATGAGTCATTTTATTCAAAACATTGAACCCAGAACACAAATGATAATACAAAATTCAATTCAAAGTCTTTCTTACTCTTGGTCCAGATTTGGTTCAGCCCGTGTTTGCACAGAAAATTCAGAAAAGACAGTTCAAACAAAAGCAAACAAAAAAGTGAAAAATTCCTCATAATAAAAAAGAATATATTTGTATTGAATTGACAAGGTAAGCAAACTAGGAATTGGCGTATATTATTCTGTTCAATTCAATACAATTCTATTATTTATTTATTTTTGATGCTGGAGATCTTGGTGTAAAGCCTGAGGAGACAAATGTGTTGGACTCCTGGGATACATGAGATTGTTTTCTCTTAACAACAGTTGAGGAAATTCTTTGGTGTAGAATAGGTAGGACAACATTGCTTTTGAGAGTCAAACAAAACATAAGGAGCTGCAAATGTGTAAATGAACTTCCTTACACAGAGGAAACAAACCAGATACTAATTCAACAGAAACCATTGAACGCCTTGATACCAGACAAGGTGTTTTCACTCCGTTTATCCCTTCATTATCTGGGCTGTAACTGTGCTGCTGCCTCTTAGCGCTGCAAAGTTTTCCATTCGCACATGCCATCTCTGCATGCGTCCCACCAGCCTCTTTGAAATTCCAAGCTCAAGTTTACTGTAAACAAGTTTGTGAGGAAAACATCATAAGTGGGAGACCAAGGCTTGAATCAACACATTCATTTAGCAACAGCCAGAGACAGTCCATGTGTTTGGGTTGGTATAACTGTATCCCACTGTACACGCCTCCACTTCCCAACAGGCAATCAAGGATGTCTTTGATATGTACAGTGGAAAAATCAAAGAGGCAAAGATAGTACCGTGAAAACCACATCTTATAATGGACTTCTTTTCTGACGTCAAAGAGTTGGGAGTACCAACTTATTTCAGGCGGTGAGTGAGTGTATATGCTGGAGAATAAACCAGGGATTACTCTGAGAGCTCCGTATAGAGGGTCTGGAGCCACATGTCGGTGAGTGGTTTGAATAAGTAGTACATAAAGCAGTGTTGTTCTTACCGAAATTGCTGGAGCAGTAGTTGCTTTCAAGTGTTCCCCGTCTTTTGCATTTCTGCTGACACAGGGCGACGGAGTATTTGAGAGCTGTGGGGACACAACCACACCAAACATATAATAAGAAAATGTTATCACTTAAAGCTGGAGTGAGGAACTTGTACTTGGTTTCTTAAATACATGTTGTTTGTCTCAAAAGAAAGAGTCTTACGATTGTGTACGATTCAGGAAAGAACACAACACGCTGTCTTGGTCTTATTAGAAAACATGTTCTACAGCCTGAGTTCTACAGACCCTCACTGTGGGTCTGCCCTCACCTGTTTCCCACAGTTTTTTGTTGCTGTTGTTCCTTGCCGATGCAGGAGGGTCTAAGGACAGCGTTGATCCAGGACATTTAAGGACATTTATGCACATGAATTCACATTTATGGACATTGGTCATCCCACTCTATCTGGACCAATGGCCATGGGTTTGTTATTATTGCATTTCCTGTGTTCGAATGGTTTGATTCTCTGATCTGTTGTTGAGGAATCAACAGCTTGTAAAGACAGCTGTTGAAATCTAGAGATATACAAAAATAAATTGACTTTAACTGACTTATATCATACATACTGAGAGCTGAACGAGATGTGACCGACTTAATAACATTGTTCAATTATTTCAATAACTTTTGTGCGTCTTTGACCTTGTAAAGTCCCAGTGGCTGTAGGAGTGGGCCACATCTTGCCTTTACTTTTGATCACGTCTGTGTCTACAAAGATCTGGGATCAATTGTTTTGTAGGTTTTCTGGTGCAGGAGTCCATCTGCTGAGAAAACCTTCCAAACTATTCATCCTATAGAAATAATAATAATATCTATTGATAATGCACCTTTAAGAATTAACTAAATAGACATTTCTTAGAGTGCAAACTGCTATGTTATGTGCCCTGAGGGGTAGTCTCTGTCTACAAAGAATGTGTCCAGTGAGTCTTGCAGCAGCAGTGCTGTCTGACAGAGACAATGCGTGTGGTTTGTTGAGTAACACAATATTATGACCAATCCACATCTGCTTTTCCAATGAAATTCAGTACGAATGATACAAGGGAAAGTTATGCTTACAAAGAAAAGCATTTTCCTGATAAGTTTGACTATAAAAGCAATGGCTAAAAAAATATGCCAATCGTTCTCCACGGCACCAGCAAATCAAAACATGATTTTATTTTGAATGGGGAAAGGTCTTGCCAAAATCCTTCATTTCATTTCATTTCATTTTTTTTTTTTTCATTTCATTTACATCCCTTTATTTTCCATTTCTGGGTCAGGGGGGTGGCAATCAGAACTGCCACCCAATTCACACAGCACCAGTCCCTTGCTGCTCTTCCTGCAGGTGGTGGGTCCACGGGAAGATGGCTGCTCCTTCGACACAGATGCAGCCTTGGTCTTTCAGCGGGGACTTCAGGCACATTGGGGTTAAGTGTCTTGCCCAGGGACACAACGACAGCAGACATCAGTGGGAGCAGTTGACATGGGTCGTAGTGGGATCAAACCCACGACCATTAGGTCCAAAGACCATTGCTCTACCAACTGAGCTACTGTCGCCCCAAAATCCTTCAAATAAACATTAATCGACACCTAAGCTACTGCAGTGGTGATAGTAATGGTTATAGCACGAGTAGAATACCCAATATAGTTACTGCTACAGCTCATGTAAAGTAACTACACCTAAAGTTATAGGGTAACCAACTTTTAAAAAACATGTTTGTTCTATCACTAGTTTTCACATGCATTACTTTTTCTGGCTCTGTCACAGACAAAAACGTGAAAAAGAAAGGACCAGCCTCACTCAGCCACTCCTTCTCAGCCCAAAGTGTCAAATAGTGACTCACAAGGATCTTTCTTACAAGTATACAAAAGAAAAAACATCTTCTAATAAGGAAAAGTTTGCAGAAGTTTGACTTGTACGAGACTCTTTCAGTTAGGACAATAAACCAGTATGTTTGAGGGGGAAAATTAGGTACCCCAGCTTTAAATGTACCAGTAGCAGATACAGAATGACATCACAGAGAGTGCAGTTACATGATTTCTGGCATAACTTGGGGAAAAAGCAAAAATGAAAAGGAATGTGAGCCTAAAGTAATTACAGCGTCTTGAGCACAATCGCATGTGTGCTGTTCTACACATGCGCCAAAGTGACGGACAGTGTGTTATGAATGAAAGTTGATACCTACGTATAGGCCTGGTGGTGACCGGCGGGGTGGTGGTGGTGGGTGGGACGGTGGTGGTGGGGAACTTCTTCGGCCTGAACTTGTAATGTCCAATGAAGCCGTCCGCGGTGAGGCTGAGGTCTGACAGGAACTGGATCAGGAGCTGGTTCCCCTCGGAGAACACGGGTCTGTGGGGAGGACACTGTGTGAGAGCCAGAGAGGGGGAGGGGAAGCTGGGGGGACACTCAAGCAGGAATCACCTACGCTGGGGGGCTGTCTCCGCAGAATTTGCCGATCCTCCTGGCGTCGTTGATTTCGGGTCCGTTGAAAATGGAGACGTGGTCGTAGCGGCAGTAGTTGTCCCGTTCCACGTCAAACTTTTCAAACTTGACTTCTATGATCTAAGCCAGTGCAAGAATGATAAGACAAAAGGTTTTGATAAAGTAATAAAAGTAACAAAATCACCATTTTGTGGACTGCAATTATGTATGTCCTTTGCAAACAAAAATGGGACTAAAATCACAAGAATTTGGGAAAGAAAATCTATTGATTTGAGCTTTGGTCTTGTCAAACAGAAGTATTATTTTCTCTTTCCTATAGGTACTTTTTCAAGTCAAAAATGTCAGAATGAGTTGCAGGAACAATAAGTCCAGGAAAACCTGCTCTTGAAGTGTTTTTTTTCGTCTGAACAAAATTATACTTTTCTACACAGAGACATTGTTATTGTTGGTCATAAATATTGTATTGAGATAATTGTAGAGATTTTGCCAAAATCATGCATCCCTACTATCTTGTGAATGCATTTACACATTACCTGGTTTTTGGGTGCAATGATATGCCAAGAGCAGGTAACACCAGCAGGGTAATCTTTCTCAGGCCAGTTTGGTGTTTTGAAAGAGCCAGATGGTTTGTCTAATCGGCCTCCACAATACTGGTCACCTGTAAAAATCACATAAGTAAACATCCCATCGAGCAGCTTTCTTTTCCCTTAATTCTTTCTGCAAGGTTGGCCACTGTAAACAGAATAACTTGACGAAAGCTGGATATAATTTATGAATAGTTTCTTTGAAGATTCCCCTGAGGCAGCTGAGTTTAGCCCAATGACAAAAATAGAGACAAGAAGATTGTTGGTTTTGCAGCACAACTCTGACTGCACTTACTGTCTGCTAAGATCCATTGTGTCTAAGCAAAGCAAATCAAAGCAAAGCAGCCCTTATCTATTACAGCTGTCCATCCTTTGAGGTAGAACAGGCCAGTGATTTAAATTCCCTAAAGTGAACAGATAAGACTGTGAAACATGCACATAACATTGCAAGTAAATGGCTAAATAGTTTACCAAGAGCAATGAGAAATGTCACAACTGACTCATTCTTTTTGAAAAATCCATGTCAGAGGGTGCATTGTCAATTCCCCTTTAAATGTGAGAGCTAAAAAGAAATTATAGATTGTATAACATTATGTTTTGTGGTTTTATTGTAAGTAAGTAGCTATCAGGTGAGCTTTAAGGATTTTTTAAATGGGATTCCAACAAGCTGGAGTGGACCTTGTTCCATAATAAAAGTAATGTATTGTAACTAGGTCATAAAAGTACAGATCTAACATCACAAGAACAAAGACTTTGGCTGTTTTTGCAATGTTCACTTTTTCTATTCTTACCTCTCTCGTGTGGATGCGCTGAAGAGAAAACTGCCAGAAAGCCACTCCCAGCAGTGTTGGCATCCGAAACCATCTGCACGAGCATCTTGTTGCCTGTGGAAACCAGAGCTCCGGGTTTGAAAGTGCCACAGAAGCGGCCCAGCCTCTGCCCGCTCACATGTCCGCCGTACACATCCACGTAGTCGTAACGGCACAGGTTGTCATTCTCCAAGTCGATGGAGCGGAAGGACAGGACCACAACCTTCCCCTCAGGCACCTGCGAAGACGTTCACATCTGCTTTGAATAATGTCAGTGTAAGACATGCTGCCATGCCTAACAATAGACTTTCAAAATACAAATGGATAAAGTTTGATTTTCAACAGAAATATTGCAATCTTTTATAAAACTACACAAATGGAGAATAATCCTGCAAATTGTGGGTCACTTACGGCTGGGGTTTCCAACTCTCCCAACGTAAAATAAAATAGAGAATAATTCTTATAAGGTTCTTCACTCTCAAAGGATTTGGATTAATCACTAGTTTTTACATAAATGCAATTTCTGGCCTCTGTCACATCTAAGATCAGCTTTCACAGCCCAGAGAGTCTCACATGTTTCTAATAGCTAAAGACAGCATGTTGTGGTCTGATTTGTTAAACTAAAATAAACCCATGAAAGTGTCATTTAGGACTTTATGACTTTACAGATAACTGTGTGTACTTATTGCACTTGTATATAGTAGTAATTTAAAACAAATAATATGTAGATTTTTACTTTTATAACTTGCTTGCTCCAGGAGCCAAAGCAATTTCCTACTTTGTAACTTCCTCTTACTCACAATGGCAATAAAACTGTACAATATTTATTCAACCATGTGATCTGGTAATCTGCCACAATAAACCTTTTTTGGATTACTTTAGAATTACATTGTGACCAAATAGTAAAAGTAAGATACTCACTGTAATTCTCCAAACGCATTTGGTATTGGGTGGGTAAACTCCTGGGTATCCCTGACTTCCAATGACTCCAGAGTCTCCCGTGATATTCCCTCCACACGTGAAGCTGGGCCTAGAGCAGAGGTGTCCAAACTTTTTAGTAAAGGGCCACATGAGTTAACCAGGCTCGTTCAGGAGCCGACAATCAAGATTGTAGAACTGTTTTAACTGGATTCAGGATGGTCTGAGCTTATAATTAGCTATAGCAAAGCTGAAGACTGAACAAATGACCATCTTGCCAGCTGCATTAGCACCATTAACGGAATCTTGTGACACAATCAAAAACAATTCCAGAGGTCCTGAGCTTTACAAAGAGGTATACCATGCCCATATTGACTGAGCTGAAGTTGACTGAATGACACAATTGTGTTTATGATTTCAAAGACTACTCTACTTTGGGTAAGCCAGGCAGAGGGCCAAATTAAATTACACAGCCAACTTAAATTAGACATGCCTAGACTAGAAAACATACCCAAAATACATAATCTTTCAAAATAGAAACCGTAAAGTCACACTCCTGGATAATGCATCATGTCTGGAGGCCAGTGTCTCCAAAACTGATGAACGCCGTCACTGGCAACATGGGTCAGCGTGTTCAAGTAATACAAAAAGAAATCCTACCTCCGTTGAGACTGCGCACAGCTTTGAGATAAGAACAGCAGACACCATGCGCAAAACAGGCTGCACGTCCTCCACATGGCCGGTTCTGGGGCCCCTCTCCTCATCCCGCACCGCAGTATGAATGGCATTGTGCGTGAAAGAGCCTGGACGGGACAAGGGGCAGAGAAGTGCCCAGCCCAGCAGCTCTAGTACCTGAGGGGAGTTCCACAGCACTGCACTCTGACTGCCTGGATCTGATGAATATAGCGATTGTTCTGCGTGGTAGGAGGGACGCAGCCAAGTCCGCTTGAACACAGAGAAAATAACCGGCCGGCCCACGAGGAAAATTAGGGTGAAATGCATGTATAGGAAAAAAAGAAAAAGAATAAAAGGACGAGAATAATAGAAATATACATTTTACAAATAGTCAAAAAGTAGAATAGTATTACGAATCATTGAAATTATGCATCGAAATTAAAAACCATGTATTTTAATTGTAATACTATTATATAATAACAATAATACAAACAAAATAATGGCTTCTGATAACGCCGATAGACTAAAACAAACTCAACAGCTCCCTCTTGTGGATATTCTTGTTAAACTTAGATGACAGTGTTTGTATTTTATTCATCAAATATTACCTCCCTCTGTAACATATGACTGCGACCTCAACAACTGCAGAGTCACGTTGCTGTTTACAGCTCATGTCCCTGTTTTTGTGAAATATTTCGACATCAATCTTTTTCTCTGTAGTTGACTCTCCAGCCTAAATGTCACATTTGTTGCCCTGTATGTAATCGATTACCGATTTTGTAGCCACTCAAAGATGGCGGACAAGACTCCGGGTGGCTCTCAAAAAGCTAGCGCTAAGGTACATAAACATTTTTAAGGTTGTTTCACTTCGTGGCCGTTTCTTTTTGGTCTTATTTGATACAATTCCAAGGAGTCAGTGTGAAAAGTAGTTATGGAAAAGAACCTTTTTGCGCGAAATGTGAACATTTGCGCGCGGTTAACCGGCTAACAGCGAGTTGCTATGCTACCAACAACGCCAAGCTAGCCTGTGTTTACCTCATCGGTGTATTGTTTATAAAGCCATGTTAATAAAAACCCCAGTTGAGCTGATGATGGCTGATGTGGTATTTTAAAGACCAAAATGTCCGCGAGAACTTGTCTGAAGTCTGTAAATGTCAGACATGTGACGTTGTGGTTGACACACAGGCCTAGCCTTCGCTGTGACATGTTAGCATTGTAGCCTGGTGCGACACTGCGATGTTCACTCATTATGAGTAATTATGGAGATGTCGCTAAAGTTTCTTAATGCAATGCATATAGATATTAACCGTGTGGTGTCTCTCAGTAGAGAGCTGTCAATCTGTCTGTAACGTGAAGTAGTTGATACATGTGTTGTTGTTCTTTGGCAGGCGCTGCTTGAGAGCAAGCTAAAGTCATTCAGTATTGGGAAAATGTCGGGAGCAAAGCGCACCTTGAGTAAAAAAGAGCAGGACGAAATCAAGAAAAAGGTACGAATTTATACACCACTCCAGCTTCTGATGATCATTTAGCTAACTCTCTGATAATGCATCTTGCAGGAAGACGAGAGGGCTGCAGCAGAGATTTATGAAGAGTTTCTTGCTGCTTTTGAAGGAGGAGGAGAGGGGAAAGTCAAAACATTTGTCAGAGGGGGTCTTGCCAATGCAGCAAAGGGTATGCATTTATATTCACACAATTTAAAATGGTATTGGCAACGATTTCAACACGTTTGTCACAATTGTTAGAAGAATCTACACCTGATGAGAAAAGAGGAAAGCTGTACAAACCCAAATCACGTTTTGAGCCTCCACCAAGAAATATCTTGCCTTTAGAAACACCTTCTCAGTTTATACCACTAGACAAAAGACATGTAAGTATACAGTACTGTTAGTTTTGTAACTTGTTTTGCTTGCTTCAATTGGAGTAAACTGGTTATATTTGTGAATAGCTTTTGAAGAAGAATAATGAAAAGGAAAAGAAGAAGAGCAATCTGGAGCTTTTTAAAGAAGAACTAAAATTGTAAGTGTGTTTTCTCTTGCTCAGATTAGTATTGTGCACTATCAGATTTTAATGTGTTAATGTGACGGTTTTGCAGAATTCAAGAGGAGAGAGATGAGAGACACAAGACGAAAGGCCGTGTTAGCCGCTTTGAACCAGTCTCTGGATTGGACGGAAGACGTTCAAGTAAGCGCACTTACCTCGGCCCCATCTTCTAACAGTCTTGCGTATGAAACGGCTACTCTTTTCCGCCCCTGTGCCCCACCTGCACCTATGTTACCCTGAAACAAAATTTATACTGCTTTCTGCTTTTTTTTAGCGGATGGTTCTTCACGAAGAAACCGTCCGTCCAGTGGTAAATTTGACTCAATACAGTGGCTGTGATAATGAATGTTTTTGTAAAGCCAAATGCGTTCCCATCGGTTAGCTGTAGGAAACTTTCTTTGTGCTCTTGTCTCCACAGTTTTAGACGACAGTGCACCAGGCTCTCATGATGTTGGAGACCCATCAACAACAAACTTGTACTTAGGAAACATAAATCCACAGGTTGGACTCATCTGAAATATTACTAGGTTAATCAACTAAAATCACTGATGTTTAATCACATTCTTACAGATGAATGAAGAGATGTTGTGTCAAGAGTTTGGGCGTTATGGGCCTCTGGCGAGCGTCAAGATCATGTGGCCAAGGACCGATGAAGAACGGGCGCGTGAGAGGAACTGTGGCTTTGTAGCTTTCATGAATAGGAGGGATGCAGAACGTGCACTTAAAAATCTCAACGGTGGGAATTTAGCAAATGTGACTATTGACTAATATAACTGAAGAGCAAAACTGATTTTTTTTTCTTTTCCTTTTTTTGTTTGAAGGAAAAACTATCATGAATTTTGAGATGAAACTGGGCTGGGGCAAAGGCGTTCCCATACCTCCCCATCCCATCTACATCCCTCCAGCGTTAATGGAGCACACACTGCCCCCACCGCCCTCCGGCCTGCCCTTCAATGCCCAGACCCGAGAGAGGCTAAAGAACCCTAATGCGCCCCTGCTGCCCCCACCCAAAAACAAGGATGATTTTGAGAAGGTAACTCAACACGCACTTTGAGGATAGCCACATTGATTACAAATGAATGTTTGTGTGATTATGCTGCTTTTTAGTTTTAAAACATTTTGATAATTTTCCAAAGACTTAGATCTAGGTTATGTCATAGTAATTCATGTAGTTGATTGGCTGGTGACACTTTAAAGGAAGGTGTTAAAGTCGCCTCAGTGTCCGGGAGTTTAAACTGTTTATAGTTTTGGAGATAATGTTATAGTGCACATTGAAATGCTTTTTATATTTTTGGATTTGTTGTTATTTAACATCACTCACGTTCTATGTTTATTATCTGATGTGACTTCATATACAGACTCTGTCGCAAGCCATAGTCAAAGTGGTTATCCCAACAGAAAGGTACATTTTTTTTCTTTATCAATTGGTGTACAAACTTAGAAAATGACGTCCCATTCAATTGAAATATAGATATTGAAAAAGTCTCTGATCATTTGGTCATTGCATGCTACAGGGGCGGGTCTGTATGGGTGAGCAATGGTAGCGAGTGCAACGTTTTCATGCTAGCCGGAAATAAATATCTTTTTACACTCATGCTATACAACAACCACACCATAACCTACATTGTCTCAGCAGAATACCACGTTATACAGTGTTTATGTTGATTTAGAAAGTATGATTAATTCTATATCCATCTCATGCGCTGTCTTATGTTTTTAATTTAGTGACTCTCAATCTATAGTCTTCAGATTCTAGATCCGTTTCTGTGAATCCTGCTTTCTCACCATTGCTCATTCAGACAGTCTTTCCCCTTGGCCTCTGACACTGCTGGGAGCTCAGTAACTCTGGCCCCTGTGAGAAAATCCAAAGTTGACTCTAAAAGACCTTTGACATTGGCCTTGGTGAGCAGCACAACTTGAACAGTCTGCAGCAGCGAGGGATCCGAAAAGCATCATGGGATGGATTGGGAAAGTATACAGAATTTTGCTCCGCCATTGGTACGATCACCTCCAATACATGTAAATGTGATCTGTGTTGTTGAATCAAGGACATATTTGTCCTGTTCACTTCTGTAGGACTAGTGTATGGAGTAGCAGCTACAATAATAGGTTGATAGGTGGTTGTATTTGCACCGATTGCAGGTTGCAGTTATTTAAAGTAAAAACAAATGAAAAGGAGACATTAGGAAAACTTGCCATGTTATGTACACACTGCAGTTTCAACCACACCCTTTAGAAATTAAAAAAAGATTAAAGTTAACACTAGTTTGTTTCTCAAAAAAACATGACATGCTTGATTATAAATCTCCTCACAGTTAGAGTGTATGACCAAGAATGAGATGAGGCATTGACACACTTTGACACATATGGACTAATTCAATCACACACATTACTACACCTATATTTGTACATTTATGGAGGTTTGTCACAGCTGTTAGGAGAGTTATACAAGCATATATGTAAACAGTGATGCAAAGGACAGTAGTCTGAAACCATTTGCTTTAACTGTGCTTTTTTTGTAGGAATTTGCTTTCTCTCATCCACCGTATGATCGAGTTTGTGGTGCGTGAAGGCCCAATGTTTGAAGCCATGATTATGAACCGAGAACTCAACAATCCCATGTACAGGTGAGGGCTTATTCTCCGCGCGTGTGTGTCATGTGATGTCTAAAGTTAAAGGAAAACTATTCTCTAAGCTCGTGATTATTTATTTTTACAGGTTTCTTTTTGAGAACCAGAGTCCAGCCCACGTCTATTACAGATGGAAGCTTTACTCCATTCTTCAGGTATAATCCGCCCCATGCTAATGCTGTGTGCTATTATGTATTCTGTCAACAGTTCCACTTACTTAGATCTGCTTTAATCTCATAGGGTGAATCGCCGGCCAAATGGCGGACGGAAGATTTTAGAATGTTCAAAAATGGCTCTCTATGGCGCCCCCCTCCTCTAAACCCTTATCTACACGGGCCGTACGACGACAAGGAAGATGAGGACGAGGAGGAGGAGGGGGGCAAGAAAGGAAGCCTGAAAGAAGAGTAAGTTGGGATCCGTCTCTAACCGTCACGTTCACATTTCATCGCTCACTACCGCTGCACTCTTGCACAGCGAGCGAGACAAGCTGGAGGAGATGTTGCGAGGCCTGACCCCCCGGAGAGGAGATGTCGGCGAAGCGATGGTGTTTTGTCTTAACCACGCCGAAGCTGCCGAAGAGATTGTTGAATGTGTAGCAGAATCCCTATCAATTCTTAAAACCCCACTTCCAAAGAAGGTGAGACTACTTCCATGGGCGCTAACATACAGAAAAAGGAGAAGCTAACTTTTCTTTTGTATGTATTTCAGATTGCTCGGTTGTATCTTGTTTCTGATGTCTTATACAACTCTTCTGCCAAAGTAGCCAACGCATCCTATTATAGAAAATAGTAAGTCTTTGTACTTTTTTTAAACATTCATCTTAAATATAACCTTTTTTTTATTAACGTTGCTTTTCTTTTTTCAGTTTTGAGTCGAGGCTTTGTCAAGTATTCTCGGATCTAAACGCTACGTACAAAACGATACAAGGCCATCTACAAAGTGAAAACTTCAAGGTACTTTGAAAAAAAAAAAGTGCACATTCATGCTTTTTAAATGAACTGGATTTTACAGCTGCTGTGAAATGTTTTCACAGCAACGAGTTATGGCGTGTTTCCGAGCGTGGGAAGATTGGGCCGTGTACCCGGATCCTTTCCTCATCAAGCTCCAGAACATATTCCTGGGTCTGGTCAATCTTTCTTCAGAAAAGGAAACTCCAGTCCTTTTGCCTGAGGTAGCAAATCAAATACTTAACGCTGATCTATTATGCACAACTGACTTTTAGAGTTTGGCCTAGTTCTAATTGTATTTACTGGTGATTTAAAGTTATTTTACAAATATGAATTAATGTCATTGCCCCCGTTGTGCCATTTTTGTTGGACCAGTTGAACTTCTTACACACCCTAATGTATGTATTTGTCACTGTTCTGGTCAGATTGAGGCGGTAGAAGACGTCGACGGCGCTCCCATCGTGGATTACCCGGACGTTGGAGACGATGTGGACGGCCTGCCCATAGACGTAGCACCTTTAGATGGCGCCCTACTCGACGGAGCTCCTCTGGACGACCTCGATGGTCTTCCCATTCGCCCTGTGGATGAGGACATCGATGGAATACCCTGTGAGTAATTGCTTTGGCCTAATGTCAAGACAAGTCTGTGAATAACTTCCAACTAATTGGCACGTTTTTGTTTATAGTCGATCAGTCCAAAGAAGCGGCCTTCAAGGTGGCACCTTCAAAATGGGAAGCGGTCGATGAGTCTGAATTGGAAGCTCAAGGTAAGATTTTTAATTACATTTTCATTTTCTATAATTGTTACTAATGTATTATTATCTTTATTATTAGCTGTGACAACTTCCAAATGGGAAATATTTGAGCAACCAGATGGAATGGACAAGTATGTTTATAGTGTATACTTTGTTTTAGCTGGTATCTAAAAACACACTGACAAAACAATATATTTGCAGGAATGATGACCCTAACTCTGAAGACCCTCAGGGCTATTCCAACTCTGCGAGAGATGACATCGATTACAAAAGTAACGAGGAGAAACGGTTAAAGCTCAGAGAGATTGAGGTATCCAGAAGAACACTTGTGCTAGTATTACACAATTATTAGGCCGAGCCAATACGAAGTATTGGGGAGGCCTATTGTTATTCACCGGTTTCATATTATTATTCTTATTTATTTTCCGCAACTTCAATTCGATTTTTGACCCTGAAGACATGCACGAAAGTCTGCACATGGGGGGTCTAAAACGACCGGTTCGGCGAAAAATTTGATAAAACGAACGTTTCCAGATTGTCCGACGCTCGCCGACTCTATAACGCCCCCTAGAAATTTCATTTTTTTTTGACCCTCTGGGGATTTTTTTTCAAATTTTGGAGTAGGTACATGAAATTCGGATGAGTGATAGATCTCTATGAGACGAGCATAAAAGCCGTTCTAAGCACATGTCTGGGACCAACAGGAAGTCGGCCATGATGGGCCGAAGTTTCGCCACTAATTTGACTTTTCATTTAGAAATTCGAACTAGTCCCTGGTTTTTCATCACACAGAGTTCTACCACGTCATTTCCTAATCTGGACGGATTGAAGTTATATAATCATCAAACAAAAGTTAGAAAATCTTCACAATTTTCTTCCCTCGCCATGGCGAATAAGGCCTTCGTTTTGGCCATTTTCGCTGAGCCCTGAGGGACACAAGCTCAGACCTACAGAGCTGAGACTCACATCAGTAATATTAGGTTATGGCCTGAACGCAATGACACTAAAATCATTCGCCCAATTTGAGCTCTTTAGCGCCACCTGTCGGAAAGTAATAGGGCACTAGTGCGCGGATCGGCCCGAAAATCGCTGAGTGTATTCTCTGGACCGAGACGAGCAAAACATTACATTACGCAAAAGTTGTACGTCCCACACCTGACCACTGGGGGCGCCGTAAAGTGAATGAATGAGCTTTTTGGGGCAAAATGTTTGTCCGATGAGGCTAAAAATGAATTCAGTAATACAGCGTATGACCCTGAACACAACGATATGCAACAGACAACTGTGAGTGCAACAGCGCCACCTACAGGCAGTTCAAGGTGTCGCATTTTTGGCTTTGTACTAGTCCCTGGATTTTCATCGCACAGACTTCTACCATGTCATTTCTCCATCTGGACGGATTGAAGTTATGCAATCATCGCATAAAAGTTAGAATTTTGTTATCGTTTTCATGCGAGGTAGTAGGGAATTTCTCCATGTTTGATGCTCTCCTGACCACAGGCTCAGACCTACAGAGCTGAAACTCACATCGCTAACAGTTGGTAATGACCTGAGAGTAATGGTGTGAAAACACACACCTAATATGACTCTACAGCGCCACCTATGGAAGGCTTCTGACCTAAACTTTTCCGATCTTCACCAAAGTTGCAAAATCAAATCTTTACATCTGTACGAGCAAAATACTACTCTACGTAGAGGGTGCATGTCCCGGAGGTGACCACTAGGGACGCACTTTATCATATAAATGAGCTTTTATGTACGTAATCCTGGTCAGATCGGGCTGCCAATTTGTCGGCGTGACGCTTGTGGGACTGGCGCCCAGGAGGCGGTTGCAAGAGGGGCGAGGCCTTTCATCGCCGCTTGCGGCTTTAATTATCGTTATACTCATCTTTTCCTCTTTGATAACAGGTAAAAGTCATGAAGTTTCAAGATGAACTGGAATCGGGGAAAAGGCCTAAAAAGTCGGGTCAGAGCTTTCAGGAACAAGTGGAACACTATCGAGACAAACTACTACAAAAGGTACCTGCCACAGCGCTGCGGCGGAGGTTCAGAGGGACAGAATTTCAACTTTGTTTTGTTTTAAGGAACGAGAAAAGGAGAAACTTGAACGTGAAAAGGAGCGCGAAAGGAAAGAGAAGGAAAAGGCGGAAACAAGGTTGAAAGAGCTGAAAAAAGAAAAGGAAAAGGATGACACACCGACCAGGAAAGACAGGTGAGCTTCTGCCTCCTCAGGGCAGAAATTATTTATGATACTTTACACATGCTTTTGTTTCTTTTTCTAATGTTCTTTTTCCATCTTAACCAAACCAGGAAGCGTCATCACAGTAATTCCCCCAGTCCAACGCGCGGCAGCAGCAGACGAGCGCGGTCGTCTTCACCTCGCTCTGAGAGATCGGAGCGCTCAGATCGCTCCTACTCAAAAGACACGTCCTCTCGTTCTTACAAAGACTCTCCTCGCGCTAGTAAAAAATCCTCCAAAAGGTAAGGTGATCTGAACTAATGCTGGGGGGTCAAACCGGTCCTCAAAGGGCCAGTGTGACTGCAGGGTTTCATTCCAACTAAGCAGGAGCACACCAGACTCCACCATTTTCTCAAGTCTTGAAATGAGTATGGAAGCTCCTGCTTGGTTGGAATGAATATCTGCAGCCACATCTGCCCTTTCTGGAGCCACTGGTCTAATGTAAGTTGACAAATACTAAAACATACTTACCCTCTACTCTAGGGAAGAGTAAAGGCCAATGGAAGACTGTAGTTTTAGAGAGAGGTGGGGTTGTACTTGGCTGGGGTGTTTTCTGGTTGGTGATGTGCGTTGGTATGTGTGGGGCGAGTATGTGTGTGTGGTTTGTGGGTATGTGTGGAAAGAATTTGTTTTGTTGGGGCACTACATTATATTTTAAAAGATTTCACTAGTTAAATGGATAATATAAAAAAAAAGTCTATTGGAATTTCTTCATTTAATTGTAATGGTTTAGCAAATACCTCTAAAAGGAATGACATTTTTACTTGGTTAAATGATAAAAGTGACATTCAAATTGCTTGTATGCAGGAAACTCACTCTAACTCAGAAAATGAGCTAAAATGGAGATCTGAATGGGGAGGGGATATATATTTTAGTCATGGTTTAAAAAACAGTAGAGGTGTTATGATTTTGATTAAATGTAATGTAGATTATACACTACACTCCATATCTAAAGATAAGCAAGGTAGATGGATTGTAATAGATATGATAAATAACTTGCATATTATTTTAACAAATATTTATGCTCCTAATGAGGACAATCCATTATTCTTTGGTGAAATTAATACATATTTAAGCTCACTACAATCTAATCAAATTATAATAACTGGGGATTTCAATACAGTCTTGGATATAAATAAGGATCGAAGTGGTCTACATAAATTTAATAATCATCCCCATGCACTTAGGGAAATTAAAGAAATGGCTGCAGCATTAGATCTTGTTGATATCTGGCGTCTGTTAAATAAAGATACTAGGTATACATGGCGCAGAGGAAAGCAGGCTAGTAGAATTGATTATTTTCTCATTCCCTTCTCATTGGTTCCTAGAGTATTAAACTGTTGTATTGGTGACTGCTTGAGATCTGACCATAGTCTGGTTACATTGCTGATTGACAATCCGCAATGTTCCAGAGGACGGGGTTACTGGAAATTCAATGTATCGCTTCTAAATGATAATTTGTTCCTCGATATTACCAGGAGATTTATTAAGGAATTTTTTGAACATAATGAAAACTCCTCTAATCCACATAATGTTTGGGAAGCCTTTAAATGTTCCTTTAGAGGACATGCGATTAAGATGGGAGCAATTAAGAAAAAAAGAAACCTAAAACAAGAACAAGAACTTATTGAGGAAATAAATGAGTTACAAAAATTATTAGATAGATGTTACACAACTGAAACAGAAATATTAATTAAAAGAAAACAAGGTCCATTGGAGAGTCTTTATCATGAACGGGCAAACAGAGTTATTTTTAGGTCACATGCTGCTTGGATGGAGAAGGGTGAGAAGTGTACGTCACATTTTTTACGGTTAAACCAAAGAAATTCTGTTAAAAAGAATATCATGAGTTTATATAGAGATAATGTCTTAGTCACAAATTCACAAGAAATATTACAGGAAGAATTTGAATATTTTAAAGCTCTATATTGCAATGATGCAATACTGGAGCCCCTTAGTGATGTGACAGAGCAATATTTTCCTTTAAATAATGTCTCTGTGCTTTCTACTTCCCAGCAATTAAGCTGTGAAGGAGAAATAACAGAACAGGAGTTACTAGAGGCAATTAATTCGTTTTCATCTGGTAAATCTCCTGGTATCGACGGTATTCCTACTGAGATGTATAAGATTTTTTTTACAGAAATTAAAAAACCCCTATTAGCATCTTTCAATTTTTCATTTCAACAGGGTATTTTATCCAATTCACAAAGAGAGGGAGTTATCTCAATACTCTTAAAACAAAATCCTGATGGGAAACATAAAGATCCCAAATTGTTAAAAAATTGGCGTCCATTGACCCTGCTCTGTTGTGATACTCGTATTTTATCTAAATGTATTGCTTTAAGAATAAACATAATTGGAAGTATTATAAATAACGATCAAGCAGGTTTTATTAAGGGAAGATTTATTGGAGACAACTTGAGACAAATACTTGACACGATATATTTTTATGAGAAACATCAGGAACCAGGATTATTGTTTATTGCTGATTTTGAAAAGGCATTTGACAAAGTTCAATGGAAGTTCATAAGACAATGTCTTGTTTTTTTTTAATTTTGGAAAAAACTTAATCCAGTGGTTTGAAACGCTTTATAATCATCCGGTTAGTAGAGTGATTAATAATGGTCATATATCAGATACATTTTCATTAACACAAGGAGTCTGTCAAGGGTGTAGTTTGTCACCATATCTCTTTATTTTATGTATTGAAATTCTAGCTATTAAAATTAGGAACAATCCAGATATACCAGGTCTATTTCCAAACGGCCAAGAGATTAAACTGACAATGTATGCTGATGATGCAACCTTTTTTATAAAACCAATACAATCCACTTTGGAAGGACTAATAAAGGAATTAAATAAGTTTTCAAAAATATCTGGATTGAAACCTAATTTTGCTAAATGTAGTATTTTGAGAATTGGGATGTTAAAAGACACTAATTTCATTTTAAACTGTTCTGCTCCTGTTAAATGGACTAATGGAGGAGTTGATACTTTGGGGATTCATCTACCTGATGACTTTAAAGAAGTTGTTAAATACAATTATGAGAGAAGGATGGAAAAGGTAGATAAAATTTTACAACCTTGGAGGGGGAACTTTCTGACAATTCAAGGGAAAGTAACGTTGATTAATACATTAGTAATCCCACAATTTGTCCACCTATTAATGCTTCTTCCTTCACCTAGCATTAAGTTCTTCAAACACTTTGAACAGAAAATTTTCAAATTCATATGGAATAATAAACCAGATAAAATTAAAAGGCAGTATCTATATAATTCCTATGATAATGGCGGACTGAATTTAAAAAATCTTCAAATGATGGACTGTTCCTTGAAGGCCTCCTGGGTTGCTAAAATGTATCGTAATGAAAAGTGGATTACGACCCAGAGATTATATTCAGCCTTTTCCTTCTTCTCGAACAATATATTTCCTTTTTACCAATTAAAAACAATACATATTGATAAACTATTTCAAAATAGTTTAAAAGAGTTATCACCATTCTTCAAGGATGCATTAAAAGCTTGGTTGAATTTCCAGTATCATCCTCCAGATACAGCTCAAGATATTCAGACACAGTTGCTATGGATGAATTCAAACATTACTGTTGGAGACAAACCATTGTTGTGGGAGGAATGTGTTAAAAATGGGTTAATTTTTGTCAATGACCTTTTAGATTTATCTGGAGATTTGATTTCTTATGAAAATTTGAAAAGATCTTTTAACATTTCTCTCGATGAGCTACAATACAACCAGCTGATTTCTGCAATTCCTAAAACTTGGAAAAGAAAATTGCAAAATTGTAGGAAGAATAAGTTGATGGTTTGTCTCCCAATAATAAGATGCCCAAAATGGCTGTCTGGTGCCAAAATAAATAAAATAATATATATGTGGAATGTAAATATCACAGGCACCGCACTTTTCCCACACAGAATCTGCCTGTTTTGGGAAGATGAATTCAATGATCCAATTTTGTGGAAAGATTACTTTAGAACAATTTATAGAACTACAATAGATTCATATTCCAGGATATTTCAACTTAAAATCTTTTATAAAATTATTGCAACAAAAAAATCTCTGGTCAAATGGCAGATAGAAAAGGATCCCTGTTGCAGGTTCTGTGGGGATGAGGAGGAGGACCTGATGCATTTGTTTTATTTTTGTCCACATGTGGCTAAGTTTTGGGTCAGTGTACAGTTATGGTTAAGGTCTATGGGTATTGCTTTGCAAATTACACCTCAGAATATTGTGTTATGTATTTTTGAGGGTAAATGCACATACCTTTTGAATATGATTATTCTGATGATGGGTAAAATGTTTATTTTTAAAGCTAAAAATGTATCAAATTTATGTATAAAACATTTTAAGAATAGAGTTTATCATCAGTATATGTTAGAAACAATTATAGCAACAAATAACAACAGAATAATTGAGCATGAAAAGAAATGGAATGTCTGCTTACCTGAGTTAGAGATATAAATATTAGGTGTACTTGCTATGCCATTTGTTATGTCGTAAATGTTTTGCTAATTATATTGTATTTTGTTTATGGATTTTGATTGGTATTAGTGATTTTATTTTATTTCTCATTTTCTATGTTATTATTTTCTTTTGCTTTGTGCTTCTTTTTTGTCTATAGTCTGTGTTCAAATACTGAGAATGTGTGGATGATTGTGGTTGTGATTGTGGTATGAATGCAAGGGGGGTGGCTGGGTTTGGGTGGGGGGTTTTGAAGTTTGTCTCGTTATTTTATCTTGTAAATAAAAAGAAGAAAAAAGGAAAAAAATACAGAAAAAAAAAAAAAAAAAAAATACTAAAACAGTCTGATCTTCTGTGTGTCCAGATCTCCATCTCCTCGCACGCCTAAACGCTCTCGACGGTCGCGCTCCAGAACCCCCAAGAAATCGACAAAGAAGTCCCGCTCGAAGTCCCGCTCCCGGTCCCCACATCGGTCTCACAAGAAGTCAAAGAAAAGTAAACACTGACATCTCAAAGGACTTCTGAAGCTTTCTGTGCTTTCACCCGTGCCCCTCATATGTACAGACACAGATCACCACAGGGTGTCGCACGAGCTTCCAGCAACGATGGCGTGAATGGGGCAGGTTTATTTTGTATAAATAAATCATGGTAATGTCTGTTTGGACGTCAGTTCACAGTGGAAATTACCCAATCGCTCGACCACGACAGGTGTCTTTTATTCATGCTGTCAATTTCCGTTTTGTAGATTACATTAGGAAAAAAATCTTAATAAACATGATTCTTTTTTAATCAAGTGGTTGTGTCCAAAGTTAAAGATCCAAGATGATTTCAACAGCACATTTTGAAGGCATATTTCACTGTTGCTGAAAGAACATAATCTTAAAGTCTGGCTTGTGTTTTCTTCAGCTGATCCCGCAGTTCCAGTTGAGCAATAGACGAGAGGTGCACTTCGTCAGGTCCATCAGCGATGCGCAGTGTTCGGACGTAGGCGTACCTGTAGGAAGGAAGAGTTTATGGCGTTAAGGAAACTTCTAGATTTAAAATATTGGAACCTGTGGTGTGGTCTCACATTTGAGCCAATGGAAAGTCACCAGACACCCCTGCTCCTCCATACACCTGAATGGCACAATCCACCACTTTGCAAGACATCCTGGCTGCTGCCACTTTAATCATGGCAATCTAGAAAACCAACATAAGATTAAGAGAGATTTGTCCCACAATGGGGAAATGGCAAGTTACAGAACAGTAGGAGGAGCACACAACACCAGACAAGTGAATAAGTATATTATAGCTCAACTCTATAAATTAGCTTAGAGATTGGAAACTTTTTAAAGCAAAAAAATAAAACATAAGGTATATTTGTGTTCGAGTGCTAATAATGACGTATTTGTATATTACAGATTTATCTACAGATGCATACATACTAGTGCAAGAATATTTAATAAGTTGTCAATAGCTTTGATGGTTAAGAGACAGATGCACACAAGTATACGTTGGTTGTACCTGTTTACGTGCAGCTCGACTTCCCTTCGTGTCCAGTGCGTGAGCCGCGTACAGCGTGAGCAAACGGGTCTGCTCGATCATCAGACGGCACTCCGCTATCCAGTGAGCCACGACCTCCTGAACATCAAGGCGTAATTTACAATATGTCCAGTAGATGGCGTCAGGGTTCTGGGAGCTTACGTGTTGGTAGAGGGTCTTTCCAAAGGTGCGTCTGGAAGCGGCTCGGTGGCAGAGCAGCTCCAGCGCCATCTCTGCGCAGCCCACCGCCCTCATGCAGTGGTGCAGCCGGCCTGGACCCAGACGGCCCTGGGCGATCTCAAAACCCCGGCCTTCTCCTGTGACAAGAAAATGGGTTTGAAATGCAATGGTAGAAGAAATCAAAGGCAACAATCATTTTCTGGAAAAACTATTTTTTGCGATTAAATATATATTTTTTTCCTTTTTAAACACAACAAAAGGGATACAAATAAATTTACTGTTGTGGTTTTGGCCGTCACAAAAGTCATCTCAAAGGCTGTCACACATTAATTTGCCAAAAGATTACAGAATCAAACAAGGCTTGACTAACTAGGAATTTGAACAAATAGAAAATGTCCCTGGAGTTCCCTATTGTTATTGTGGAGATTGGAACTACTAAGTACACCTTTTATTTCAACAATACACTAAACACACGCATACCTTCACATGCCTATTGTAACATTCAAAAAGAGCTCACCTAGAATTATGTTGGATGTGGGAACACGCACATTCTCAAAGTGTACTTCAAAATGGCCCCCGTGGATGGCATCTGTAGTAAAAACAATGAAGTTTGGGGATGAACATATTTGATATTTGATAATGCTCCTTTTCCATAGGCACTATGTTACTAAAAAAAAAAACTACCATCCTGTCCAAACACGGTGAGTGGCCTCACTCGAATCACTCCTGGTGTGTCCATGGGCACGAGAACCATGCTGTGGAGGCGATGTCTGAAATCACGTCACATTTGTTACAAAAATCTCACAGTATATGTTTACAGTATGTTATTAGATTGTGATAAAACCTTCTAACCTGCTGTTGACATCCACTTGTTTGTTTTTGCACATCACAATGGCAATTTTACAGTCAGGATTTCCAGCACCTGTACAGAAGAAAGACAAAAATAATACTGGTGGTTTAATAGACTTTTTTTTGCTCGCTCATGACCCACATGTAGCACAGTGACAGTAGGATTCGACACACAGGAAATCTCTATTATCCTACGTCTTTTAATGGTATTACAAATATTTGCCTTGGGCCCTTTATCTCACACAACAAATGAATTTCAAACTTTTAAAAACATTTCACCAATTGAGCTTATTTCTATAACAATATCCCTTGATATTAATTCTATTTAATGTCATGTCCTTTCTGCAGCATTTAAAGAGACCGGGTGAAACATAGGCCGGCTTCCTGTTTATCCGTATTCCAGCTGGAGAAAACTGTTCCCAAACAATGAGTTTGAAGCACAGGCCTCTCCCAGACGTTTCTATCAATTCTAATCCTGCACTGGAATATAAACGTTTACTTCTCCGCCCTTGGATGCAAAAACAAATCTGATTATGCTTGGGGGTAACTGTGGTAACCACAGAGAAGGAATCCCTGCATGCTCCACCCACGGGCTTCACGTGAAATCTGTTGCAAGTAAACTGGAGCCATGAGGAGAACCCTGTTATGTTCAGGCATGTCCACACTGGAATGAAACCTCAGGACATATACAAATAGTGTACAATTAAAGATAATCTGGAGACCAAATATAGTCATGCCATAAGCATCATGCAGAGATATGAGTTAAACCAACTCAAGTGACAGGGATAATAAGCCAGTGTGCACTTGTCCCAAACATGAAGAATTTTAAGTCAACAAATGCTTAAGAGGTTGCGATCATGTTCTAGACTTATATATTTTAGTTAAAAGAAAGGTGCTAAAAGTGAGGGAAAGAAGCAAAGAAAAGGTTGAAAAAGATTATATCCAACATTTTCTCCCAGATTTGATAGTGATTAATTCTCTAGTCTGAAAGTCCTTTCTACTGGTCAATATCTGCACATGTTTTTCAATATTCACCACTTCAAGACACCTTTTATGAGAACAAAATTAGTTTGTATGTACTGACAAAAGACATTTTGTGTTTCTAGTGAATCTGAAATCATTCTCAACTGCCCTCTACCACAAATTTAAATAAAGGCTCTTTGGAATGTAATGATGTCACATGAGTGTAAAATAAACATAATATAAGGCGCCATCATGTCCTTTATCTCAGTAAAAGTTGTCTTATCAAAACCGTGCACTAATAAAAGAATCACATGCGATGTGGATTAGTCATAAGCTTTAGAGTGAGCCCTCTCCTGGTCTCGGCAGTGAAAGGATCTGGGCGGACTCTGAAACTTCATACAGACGGACCGCAGCTCAAGAACACGGGATCTCACGGGAAAACAAGGTAAATGAACAGCTTCCTTTTTTAAAGTAAAGAAGCTAAAGTTCTGGAATATTTCTGTGCCATGTGTAGAGCGTCAGAGCCAAAGGTTGATTTTATTCTGAGTCATAGATTCAGTCGTTATTTTACAACATCAATCTAACTGAATTGAGGTAGTGTTTCAACATCTTGCTTCTTTGTTTACATTTCCTTGTACATTATATCTGTTAATGTAGAAGTTTGGGATTTAGAATCCCTCCACTTAGAAGAGGAATAAATCGCACTAGCAAAGTAAATCTGGGGTACATACGCTTCAAACCTTTTAAAAAAACTAAATCTATATCTCTGCAAGTCTCAAAACAGTGGAGTTCTGCGGCTAGTTTCCAAATGCATGTATGTTGGACTCTTTTTAGACAAACATACAGCACCCTCCCTCAGCCAATTAAAGAGTGACTCTTTCTAAGTATGAAAATGATAGCATGTTTTGCATGATACGTCTATATTATATATAATGTAATATAATCTATCATAAAGATGTATAATATAATGTAGATGAAGACAGCATGTATTTTTTTTTAAACTTGAGAAAAGTAATATATAAGTTAGGAATCTCAGCCTGAACTCATTAATCATATAAATGTCTTCACTTAAGTCCCTACTTATGTTCAACATAATTGTATGAGCACATGAGGCCAAGTGTTGACAGCACGGCTGGAATATTTCACATTTTTCTAAACGCTCTAACATCTGTTACGGAAACCCATACCGCCCATGTGGGAGATAGTGACACATGATGTAACAAACCTAGACTTCTTTTCATAACAAACTCATAAGAACATGATTGAAATACATCCTAACCCTAACCTCGATAGAGCCGCTACGAGAAGGTCATCGTTCATATGATTTTACATCCCATCAGAATGTTGCTCTTATCAGTCCTGCTGCTGTAGACATAACACATCTGTGGAGAACATGCTGGATCTCAGATTAGAGGAACATTCAACAATAGCTGCAGTCTGGTCTGAGCAAGTCAAAGTCACCTTACATTTCACATTCAGTGGGCTTCCCTGAATATTCTTTATTCCATTTTCACAGTAAATATGGAAGACTACTTTGATGTGGACGACAGCCTGAATGACACGTACGACTATGAGGACTACCACACGATCTGTGACAAAGAGGCGGTGCGCTCCTTCGGCGGTGTGTTCCTGCCAATCATGTACGCTGTGGCTCTGGTGGTGGGTCTGTCGGGAAACGCCCTGGTGCTGGTGGTCTACACGTCCCGCCTGCGCCTCCGCACCCTGACAGACGTGTGCATCCTGAACCTGGCCATCTCCGACCTGCTGCTCCTCTTCACGCTGCCGTTCTGGGCGGCGGACGCAGTTCACGGCTGGAAGTTGGGCTCCGCGACTTGTAAAATCACGTCTTTCGCCTACAGCGCTAACTTCAGCTGCGGCATGCTGCTGCTGGCCTGCATCAGCGTGGATCGGTACAGAGCGGTGATGCAGGTGACAAGGGGACGTCCCGGAGGAAACTCTAAAGTTAGGGTTCAGTGGCTGCTGGTGTGTGTTGCATTGTGGGCCACAGCTTGCTTCCTAAGTCTTCCAGAGCTAATCTTCTCCACAGTCAAACACTCCCACTACCGCATGTCCTGCACGGCTATGTACCCAGCTCACATGGCCAAAGCTACCAAGGCCGCTCTGGAGCTGCTGGAGGTCCTACTCAGGTTCTTGGTGCCGTTTGTGGTCATGGCGGTGTGCTACAGCTGTGTGGGCCGGGTTCTGAGCAGGGGGGCCGGGGGACAGAGGCAGAAGAAGTGGCGAGCTCTGCGTGTGCTCCTGGCTGTGGTGGCCGTGTTCCTGCTCACTCAGCTGCCGTACACCGTGGTCAAACTGTGCCGCGCCCTGGACGTCATCTACGGCCACGTGACCGACTGCGACGCCAGCAAGAGCCTGGACTACGCGCTGCAGGTGACGGAGAGCCTGGCCCTGACGCACGCCTGCATCAACCCTCTGCTCTACGCCTGCATGGGCTCCTCCTTCCGGCCGCACATCCTGAAAGCTGCTAAACGCCTGGGTCAGAGTCTGGGCAGTCACCCGCGGCACCCGCAGGAACCCGCTGTGGAGATCCCCCTCAACACCTGCTCACAAGTGCAATCACAGTCTGCCTCTGACCATCAGGACACCAGCACCTTCTCCATTTAAGACTCTGCTTATTCACCACTTGCATCTTAAAATATATTCAGTGTAATGATGATTGTATTTAAACAATTCTTTTGTAAAAAAAAAAAAAAAATACAAAATGGATACCTATTTATTCAATTTTGTTGGAATAATTTGGTATTCTCATCTGCTTCCTTTGCCATTGGTTAAGGATGTATAGGGTTATTTGGTTTTGTATAGATGTATAACAGAAGTCTAATCTGGTCTCAAGTTTAAAAGCCTCACTTCTGTGTATCACAACAAAAAATCTCATGCTTTTTTTGAATCAACTCAAATTACTTCCATCTCGAAACTGGGGAAGAATAACAAGATGTGTTACAGACAAAAAGCATGGGTTTGATTTCAGTGAACTCCAAACAAAGAAAAATAATCTGTACCAGGTCAACAAGAAGTCCCCAGGAGAGCCGCTAACATTAGCCACATTAGAACCGGTAAACACATTTCATTGACAGGAGATAAGATGTTAATCTGACAAAGGCAGAGTTCACTTTCCTCAGAAATTCATCTTGATTCTGGACGCCGTCTTCCCCTGAGCTCCTCCTCCTGAGTCCGCATGTGTTAATCAACTTATTATCACCTCGTGTTTCGTGTTCACACAAATGTTATTAATGATGTTGCTGCATGTCCTCATAATGTGAGACAGAGGCGTGAAGGAGGTGAGAGATGAGGCTGTGTGCAGAGGTTTTAGATCCCAAACACAAACAGACCAGAGAAGACGGAAAGAATGAGTGGAAAAGGAAATCCCCATGATTGTTTCTTCTTTCAGGGAATTGCTCCTTTCTTCTTAGTTTTACTTATTTAATAGTTATAGTGAGGTTGGATAAAATGACTCATGGAAGAAAAACGGACGCTATGGCAAACACAAGCACAACATGTGGTGTAGAGGAACCAGAAGAGTCCAAATCCTTTAGGAGTACTGTTTTTGTTGTTACCACTTAACCATCTTTGTGTTTGAGAGAAGAATATAGTAAATGTGAACTTACCACTGCTCCACCATTTCTTTCCGTTTATAACGTAGCTGTCTCCGTCTCTGTCCACGGTGCATTCTATGTTAGTGGCATCACTAGAAGCAACATCAGGTTCTGAGAAAGAAAATGAGATGGAGAATGTATTTAACGTTCTATTATGATTGCACCAACAACATGATTTCTGACTTCATCATTCTGAAATCATTGTAAAACTATCAGTCTCGAGAGCCCCTCAGCGGGACTTCTCCTTTGTTGACTAATGCATGTGGTTCACACCCACAGTAACGACTGCTGGCACTGTTCACTGGTGTTTCCAGGCAGTGGGCAGAGATTAAATCAAAACAAGAATCAAAGGGTTGTAACGTTGTAAGAGCAGAGTAATTGGCTAAAACAACATTTTCATTTTACAGAGGAAACACGGAAACATCTATAATCCAGACCTGTCATGCAGAAGCAGGACCGGATCTCTCCTTTGAGCAGAGGCTGTAGCCAGAGCTTCTTCTGTTCCTCACTGCCAAACATGTGGAGGACCTCCATGTTTCCAGTGTCTGTAAAGAAAACAATTAGACAGAATATACATTTAGAAACACAGAGTTAATATGTTGAATAGTAGAAGTAGTAAATGAATGAAAAGAATGAAGGTGGAAAAACAACTGCTATGCTTTTCTTACTCATCCTAGTTATATGGGTTTACAGTTATTCATTGTCTATTTCCAACATGAAGCCAAAGCATGATTCTTGTTTGTGAATTGTTTTTACTGACAATAGTAATACAAAAATTTGAAAAGCATTTGTAGAGCGCAGTCCTCCAAGAAAAAAATCCTGGATCCAGACACGTATCACCAACAGATCAAGTTGTGAATAGTTTTACCTGGAGCCTGGCAGTTAAAGATTTCTGGAGCGAAAAGGCAGCACCCAGTTTCCTCTGCAATATAGGCATAGTCCAGCTGAGTCAGGCCGCTGACAGCTGGCAGGAACAGATTCCACAACCCTGCCTCCCGCGCCTTCACCTACAAGTACAGAAACACACACATACAGACACACACTTACAATTACAACTGCTCAACATTAAGAACCCAGTGTAATGTTATGTTGTATAGAATATTACCTGGAGATTCTTAATGATTAGAGGAGTGTGCCATCTCTGTGGGGACTGGGCATGTTTGATGTAATACTCTTGGACTTCCTTTGTAACAAGAAACAAGAAACGTGTAATAACTAAATTACTTCATGTTAGATGATTATTGTATCAATATAAAAACTTTACAACATTTAGCTTTGACACTTGGATCTTGTACCTTCTGTGCAGGTAGAATATGTTTTTTCATGAAGTCTTTGACCTGCCGCAGAACAGTTTGACCTTTACGTGTCTGACGAAGCAATGAGTCCTCAGGGTCTTTTGCTGTTGTTGAAAGAGTCCTGACAAAAACACTTGTGAGTCACAGTGGATATGAATAAAAAACTGAACAGCACAGAGCCGATAATAACCTCTGAGCAATCTGCAAGGCGATCGCAGCCATTGGCTCCACATACTGGCCAAACTTAGCAGCATTTTGGGCACTGGCATTACCCAGAAGATAGCGAGCATAAATTCCCTGGAAACAAAAAATCTCAATCTTAATAAATTATAATCAACATAAAATTTCTTCCCATTATTTAGTAAACAAACCTGGGCAATGCCTGCCATTTTAAATACAGACAGGGCCAGATAGAAGTTCAGATCCGGCATCGAAGATGGGATTCCTCGAAAATGACAATAAATGGAGACAAGATCCTCCACAGATGGAATACCTATTAAACATAAATTATGGACATATTTAAGATAATACAATCAAGACGTATTTATTGTTCTCAAAATATATTTACCATCTATTCCTTTAAAGCTGCCCATCGAACTGAGGATGTTAAAGTCTTCGGGCCAGTAGTGGGGCATAAGAAAGTATGCCAAGTCAGCTATTGGTTGGCCAGTGGTGGAAAGCTCCCAGTCTAAGACTGCAATTACACGAGCCTAAAAACAAAGATGAGTTCAGATGATTCAGTCAAGTTGTGTTTTAAAGATAAACAATATGAGGCAAAAGTACCTCTTTTGCATGAAATATCAAATTATCTATTCGGAAATCTCCATGGACCAGAGTTATTTCATCATCATTGTCCGGGAGATGCTTCAACAGCCAATCTGAAAGATTGTTCATGTCTGGAATGTCTTTGTGGGCAGCAGCACTGTACTGCTTTGTCCAGGTGGACACCTGTTACACACATATGCAATCACACAGTTTGTATTTGAGTTGTCATGTTGTGTGATCTCTTTTATCTGATCTGCTTTTCTTACCTGCCTCTTGCAGTACCCTGGTCCTTTTCCATATCCTCCAAGTTTTAGAGATGCCACTGAGAGAGAATGAAGCTTTGCCAAAACTTCAACTGCAGCAACATACAGAGCTGTTCTCTCTGCAACAGAGAGTCCAGGGAGGCGCAGGTCCCGGAATATACGCCCCTTCAAGAAAATAGTTAATAATTTGCTGTTGTAAAACTAGTGTATATTCAGATATAGTGACGTAGAGAAACCAACCTTCGCATGTTCCATTATGTAGAACTCGGTTCCGATGATGTGTGGATCAGTGCAGTGGAGCAGAGGCTGGGGAACAGGAAAGCCAGCTGAGAAAAGTACTTTTTGCACATGATACTCTCTATCCACCTGTGGACACATTATTATATTCAGTTCTTGATGCGGCTCATTAAAGGCTTTTACATACAATACTCTCTCCCTCTTTGAGAGAGTAAAACAGCTGCTCTCACCTTATGCGCCCCTGGCAGGAGCTCACCTGGAGGCTTCTTCCTGAGCACATAGCTTCTAGTTGGAGACTCTATTAAAAAAGTTGGGTTGGACTGACCAAAACTGAAACCAGAACCAGAACATCCATAAGCCAAGTTCAGTCCCAAATGATAAAGAGTAAAATCGAATAAATCAGCAGATCATCGTTGGCTGATTTATTTCCTTACCTGAATTGCCTGAGAGTTACTTTATCATCATCAGACAATAATGACTTTGCAGAAAGATATTTCTGAAGGTTATCAACGTTGAAACTATGTGGTTCTCGTACGTGAGTTGTCTGGTCGTCCATGTTTAAATCATTGCATTAATCATTTACAGTGGTGCAGATCCATGAGTTAAAGTGAAACGGTGTTGACAATTCACCCGGACGGTTTTACGCTGTGCACTCAACCAACGCTGCAAGGGTACTCAGCAGAAAAACATGCATAAGATTATTTCGACATGATAAAATAATAAATAATATAATACTTTGTTAAATGACCCCGGATTATAATTGAATTTGTATATGTTAGCTTTCAAGTGTTGTTGTGGAACGAATTATAATAGTTTTGTTTCTGTACGGACGCTTCTGAATGCTACACAATCTGACAGCTGACTGAACTGGAGACGTGTACTAGTTGTGCTGTTCAATTGGCCATATTTTTGTTATTTTACACTTTAATACCTGCCATTTTTGTATTCAGGGGTAAACTCTTCTTTTTCTACAATGGCAACAATCGAGGAGTTGAAATTGCGAGTTAGAGAGCTTGAAAATGAATTAATAAAGTGTAAGCAAAAACATTGTGCCGAGGAGGACGCCCAAAGCCACTCACATCTCAGACCAAAGATTGACAAGATGAGCGCGGAGGTGGTGGACTCCAATCCTTACAGGTACAGAACTAATGCACTACTTTTTTCATTTATACAGCACGTATTTTAATTTCCAAGAATGGCGTTTGGGAGACGCCTCTGTGTGAGTCATTCATCACATTGCAATACAGTTACAGCATGGATGGATACAAGTTACACATGTTTGTTTAAGAACACTGTTGATTTTGATTGTGAATGTATATTAGTGCATCATGTTAAAATACTTGGGAATTAAAGCTGGGGTACCTAACTTGAATCAACCATAATACTGTCTTTATAGTCACAATTTGACGCTTTGGGTTGTGATATCCGCCAAACAGCTCACCTTTCCTGTCTGAAAAATCAGATTTAAACATGAGGCCAAAAGAAAGCTACCGATCCAACCAATTGTTTGTACTGTACTTTTTATTATACATTTTATAACATTACATCAATTCCTTTTTTGAAAGTTGGGTACACCAGCTCTAACTTCCTTTAATGTCATCTTGACCCACACTAAATATTGTTTTATTTTATCCAGTCGACTTATGGCTCTAAAGAGAATGGGAATCGTGGATGATTATGAGGTTAGATATTCTCTTTTGTTGTGTATTTGCTGTCAGTCATTATCACACAAAAAGCATACTGTTTACTCTTCTGATGTCTTCACAGAAAATCCGGACATACACTGTTGCTGTGGTTGGAGTTGGAGGAGTTGGAAGTGTTACGGCAGAAATGCTGACCAGATGTGGTATTGGTAAGGTAATAGAAACATTTCTGCATCAAACATTTTTCCCTCTTTATGCCTGATAATTCATATATTGTGTTTAAATACTGCACCTCTCTTTGTCATTCCAGCTCCTTCTTTTTGACTATGACAAAGTAGAGTTGGCCAACATGAACCGTTTATTCTTCCAGCCACATCAAGCTGGCCTCAGTAAAGTAGAGGCAGCAGAACACACTCTCAGGTAAGCAAGAAATACTGTACAATATATGATGGGTAAAGTTGTTTCTATGCTCACATTTGACATGACTTTTACAGAAATATTAATCCAGATGTATCGTTTGAGACCTATAACTACAACATCACAACTATGGAAAATTTTACACATTTTATGGATAGAATTAGGTAAGGTATGCGCACATTTCCCAGTTCTGTTCATTCAGCTTGTTTGACTGACATTGTATTACTAGCCATGGAGGATTAGAAGAGGGAACGCCTGTTGATTTGGTTTTGAGTTGTGTGGACAACTTTGAGGCAAGAATGGCCATAAATACAGTAAGTTTTATTTTGAATCTATTACAACAAAGAGAAAAGAATGATGCTCACTATTCCCTGTGTTTCTGCAGGCTTGTAATGAGCTTGGACAGACCTGGATGGAGTCTGGGGTCAGTGAGAATGCTGTATCAGGACATATCCAGCTGATTATTCCTGGAGAGACGGCCTGCTTTGCTGTATGTAAAATATACAATACAATATGCAATATGAAATCATAATTGTTTTTCTCTGTTTAGTGTGCGCCTCCTCTGGTGGTGGCAGCTAATATCGACGAGAAGACATTAAAAAGGGAGGGAGTTTGTGCTGCCAGTTTACCAACCACAATGGGCGTTGTCGCAGGCCTACTTGTGCAAAACGTCCTCAAGTAAGATTCATGAACCACGTTTAACCAAAATGAATGCATCAACATTTGCTTCTTCTATTTAGATTTCTATTGAAGTTTGGCACTGTCAGTTATTATCTTGGCTACAATGCTATGCAGGACTTCTTCCCATCCATGACAATGAAGGCGAATCCTCAATGTAATGACCATTACTGCAGGAAACAACAAGATGAATATAAGGTATGAATTATTATTTGAATTGTAATAGAAGCAAATACATGGAATAAGTGTCCTTTATTTATCTACCTCCAGAAAATGGAAGCAGTGAGGCCCAAGGTTGAGGTTGTTGTGAAAGAAGAGGAGGTTGTCCATGAGGATAATGACTGGGGTTAGTTTTTCTCGCATTTGTCTTGTTTGTATTTTGCTTTGTTATTCTGATGTATTTGTTGCTGTGAAGGCATTGAGTTGGTGTCAGAAATAGCGGAGGCTGATCTGGAGGCTGCTACAGGTCCCATGCCTGACCTCCCTGAAGGGATCACTGTAGCTTACACACTTCCCGCTGAGGTCAGTGTTTGTCTGTCCAGTTAATTTAGTCAATGATCAATTATAGTCTTTGAGAATGTAACATTTACCTCTGTCTTCAGGCACCTGCTGATGGAGAAACCGTGGATGTGGCCGATCAGAGTCTAGAGGAACTCATGGCAAAAATGAGGAATCTATAAATGTTATTTTGTATGCCATGTTGTATAAATTATTATAGTAAAAACATAGTGATGAATATGCCCCATCTGTTACAATGGTCCAAGTAATTCAAAGAAATGAACGTATTAATAAGAAAAAGAAAAAAAGCGAATAAAAACAGAAAGCATGACCTGGAACTGTTAACTCACTTTCACATGTCCCAAGAACAGGGTTTTTTGGCATTTAATTAAAACAACAAAGTCTATGTTTTAGAATGTATCTGTTTATTTTACAGTATTCCACTTTGTGGGGTAATATAATGCTACATTTCTGTATTTGTCTAATTATGAAAAACAATACAGTTATTTCATGCACATTATCTTTGGTTGGCAGCGGTTTGTTTACAGTTTTACATTATAACAAAAGTCACATTTATTGGTGATCAAGAAATAATAAAAGTACCTTTAGTAAAACATTTTAAATATAGATGTATATTATACATTTGTTAATTAATACGCAAGTTCATCTAAATAATAACATATCTCTTTCAGAAATGGGAGTAAATCTTAATTTGAAAGTACAGGAGAAAAGGCATAAATAAATATAATTGTGATCATGTGTGTACTTCACAGTAACAAGAGCAGTCTGCACTCAGTTCATCCACTTTACAATTGTCCATTATTTGTGTGTGGATGTAGAAGAGGACAGTGGTCACCTCGACACCTGAGGGAGGGGCACTGGTCCTTTGAGGCTGAACGTGTCTCCACTGGAGGAATGGCGAGACGGAGCCTGGCCACACACAAGCGACGGCTCACTCTCCTTTATCTCCATGGCACGTTTGTAGAGTTCTGCTGCCTTCTCGTAGTCTCCCTCTTCATAGCTATTGACCAAAAAGAATGTTCAGGATTTCAATCTTAATGTGATTTCAGCCTGACGCCTCATTTCAGTGTACCTTAACACCGCAAGGTTTTTAAGTGTTTCTCCAACGCGAGGATGTGAGCGACCCAAACTGTCTTCGTACACTTTGAGGGCTCGCTCGTACAGGGGCAGAGCATCACTGTGTTTCTTCTGGAGGAATACATAAATTATAACTTATTTACAAAATATATAATGGCCATTTTGAACCTACTAGCTGGCAGTAGATGACAGCGAGGTTGACCAGTGCTGTGGCCACACTTGGATGTTTGGGCCCAAAACTTTTCTCTCTGATATCCAAAGACAGTTCATACAATGGGACAGCTTTCTCCAGTTTCCCCTTAGCACAAAAAATCACAAGTTTCACCAAAATGATTGAGTTTCAGACTTACTGCGACTTTCTTTCATTCATCTCTTACCCTTCGTTTATAGAGCATGGCCAGGTGCTTGAGTGTGTAGGCCAGTGAGGGGTGGTCAGGGGACAGGGCCCTCTTACGGATGTCCAGAGCTCTCTCGTACATGTCCTCAGCCGTTTCATATTCTCTCCTCTCTGTGTGCAGTGCGGCTAAATTGTTGAGTGATTGAGCGCAGTCTGGATGCTCTGGCCCCAAAACACGCTGACGCATCTCCAGTGAGCGGGTTAGGAAGATCTTGGCAGCACTAATACAAACAAAAGTGATAAGACTGGCATGTTTAGCTGAAAGATGTTTATTTAAATATATGATTAAGACTGACTCCAGGTTGTTTTGGAGGTAGTACAAGACGCCAAGCTCATTCAGCGTCTTGGCACAATCAGTGGAGTCTTTCCCCAGTGTCAGTTCTTCCAGCTGTAAGGCTCTGCGCCTCAGTAACGTGAAGCCATACTGTAGAGAAGAATGCCGGCTTTGATCAGTCTGAGCGGTCATGAGGAAAGCAACATGTATGTATGTATTCACCAAAACACTTGCTCACCATGTGCCCTTTTTGGCGAGCTGTCTTCTGTCGAATCTTTACTGATCGTTTACGGAGTCTTTCTGCTTGTTCATACCTGGGAGCGACACAAAAATATACTTAAAAAAGGTATCATTGGTTTACCTGTTTGAATATAATGTAATGTTATTAAGGTAACTGTTGTGTTGAGATTTTCAAAAATATTCAATATGTAGTCAATAAAAAATGCCACTTAACCCTAACAAAATGTCATTAATCTAATCTAATGAAATAACATGGATTTTTAATGTAGCATAAAGAAAGATTTGCAAACATGTTTTCCATAGAACCACTGACTTGTTCTGTTTCTGGTATAGCATAGCCAGAGACTCCAGCTCTCGTGCGACACTGGCGTGCTCTGCTCCATAGGCGTTCTCGTTGATCTCCAGGGCCTGCTTGTACAGCTGCTCAGCATTCCCATACTTCTTCCACTGTACGTACACTCCAGCCAGCTGATGCAGAGAGCGGGCCACACTGGGATGGTCGGGGTCCAGTGCAGTCTCTCTGATTTCCAGAGACCGCTGGAGAGGAGCGACAGCCTAGTTTCAAAGATATATTCAAATATATTTAATGACATTTTATGATTTTGTGGTGATTGTAAAGCTTACTTGGCTTGGGAGGCCGAGGTCTTTAAGGAAACGTCCCAGTGTCTCATAAAGGTTAGCCAACTTGGTCATGCTGTCATCACTTTCACAGCTCTTTTCATAATGTTTCAAAGAGTCAAAATACTCGTTAGCCATGGAACTTTTATCTTTGCCCACGTACTGCCAATAAACCAACAACTCTGAAAAATGTCCCCTGGAAAGACAGAGACAAATGTTTGTTGCTTGCTTTGTTGTGTTATACAAACAGCGTCGTTTCAACAAACCGTTTATAGAGATTTTGGGAAACAAAGAGATTCAAAAGGCTGATTTGTAATTTCGTCTTGTCTTCTTGTTGCTGAAATAACCACGGCAGCTCGTCAGCAACACGCCATGTGACATGGTCCTGACTACGTGAGAACACACCGAGTCAGAAAGAGGTGTCAGAGAAAGACGACAGTTTCAGAACGAATGGGGGAAACACATGCTCATTTTATTGTACCTTAGTTGCTGGTTAAAGTAATGAATCAACTTCTCTCTGTAAATAGCAGTATTGTTGCCTCCACACAGAAATTCTGATCTTACAGCTTCCCACGCCTAAAGAACAATACGACCCAATCAAAAAGTGTAAAATAGTTACATGTCTGCGTGTATTTAGGGGTTATTACCTGCAGATGTTGGAACCTGATGAGTCCACATCGAAGTGTTAGAATGCACAGGTTTTTGAGTTGGAATAGTAATGAGGAAAGCAGAGGAAGCTCGAGCTCAGGGAAAATATCCAACACTTCTGATTCACTGACTCCGTTGTGACTGACACATGCAAGGCACAAAATCTAAAAGGTACATGCAACTAAAGATGTTACATGAAGTCATTGTGAAGCTTCCATTACCATGTTATAGGTATTAAATCTTAAACTTGCCTCTTTCAGTATGTGTCGCTCTCTGTCAGATCGAAGTGAGTTCAGCGTCAACTTTAGAGCAACCCAGTAAAGTGACATGGTATCCTGACATTCCAGGCACTGGTCAAGACTTTTTTCCAAAGGCCAACACAGACTACAAATGCAAGCAAAGTCAAGGCAGATTATCAACCACCACAATATTTGACGATCCATCAACAACAGATAGTGTCAAAGTACACACCTTGTAATGACTCGTGCCAGCAAAGTCACGTATAATGCGTTACAAGTGGATCCAGAGCGACAATGTCTTTCGAGTTTTTTTTCCTGAACATAGACATTAAAGTGAAATAAAATGAGAGTATAAAGCAGGGGTGTCAAACTGGTCCAAGAAAGACCTGGTGTTGCTGCAGATAATAATTCTAACCAAGTAGGAGCAAACCAGACGCCACCCATTTCCTCAAGTCTTCAGGTTAAGACTAGACTCACTTGAGGAAATGGGAAACCTGCAGCTACAGCAGCCCTTTGAGGACCGGTCCGACATCTCTGGTCTGTAGGAAAATACTCAACTTGTTCTTTGGAAAGTTTCAGTTCCACACTCTGGCACTCTGCGTTCACAACACTTTTGACCTCTTTGGGACTCAAGGGGTCTAAATGAAGAGTGGGCCACAGCCTGGACAGAGATAAGATAAGATCATATAACATTACAATAACATCAATAAATTCATACATTTTTATAGTCTGTAAATGAGAATTATATAAACAAGTCTATACCTCCAGGCCTGCGGACAGGTCTCCACGTTGACAGACACCACCACTCGGACATTCACAGGCAGAGGGTCGATCAGCCACTTCATATGACGTTCTGCATGCTAGACCAGGAAGAACCATAGATGTTACTACACAAATACAATGCTCAGTGCGCTCTGCAAACCTGAAGCTTTACCTGTATTTGATCAATCGAATCAATGATAATGATTATATTTCCTTGGTGCCGTGCAGATAGCCTTTCCAGCCACCGAGGAAATTCTTCTAAAATCTTACTCGGTTCCATTGATAGGCCAGAAATGGACCAAAAGTGCTGAAGTAGCTACAATTTCAAAGACATTTCATTATGTATGTACTTTATTGTTTGTAATTACATGTATACTTTTGTTTTTCTTTTACTTTGACAGTGAGGCGTTTTATTATCAGAACAGGCTCTGAGCTTGTGGAGAGCGGACAACCGACAAAATGATACAAGAATAACGTGTTGGGGGATTGCTTTTGCTGTACTTCAATCCTGAAAAACATTTAAATAATTTGTAACTTTACCGAATAAACACATCCATGAAATACAACAACAAATGTATCTCACCATTTCGAAAGAAGAAGAGATTTCCCTGAACCTGGGCCACCGGATACAAGTAGAGGAGGAGTGGGTGGAGGCGCAGCTATCATGTCATTTAACCGATCTATGTACTAAGAGTTATCGCATTCAAAACAATGTCAATGTATCTGTCTAAACACAATGCAATACTAACTTATCAATACCTTCTGAAAGCCTAGCTGAGAGGTACTGCAGCTACAGGCCTGCTGGTAGGACTCAATCTGCTCTTGTTCATCGTGCAGGTCCCAAAGCACGTCTCCAGAATCCTCCTCTCGTCCTTCCTCCTGCCCATAATCCTTAGAGTCTTCGTCCGCTCCCTCAAGAGCCAACAGCTCCTTAGAATTACATGGAAATTTGTGATAAAGCGTGACCTTGAAAATACTTCTGACGGCGAGTTCATACTTGTTTGATGACTCTTTCCAGCTGATCGTAAATCAGTTTAGCTCCATCTTCCACAGAACCACAGTGTTCCACCACCTGTTTTTGTTTATTTGTGGAGAGTAAAGGTATTGAGCAACTGAGATGTACCATGAGATAAGTAATTGAGTGGAGCCCAACCTTGATTTTTCCTGTCTTGTCAGCTGCATTGATCCTTTCCAGCAGTTGCCTGGAGGTTGTGGTCAGCTTCTGGTCTTTGTCAGCTCTGAGGTACAGCACCAGCGGATGTCCCTCGGGATTCTTTACAAACGCTTCTTCACAGTCGTCCGCTGCTGCACTGTTGAGAGAAAAATATATGTTTGATTTCCAAATGATAAGTCGTTCACATTGCCCTTCTAACATTGTATTTGGTTTTATATTGCAAATCCTATTTAAGTAGTATAGATAAAGGACCTTTTTATCTTAATTGACTTATTCACAGAAACCAAAGCAACTGTTTCAAAATAATTAATGTATGTGACTCGTGAACCAGTGTACACTTGTTTGGTGCTTTCCCAACTCCACAAGTCAGTCAGAGTTCAATTGGACCAAGTGTGAACCCACCCTTGAGACTATTCTAGGGACCTGTATATTGACTTTGGCTCAATACGATGAGAGTATGAATTATTACAACACTGTAGAGTTGTGAAACATGGTCAAAAGATGTCAAATTACCTTGTTATATTAGATTTAAGAAGCAGCACACACACTGAGCTCCTTTCAATCTCCTGCTTGCGTTGAGCCACGTAGGAGCCTGCAGTGTTCTCCAAGAAGAAAACATTCAGGTAGAAATGACCAAGACTCTCGCACATCTTGCGCAGTTTGGGAGAGTGTTTCTGTGAAACAATGGGAATAACAATGTGTAATAGAATTGCAACTATCATGGGCACATGGATGAGAGCCAGAGGAAACAATAACAAGACTGACAAACCTTGATAAATATGTCAAGCTCATCTTTGGTTTCTTGTGTAAAAATAAAGTAGCAACGCACAGTGTTGCTCCACAAAGCCTGGGGAACATGAGGGGAAACCTGAAGGAGACTGGCCACAGCAGCATCCCAATCATCTACAAACAGAAACATATACGTCATAGATCCATGGTCACAACTGATTCCTTAGAAATAGAAATTCCGAAACATACATTCTACAAACAATATTTGGCCATACTGCAGCCTTTTGAAACCTTACCTCTGCTGACATTAGCAAAAGGCCCTTCTACATCAATAAGACTGTGAGCAAACTCTGGTCCTCTGAACGTCTGCTGCAGGTGCATCATGCTACCCATAGAGGGCTCACTCCCAAGCACACCACCTGTCCAGTACTCGCATTGTGTCCCTGCAGCTGAGGACAGATTCAACATAAATAAATACAAAATGACCAGATTAAAGGCAGAGGTGAGTGAAAACAGTGACTGACCTGTGACAGTAGTCTGGTTGTCATCTGAGTCAGAGTCATTCGGGTCATACACCTGAATGCCCTGAGCCTGCAGCTGTTGCAGTTTTGCCTCCAGGTCTCGCTTGGCCCTCAGTAAGTCCTGAATCTCCTTTTCTTTCGTCTCACGGAAAATCTTAAAACCAGGATTTTAATAAAGGTCTTGTCAGATGTAATGAACATTGCATAAATACTCTGCAATGTATACAATTATAGTACCTTGAACTGCCTTTTAACTTTGTCTCTGTCGTGTTCAAAGGTGGACGCTCTTTCCATAGCTTGGTACTTTGCTTCAAGTGCACTTTCCTTTTCTCTGAGGATCTTCTGATAGGTCTTCTGTAGTGCCTGTAAACCAAAAAAACAATCTATATCTAACAAATAAAAAACATATTATGAACCTAAATCTTAACATTGCTAAACAGATTGGTGTCCTCATCCCAGTCTGCATGAATTTGATTTTATTAGTTGAATTATTCATACTTTTCTATGGAAGTATGTATTGATGAAAATACAAAAAAGAATGTGATTAGGGCAAACGTCATTGAGTCAATTAAGTGTTGTTCAACCATGTTTTTGTCGATATGAGATTTGAAAGATATGAATATATGATTAATATGATATTTATATATATGATATATATATATATGATATTTTTCTGATTACTTGATATTCAAGACAGATCAAACTTTTTCAACTTTTGTGAGCACAATTTGGGATACAGCATTTGCCAGTGGGCGTGGTTTTACATGATTAATCGAAGTCGAACAGGGCATTTGTTTAGTCGACCAATATATATTTTTTTGGTTTAACACCAATAACAACCCAATAACATACCTGTAGCTCAGCTCTCAGCCTTTTGTTCTCCTCGTCCAGCTTGGCCTCCTTCTTCTGCATGGACGCGATCTCATTATTCTTGCTGACGCGGAAGATGTCGTACTCTTTGCGCAGTCTCTCATACTCGGCCGCATACTCCAGGTCCACGGAGCCGGTGGACTTAAAGCTGGCCCCGATCGCCCGCGGGCCCCGGCGGAACGAGCTGCGGAGGAGACGCGCTTTGGGCTTCACCTCCACCGGGATCTCACAGGCTTCTCCTCCTTCCCCACCGTACCCGTCCTCGATCACCTCCCCGGGACTCACCAGAGACGAGGCCGTGCCCATTTTTAGTGTTTACTTCAGCAGCACTTTTATACAGACTGAGTGCCCATGATGATGATGAGAACTGCCCATTATTTTATAGCAAGAAAATCAAAACTAACGGGACAGTCAGTTTCAGGTGCGCGTTTTAAACATGGATCTTTTAAAATAACTAATAAATAAGTTTAAAAGAGCTGTGGCCAAAGTGCAGCTAATAAAGTGTGTGCATGGTTTTAGCTAGCTTGTTAAACAGACCTAAATTAGCATTAGCCAAATCTGTCATTTCTAGTATTTTCTGAGCTAGCGGCTAACTTTACGCGACTAAAGTTTGGGCCATGAACAAAGAATTTCTGTTCGGACATGCGCTAAAAATCCCACAATAATATCATAGTTTTGCGGTTGAAAAGAAAAAATACATAGATGCGAGTTTGATTTAATAAATAATGTAAAAACTTCCCCATAGCGTCAGTCCGTTTTCTTCACGGCTTCTTCCTGGCTGCCCTGGTAACAAGACCATGTACGGAAGCTCATGGAGACCAGAAAGTCAAAAAGTTTTATACCACATTCAACATCTGTGCATTGCTATCCTCCTTTGCTATCCCTCTTGGGGTTTGTTGGAGAGGAAAAAAAAATCTCTCCATGAGTTCCTCCTGTTTGTTTCTCTCCTGATTCTTTCATTTAAAGCTGGGGTACCTAACTTTTATTTTTCAAAATTGATATTAGATTTGTTTTGTGTATGAACAAAACCACAACATGCTTTCTTTATCAATTGCATTCTTATAAGAAAGAGCCCTTTCAGTCACTATCTGGCACTTTGGGCTGAGTGAGCCTGGTCTTGTAGGGAAGTTTGTTTCTGCATATGATATGTCACATTTCCACAAAGGCAGTGGGGGGGCAAACTCCATATGAGTGTTGTGAAGCACTCAACAACAGTGCCCCCTTTCATTCATATCAAATTGTTTCCTTTAATACATTTTTCATAGCTCAATAATATATCTCAAAAACATTACAAATCGTCTTGTACAGCGGAATATTCCACATAAAGCAATAACACCATTCCTCATAGAGGCAAAGGTATAGTCCACCTTTAATACATATACTTTACGCAAAACTTTACCTGGGAAGTTCTGCATTCTGTGCCATAAAACATGAAAGTATGGTTTACACTGTCTTGTATCATTTTATTTTCCAGTCCTGTTTCTTGAGAAGACTTGTCTCACTTTGCTCCTGAAGGCAGTGTTGAGGAAGAAGTACATAAGTGGATCCAGCAGCCCACTCACACAGGTCAGTGCAGAGGTGATCCAGTTGAGTCTGTCCAGTATCTGCTTAGTGCTGGTCACATGGTCCAGTGTGTGACCCATGTGATTGTAAAGCACACGGCTAATAAGGTAGGGCAGAAATGCGATGAGGAAGTTCATAATGATAAGGATGATCATACTTCTAACTTTTGACTTTATTGGCCTCTCATTGTCTGATCGTTTGAGGGCTTTTATCCTCAACATTATCAGTAGGTATGACAGAATTATACATGATACAGGAATAGCAAATGCCACAACAGTTGAAATCAAAGCTGTATGTGACATCTTTTCTAAATAGAGATTGTTGCAAGTCTTATTTTGAGTAATGTCCCGCTTTGAAAAAAGCATTGGACATGTAGACACGGTCACCAAGATCCAAAGTGTGCCAACAATAATCTTTGCATACATGGACTTTCTTACAGCCCGTGATTTGAGCGGCAGGACTACAGACAGACATCTATCCAGGCTGATCAGACTCATGAGGTAGATGCTGCAGTACATGTTGAGGTAGAAGAGGAACCCTCCCAGCTGACACAGCACATGTCCCAGAGGCCACAGACTGTCGTTGAGGTGATAGACCACACGCATGGGGAGAAGCAGCACGTAGGACAGGTCTGCTATAGCCAGGTGACACAGAAACACCTTAGATGGAGAGCTGCTCTTCTGCTTGGAGAACGCCCACAGTGCAAGTGTGTTTCCGGGAACAGCAAACACCAAGACCAGGATGTAGAAAGCAGCAAATGCAATGTTCTCCCCAGTTGACCCTCTGAAGTGCCAGCTCTTCCACTCCTCCTCCTTCTCAGACATGTTCATGGCTGGTGTGAAAGATCTGTCCAAAACACATTTGCAAATTCCAAAGCCAATTGGATATTGTATCAGGGGAGACTTGATGAAAAGTAGAATGTTGTTTATTTACTTCTGGTATTCAACTTACAATGTGGAACTAATATATAACAGATTAATAACACGCAAAAGTGAGATAAATCAAGCCTGTAATCATTATGTCGATAATTAGCTCACAGCTTGTAAAAACTCCTAAAGTAAAAGAAATGACAGGAACTAGAATATTTTTAAAATGGACTGTAAGCCATAATACTCAGCATAACAAACATAGGCTTGGCATTTGTCACTTTACATGCACTCTTTATCAGAAATGGGTTTCACATTTTAAGTTGAATTAAAGAAATTATATTCTTATTTTTACCTGTAATATTTCCTAAACCTTTTTAAATGCAATGGTATGCCTAATATTTACGTACAACCACTTACACAGTGAAGAGATGGAAATAAAATACAAATAGAAAATCAAATTTCTTCTAATAATACAGTCCACATAACTTTACTCAATATTAATTTTCCGCCAACTAAACTTTTTATTTTAACAATGTCAGACCTCATCTATATGATCTTTGCATCACTTCCTGGCGACCCCTATTTCCACTATGTCACTGAAACTAACTTTTATGTGTGCGCACTATTCCAATGTATTGGAAATGTTGTCATGTTGTGAAGAATAAAATCGAATTTAAACAATACAAGAAATATTTCTCACCTAAAGTTCCAGCAATGCTTCTCTATTGTCTGTTGACTGAGAATGAAAAAAGTGAAGTTGAAACTCTAGGGTTGTCTCGCACATTCAAAGATTACTGTAACGCTGGTGGCAGACATTTTCATTGGAAATAACCAATACTAAATCTTATAATCTCGGTTTAATTAAAATACCACTATTCTTATTGACTGGACCCAAATAATCAAAAATACTTAAGGCATGGAAACTGGACTGACCTTTTCATTGACTGGATACTGGAAAAAATGGGTCTCATGGAAATGCAATACAATAATATTCAATCTGATGTTTATCTACATGTCATATGGATGCTCTGTGTTTGTTTGTGGTCTGCTTTCTGTTGTTTTTCTTTTACTTTTATCTAATTTAACAAAAGTCTTACAAAAATAAAGTATGAAAAACTTAAATGTAACTTAAATATGTCGGTCATTACACAAGTGTTTTCAGGTCTGTATAAAGTTTAGGCCCCTGACAGCTGGATCTTTATCTCTGAAAGATCAGAAAATACTTTTGGAGTCGGCAATACTGTATAATATGTCTCAAATATATCATAATAATAAAATAATGTGGGAATCAGAGTTCAGAAATATTTAGCTTCGAGTATAGAAAGTCACTTGGAGCTATATGTTGGAGCAATAGCTTAATCTAAATAAATACACACGTAGTTTACTAAACAGACTATAATCTTAACTACAATACATGTCAATGAGTATGAAAAAGTTTTAAAATCTCATTCGACTCGGGACAAAAATGAAAACACAGAGGCCTGTTGCATTACAAGCATGCACATGTCTTTATTTCTGCTACTCCGGTTTGTGTTTCTTTTTAGGTATGATTCTTAAAGCTTTACAAAAAAGATCAAATATTTACAAATCTAATTGTGCAAACATCATTCTTTTACACCACTCTCCTAAAAGTATTTGAAAGGCATGCATACAAATAAACTTTGGTATGTTAACAAAACTACTTTTAGTACAAGCATCTTATGTACATGGCAGCGCTGACGCATGTTTCACTTTAGTACAGTTTACATTGAGACAACATCACGTTCACTTAGACCGACAGTGTGTATGAGAAAATACACACTAGTGCTTGGAAATTCACCAAAATCTCATGACTGGAGAGGAATTGTACTTGTTTTGGCAATAGGCACACAAAAGAAAACCTGAACTACTCTTAAACCAGTAAAATGTTTACAAGTGGGCAGTTCCTGTGGGTGTCAATGATAAAAATACCACACAAAATAGATTCAAATGACAGTATACTTTATGCGTGTAGTATAGAGTCATACAAAAGCATTTACAAGGGTCGTTTTAAAGCAAAATATGAAATATATAAGATTAATTATACTATGATTATCTAACCTTTGTTTTGAAAAATAAAACTCATTTTACACATGATTGTACATCAAGTCCCTATTTATTTAGCTACATCAAGAAAAATAAATTTTTAACACCAGATGAGTGCCCTTTATAGTGGCTACATTACAGTTCTGTTACCAAAATATTTTGCGAGGATTAACTTCAAGCAGAGATGAAAATGTATACTAAGTGATAATGCCAGTGTCAAAATACAGGAAGTGCATCAACGAAAAGAAAGCCACAAAAAACGTAAATGAAACACATGGGTGGGTGAGGGCTAGACCGTGTCCTTAGCCACGGTGGGAATGCAGGACTTTCCGCCGCTGCCGTTGCCGTTGTGGGTTGCCCTGTAGCTGTTGAAGCTCGGAGTGTGTATGGTGCGGATGCTCTTCCCGCCCGGGCCCAGGGGGGTGGGCGACAGAGGGGAGGGGGTGGAGGCGGGTGAGGGGGAGGAGGAGGAGGAGGAAGTGGAGGAGGAAGAGGGGTGCACTCGCCCATTCTGCATGGAGAACGAGAGAGCTTTACCTGTGTGCTGCGACAGTTTGAGTGATCCGTTAGACAAGGAGGGGATGTGTGAGGAGGGGTGGGGCAGCGAGCTGGAGCGGGCAGGCAACATTGAAGACTTGGTTATGGTTAGAGAGGAGGAAGAGGAGGAGGATGAGGAAAACGAGTTAATATTGTTAGTGGCATTGTCCGGCGCAGGCGGGGAGCTGCCTTTAGTAGAGCTAGGATAAAAAGCAGGGATTTTAGACACGGGTACAGACTGGGAAGTGGTTTTATGATCCCCTCCCACTCTTTTAGCACTTCCGTTAGCCTGCAAACAGATGCCAAAACACTGGTTGTCAAATCAAATGGTACAAAATGCAAGACGATGTTAAACAAAAAGAACTACTACTAAGTTATTGAAACACAGACTAAACATTGACATCACTAGGACATAACTAAAAGCTGTTAAAACTTATTTGAAAAAAAAAACACAAATGGCAGACAGATGTGGTATGGTAAAGTTGCATAGGAAGGAAATGCAAAGATATTATGGTGTTAGAGCGACAGACGGGACGGGCTGTTACTCTGATGGAAAGAGTCTCGGGAAGGGAATATGTACATCACCATGGGTTAGGAAGCTGTGCAGTGTGAGAAGGTAGAGTAAAAGTTATTATAGTTGTTGTTTTATATTTGTGTAGCCAGAGACGTCTCGGGAGTGGGAATTTGGCAACACTGTTTAGGAACTCAGCTGTGATGGGAACTGGAGGATGGAATGACAACTCGGATGACGGCATGGTTAGGAAGTCCTTTTCCTGTTGCCATATTTATCCAGCTTTTTTTTTCATTTCTTTAAAGTAACCAACACAGCCAAAACCATGAGCAGTGTGGACATGCAGAAGCGTACAGCACAGTGATGTTATTGGGGGGGTAATAACAGTCAAGAGTCAAGACATGCCTTCTTGAGAGAAACGTTAACAGATCCACATTTGCCAGCCTTGGCTTTTGTAAGATTTTTTTTTTTTTTCAAAACACATCATAGCTCAAGCTCTGATAGTCTTTGCTCCGTTAGGGCACATGCCTCAAGTTCTGATGCCTTAGATATATTTTTTTGCAGGCCCTAGAGTAAAACTACCTGTCGGAACTGCCTTTGTGCGTCCTGCAGTTTTTGCTGTTTTCCTGCTTTTTCTGTGGACGACTGCCTGGACTTCGCAGACAAAGGGACGGGCATCCGACTAGTTGGGGAAACGACACTGGCATTCTGCAAGGGGATCCAAACGGGGAAAAAAACAAAGAGAGATATGAAATAAAGGAAAAGGAATCAAACACACTGTACAGGAAGTGTGAAAATCCAAGTGACTGGTAAGGAAAAGTTGTACAGTACATAAACACACCTCGACATTGAGAAATAGTCTTTGGCATGCACCCCTTTAGACATTATACACAAAAACATGCAAAACGTTTGACAAAGATCATCGTGAATGTATCTCTGATGAGGAGACCGACCCTTGCCAAAAAAAACAGTTTTAAGCAATGACTTCAAGAAAACACATAGACAAGAGATCAGGAACCGTGTATTAAAAATGCCACCCCCAATCATGATGTCGCCATGATTTGACAAAGAGAGAGAGAGAGCCACAAGGGGCATTCCCAACACTTCCTAGCACCAATGGAGTGAAAATGATTCTGACATATTTTAGTGGTTAATGTGAAGGTAGATTTTGAGGAAAAACAAAAAACAAAGAAGGACCCAAAGGCTTCCCGGAGATGATAAGAGCTAGATCGAGACCTGTTCAATGGAGCAGGGGACACTGGGAGGACTGGGGTCAGATGATGTGGTAGTAGAAGTTGTAGTACTGGCTGTGGTGGTGGTGGTGGTGGTTGTGGGGGAGGCTACAGGGCGGGGAAGGATTTTAGGTTTCTTCAGTGCGCTTTTCAGGGGTACCTTTTGGCCAGAGCCTCTCGAAGAAGGCAGTGAAGAAGACCTTTTCAAATTTGCATCTGATTTTCTGCTTTTGCCATTGCTCTCCTCCACATTAACTGTATCATCAGGCGAAAGAGGTCCCATCTCACTAATAGTGGTCTCCAGCTGCTTGATAGTCTGCTCCAAACTATCCAGTGTCTTGTATGTGTTCTTGCGAATCTCATCTGTGCGGCATTGCGAATCAGAGTTCTGCTTTTTCAGATGCGGCACGCCAGACGACCTTTCCGCTAAAGATTTGGAACGGGAAATCTCAAACCGTTTCGCCTCCTTGTGCTGTTTAATCGTACCGTCGGACTCCTCCTCATCCTCGTAAACAACCACTTGTAACGTCTTCTTCCCGGATTTGGTCCCTGCGCGTATCGCTTGAGTAAAAGCTGCCAGCTGTTTCTTGGGGAACTTAAACTTGAATTTCTTCTTGCCTTCCTTGCCATCCCCGCTTGACTCTAGATTCCCGGTGTTGTCTAATATATCATTGATGGAGGACGATGACGACGAAGATAAGCTTTGATCAGTACAAGATTTGGTCTTTTTGTCATTGAACAAATCTCCAGCTTTTGCCTCCTGCCCTCCACTCCTTTCACTGTCCGACTCTTCGCTCTCCTCGTCTATCCTCTCCTCTGCCAGCATCCGTTCGAACTCCTCCTCAGACTCAAAAATTGTTGAGAGTCGTTTATAAGCTGACCGTATGTCCATAGGCTCGTCGAATATGATAATAACCGGTTTCTTGTTGAATCTGTTATCCTGCGGAGCATTAGAATCCACAGGCGAGTTGGGTTTGCTGGCGTTGCCTACGGTTACTGTTTGAACACTACCCTTTTTTGCATTCACCAACTCCTGGTATTCTCCGTTGGATAAGGCTTGGATTTTGGAGTTGGTGATTTTGAAGGCGATGTTGTCAGGTGGGGGAGGAGCTTCTTCCCCTGGCAAGTCGGGGCTAAGACTCGCATCTTCATGTATCTCCTCAAAATTACCCTTATGAAGTGTCCTGTCTACGTTTACAACCCTCGCCGTTATCTCTTTGTCGCTCTTCACAACCGTCAAAGACTCCGTTATCACCGGTTTATGTTCATGTTTATATTTTTCCTTTTTCTTTTCATTGTTAATTTTGTTACGCAAATTTCCCTTTTCCATTTCAGAACTCGTCTTCAAAGACTCGGAACGTCTCATGTTTTTTCGAGGAAGTTTGAAACCGTTCAGTCCGACCGGTTTTGGTGAAATTGGCGGAGGTGATGTCGGTGATGTGGGCGACTTGGGTTTCTTTGATTGCTGCTGCTGCTGTTTCTCTGAAGAACCGGAATTAACATTGATATTTGAGACCTGTGGTGGAGGTGGAAGGGGCTCTCGCGAGGGCTCGGGTGGGTCCTCTCGTCCCGGTGGGGGCAGTGGAAGCTCTTTGGGGATCTGTCCAGTGACGTAGTAAATTACCTGTGCAAAGGCACATATAACTATTAGCTACTTCTTCAAACAAATACACAAATATTGGTAAATGTGTATATTTATACGCACCCCTTGGCTTTGTCGGAGAGTAGTATTTCCATTTTCATCTGTGTCTGGATCTTTCTCCTCCTTTTTGGACTCTGTGGTCTGGTAGGAAATTATATTACTCTTTAAATATGGTGTATCTTTGTGCAATTTAGAGATGACTTGTTCAACAATAATAATAACAATAAGATTGACTTGAATTTTGGTAATCAATGTATTGTAAAATACCAAATATGAACATTTGTGTACTCCTTTTGTTGGAATACTGGTTCTTAGAGGTTCACTATGAAGCATTTCAGGTGGAAGACCCGCCCCCCTTGTTTCAATGAAAATACTATAGTTTTGCACAGAATGTTCCATAGGCTTGTCTATCTCCATGGAGACACGCAAGTATCAGGCCCTCTTCCAAACTATTACTTAGTGAAACTATAAGTAACTGCGGCTTCCACAACTAAGTTTAGAAAACGTATTAACTTGAATGTCATCCGATTTAGATTAGCCAGGTTAAGGACACACAATACAATCTGACAAACCAAACAGCAGTTGTTTGCTTACTGAGATAATAACTCTTGCAGACACACACTTGTAAAGCGGAAAAAGTCAAAAACTGAGGGAAAACAGCCAAGGAATAATAAAGTCTTTGATTAGATCAAGTGAAGGAGAGAAACATGCAAAGCAGACTGACCTCTAGTGAACCAAGCCTGCAAGAACAACCTCTGAGCATAAACTGGGCTTTAAAGGAGACATATTATGCACAATTACCTTATTGAGCTTTTAACCATGTTACAACATTCTTCCTAATCAATAACAATGTTGTTTTCGATTAGGAACTTCTATCACAATATGTCAGTCTTGTAAGAGCATGATGTCATTGTGCCTTGTCATACTTGTTTCACCGAATCGAATTTTCTAAAACATGAAATTCATTTATTACTTGAATGGCTAAAAAGAGTGCATAATATGTCTTATTAGTATGTCTTCAAAAAAGACGAAAGGAAATGCATTTTACTCATCATTTTATTGAAGGAAAAATGCGATACTGTATCAATGACAGGACATAACATAATCTACTTGCACACAGTGGTTGAAGTAAACAAACATTATGCTTTCTTTTCTGCAGACATAGTCCAGGAAATGTGAATTTGTAGCATCCAAAAGGGATCAAAATAAGGGAGGAAAAGCAACTTGTGAAGGCAGCAGTTCTCTGGAGCGAGAGGAAAGGGTGAAGAAGTTGTAGAAGTATAAAGCCGTTGGCAGTGTCAGACAGTGGGGAGAGGCAGGCAGTTATTTGGGCTGGGATGCTTCGGCGCATGGTTTACCTTTTTATCTTTTTGGGGCATTATCGAGCCCGCTCTGAGCTCTCTGATTTGTGGCTCAATACGAGGTGTAGGCTCAATCACATTTTTCACCTCTACTTCATTCACTTTATTTGAACACATCTGGAAAACCTAAAAAAAGTGTAGAGAAGGGAGGAAATGGATTTTATGCCAAACCCCGAAGGAGGAATTTGACAGCCCACCACAAAACCAGGCATGACAGAGAAAGGACAGAGAAGCAACACCCCAACGTCCAGAAAAAGACATCAGGACCTTGTGGTGGAGTGGCGTGAGGCGTGAGTGAAGCTAACCTGCAGCTCGGCCATGATCTTGTTCCCCTCGTCCTCCTCTTCCTTTGGGGCTGGGGGAGTGGCCGGGGGAGTCACTGGGGGAGGTGTGCTTGGCTTTGGCTTGGTCTCTGGGGGAACCTTGGAAGACCTTGGTTGGGGTGACGGTGGTGGAGGCTCCTCCTCAGCCTCCTAATTTACAAATTTGAAAAATATTTTTGAATTGAGTTTGTCAATAGAAGAAGGTGAAGAGTCACAACCATAGACTGTTTAACAGGAGTGGTCAATGCTAACATGTATTGTGAGTCCTTTGCTTTTTACTTTGTACACTCACGATTGTGTGTCCTCCTCTGACTCAAACTTGATCATCAAATATGCTGATGACACCACCATCATCGGTCTCATCAGTGACAATGATGAATCCTCTTATAGAGCAGAGATACAAAATGTGGTTCAGTGGAGTCAAACTAACAACCTCCAGTTGAACGCATCCAAAACATGTGAACTGGTCTACGACTTCAGTCGCAATAGTTCTCATTTGCCTGTAGTTATCGACAACTCCCAGGTGCAGATCGTAGAGGAGTGTACTGTAAGTTTCTGGGTCTAACTCTGTCTAACGACCTGAAATGGGTTAAAAACACTGACCGAGTCGTTAAGAAAGCTCGTCAGCGTCTCTACTTTCTGCGTAAACTTAGAGAATTTACCACTAACTCTAAGATTGTGCTTAACTTTTATCGCTGCACCATTGAGAGTTTACTTGTTGGTTCTGTGTCTGTGTGGTTTGGAAACATCACAGATAAAGAAAAGAGAGCTTTAAACAAGGTGCTCCGCTCTGCAAAGAGGACCGTGGGCTGTGAACTTCCTGTTCTGGAGGTTCTTTATAAATCCAGACTTTTAAACAAAGCTCTTAGCATTGTCAATGACTCTTCTGGCCACCCTGGGAAAGCCATGTTCCAGCTTCTTCCCTCATGGCAGAAGATATCGCTCTCTGAGATACAAGACATCTCATTACGCTAACAGCTTTTATCCACAAGCTGTTATCAGTGTGAACAGAGCACTTTAATGATTTGCTGTTTAGTCGATCGATTTCACAGTGACATTTGTTTACTGTTGTGTTTTATTTTTGTCTTTTAATGTTGTTTTATGTCTGTATTTGTCTGTGCACACTGGTGACTTTCGCTAATGTATTCCTATGTGGTGTTTTTACTGCAAATGGCAAATAAACTGAATCTGAATCTGAATTTGCTAACTCTATGAAGCCTAATAGGGAACATATTATGATATTATTATTTTCTTGTTATTGTTGTATCAGGAACAACACAGTTTAATATTGTATCACACTATGGAACTATATTATTAATCATTAAAGTGATGATGTTTTTATATTCTGTCATGGTGTGGATTTTGTTATTTTGTACTTTGGTTTTATTTTGACATTGTTTGACTTCCTGTGCTGTTTCCCCTGTCTTGATTGTCTGCCCCGCCCTGATGTGTTCCACCTGTGTCCCTGTCTATATTTACCCTGTGCCCCTCTCCACATGTTGCTGGTCCATTGTTTTGTCAAGTTCTGTCTTTGTTCCTGGTTCCGTATTTTGAGTTATCACTAGTGATGTGCTGAGCGTGCCGAGTCTTTGAAGCGTGTACCGAGTAAAAAAGGGGCATATTTTTTGAAGCGTGGTTCGAGGCGTGTGTTGGTGACGTTCGAAGCCTCGCGTAGCGGCCGCACCACGTGACGGTTCATATAGTGCTTCATATCGTTCGGAGAGTGCATTGCTTTGACAGGTGCTTTGTGATCCGCGGCTGTACCATAGACTGTATTGGCTGTCCCCGTCTGCCTCTGTGTGCGTACGTGTGTGTGCGTACGTGTGTGTGCGTACGTGTGTGTGCATGATGTGGAGCAGTCCTGTACTAAGTATAGAGAAACTACTTCATATGAAATACAATTAAAAACGTTTCACTTTAGTAAAACCTCATATATCAAGGCTTCAAGTTATTAGTAATAATACGCTGGATAATACATTTCACAACAGCTGTGTGGCGCAGTCGGTATATGACGGACTCCGAAGTAGAAGATATAGCGTTCGAATCCTGGTCTACCCATAATAAATTTTGTGTTGCAAAGTAAATGTATTTATTTATTGGGAATAAATGGTTTGTTGTGTTTAATTAATCCACCTCTTGGTAGTTTTTCCTCCATTAATCACTTTCTGTAGAACTGTATTACTTTGGATGTGTTTGTTGTATCAACACAATTGACTGAAAGACTCAAATAGTTCATAGTTCATGAAGCATCATTTCAAACACAACACGTTAGACCATAGATTGTAAATATACATTTTAACATTAGATCTCACCATTCATTGTAAGCACTTAAGAGTGTTATGTATTTTTTTGTCCACATGATGGCGTAGTGGAGCATGATTCACCTCGAGCCTTCGACTCATGGGCCGAGTAATAGGCTGCGATCCCTCAAGGCTTCATGGGGCTTCATATTGCCATCACTAGTTATCACCTGGACTTCAAATCACTATTTTTTTGCATTCCTGCATTTGAGTCCTCCATCACCTCTCCACGTGACATATTCAACGTTTTAAGTATTAAAACAAAAGAAAACATATGGACCTGACGATCCTGGTGGTCCAAATACAACATATTTGGGAGACAACTAAATTCTGCGTATCCGGTATGAACTGGGCACTGACTTCAGTCCTGATTGGCAGCTAGCTTAGTGGCTAGCTCAATAGTTTGGCACCTGTTATGGCTGCCGTGTTTGCTACGTTATATAGTATTTTTACAAGAGACTTGCAGATAGCAATTTTTCATAGTTTTAACTGTGTGTACAACAAACTTAATCTTTGAATTTGGCTCCATATTTTCTCTTATAATTGTTGTTTTGCGTTACCGTAGCTCTAATATGATTATCCTCCACAATAAGGCAAACACTATGGGAGAAATCAGACTTGTCCACTCCATCTACGGTCTCTGGTCTCAACATGCTTCTACTGACTAACCTGGGTGGATGTGGACTCCTTGCGAGTGAAGACCACCTCGCCGGAGCGAGTGGTGGTCATGCCTGAGGTGGGGCTGGAGAAGGTTTTTCTTGGAGGGGGAGGTGGAGGAGACTTGCTGGCCTTCTCAGTCTTGGTGCCATTGTCTTTAGATGATTGTCTCATTAGAGGAGGCTGCTCAGTGTTCACCCTGGAGGATCTTTCCAAAGTAGGCTTGGAAGGCTTGGGGAGTTTTTCAGGCGCTCTTTTGACAGGTTTGTCTGTGTTGCTTTGAATGGGAAACTCTTCTGAAAAACACCCAAAGGATTTCCCTAAATGTTACTGGAAATGTCTTCATAGTAATAATACGTTTTTTGGGGGGGCATTGTTGTTGTGAAAAAAACAACCAGAATGTAATCTATTCTAAGTAGACTAGAATTGGATAAACAGGCATTTCAATGGACATAAGCAGGCGGCAGACCCTCCTTAGCTTTTAAGAATGCTGAGAAACTTGAAGTTGCTTTAGGCTGCATCATTATTTACCTGCCAATCTGTTATCAGCCTCTCCACCCATCACAAAACCAATATGTTTTACCTGTTGGGGATTCCATTGCGTTATGGGTGCTTGTTTGTTCCACAGAGGCAGCAGAAATAATCGTAATCTTCTCTTCAGATTCAAGATTGGGAATTCCTTTCATCATGTTTGCCTGAGCCTCTTGCAGAATTTTCTCAAACTCTTTTCCATCGTAGTGGCCCATGTTCTGTCTCCTCTCTTCCCATTCTTTCTCTGCAGCCTGTAACACAAACAAGATCTGTAGCTGCATGTATGTAATTACAGTACTGTACTTGTTGGACTAAGTGCTCCAGCAAAATCTGAAGAGAAAGTACACGTTGTCCACGTATAAGTAGCGCTTAAATTTAAGCCGCAGGTTTTCTCGCTGTAATGTAAGCACTTGACCAACAGCTGAAGGACCGAAACAGTAAGACGATAGGCGACTGTTTCAACTGGACACAACATGATTTGATGACAGCGGCTTAATGTACTGTTGACTCATGATGATCAAGGCACTCTGGCAAATCCAATCTATTTTGACAATAGCATTCCTTCTAAAATGTGATGGGAGTCAAAATAATGCCCATAAACTGTTCTGACAATAGCCATAATCACATAGAAACAAGTCTTAGGTAATTCCCAGCACTTTCAGCTTTGGCGATCATCAGTTGTAGAAAGAACTGCATAGATAAAAGAGTCTGGCTTATAGTCCAGCAAGTACTCTGTATATATATATATATATATATATATATATATATATAAAAATGTTTTTGTTTTTTATGGCAAACCAAAGCATACATTTAACATACACACATAAAACAAACAGACAAACACATGCTTAGTACTAATACAAGTGTTCAAAGTTATACCTTTATTGACAGTGCTCTGTTTCTGCCCTTTTCTGGGTTACTCTGCAGCTCCTCTATGACCATATCGTTGTGGAAAGTGCCGTTTCCGTTGCTTGGTGGATTCCCATTGGCCTTCTTAGGAGTGGGTGGGTCCACTGAGACGCCCTTGGGTGACTCTCGCCCATGGACCTTACTCTGAGGAGGACTGGGGGGGTTTGTGGGGCTGGGCTGAGTGGTTAGTGCCGTGGACTGTTGCGACTGTTGCACGAGCACCATGGAGCTCTGCATTTGCTGAACGACGACCGGGGAAGAGGGCGGGACTCCAGGTGCGATGGTAGGCTTAGGGGGGGTAGGGTTTGGGGGGCTAGGGTTTGGGGACTCGGTCAGGGCTGGCGTGGAGACGGTAGGGGCCGTTACACGAGAGGGGTTAGAGAGCGGGCTGGCTCGGAGGGGGCTACTGTCTGCTGGGTTGTTTGCTGGTGTCTTCTGTGGGCTTTCAGATGCACTTCTGCAGAGAGGAGGAGAATATGTACATTTAGTTATTGTGCTTTGGTGGAAATGCTATTATCACTTAAATATGAGGGCCTTAGACAAGTAACAGATTGTAAGGACGAGACAAAATATACAAAAACTTGAAATAATGTATGTCAGTACATCTAAATGCGGTTGTTTTTAATACTACTCTGAGTATCACAACTACTACTATTACTTCTACTACTACAGCTACAACTACTACTACTGCTTCGTCTACTACTACTGCTACTACTACCCCTCATACTACAACTACTACTACTATAGCTACAACTTCTACTACTACTGCTACTGCAACTATTGAATATTACTATAGTTACAAGTACTCCTACAACTAATGCTACAACTTCTACTATGACTACTACTGCGTCAACTACTACTATTATTACTACTAAATTCACGCGATCACGCTTTCCCATAATATAAACCTCTACTAGAACATGACAACTAAAATCAAGACACCTCCTTCTATATAAGAACAATGCTAATATCTATGGTCAAAGTACTCCCCTCTATCTCATCAACAGAATCAATTGTGTCAATAACATGATTTTTTTCATGGTTCAACAATAGCGTGCTTTTGAAGTCACGAGAACTGTTGGGATCAGAATGAGAGAAAAGTCACAAAGCGGTATCTGTGACATATTAAAATGGAAATGAGAGGCTGCAGTGTTCGGCAAATTAATTCACTTATCGCTTCACTGGCGGCAATGGAAGTAAATCAAGTCGGACGCCACAGTCCGCGGTCCGCACAGAATGACCTCTTTGATGGGATGAAGGCTGCTTTGCCAGTGTCATCACAGCCCACAATCCCAAATAAGTGATCCCTACAATTGCATTATGTTTCCTAACTTTGTCTTTGCTATACTTTTGTTAAGTATTTCAACTAAAGTACTATAATAAAACATCTACTACTGCTAAAAACTGTACATTACTATTTATTCTTCTTTGTTTCTTTTTTTTTTTTTGTACATGTCTTACTTTCTCAGTCCGCTGAGTATGTCTGTGAGCATCTTGACTCTCTTCAACATGCTGTCTAGTTTATGAGGCTCTTCCTTCAAAAACTTCACCGCCTCCACTTCCACCCGCAGCACAGCCCGCATCCTCGTCTGCAGAGTTGGAAATTCCCCTTGGATGAGAACATGTGACGGTTAGACAGTAAATCAAACTTGTTTAAAACACGTTAACAAAATAAACGTAATGACAAGAACCTTTGAGACCGGCCAGGGACTCTCCCACTTTCCTCAGTGTGACAGCCCCCTCCTCCACGTCTCTCAGGGTCACTGTTCTCTGGGCTCCACCCGTGTCCTTCTGCAGAGACCCCACATACTGCTCCAGCTCACTGCACACAAAGTCAAACATGTTTCAATAGAAGAAGAAGACTGTGTAGTTCATTTTATTCTCGTATAGCCCCTAAATCACAACAGTAGTTATCTCTGAGGAATCTACACAACCGTTGAATTTGCCAACACAGATTAGAGAATCAAACACAAGAAATAAAACAGAAAAGACATTGGTATTAGTCCATAAGTGTTGTTGAATGTTGACGGTTCTGGATCATCACCACTGTCATTTTAGTTAGACCCTCACAAGGCTCTAACAGTCTGCATCGGCAAGAAAAAACTTTAAACCCAGTGGGAAAAGTGAGAAAGTATTAGAAGAACAATCAATGTCCTCTTAGTCAGTTATTATTTTCTACCACATTGAGAACTGTATTTTATGAAGGGCGTGTAGTTACCAACTTTCAGCAGTAGGGGGCGGAGAGCAACCATATACAAAAGTGTGAACGAGTGGCTTACAGACATGGTTGTGGACAACATAGAAGCTGCATCAGAAATCATTCAAATATCTCCTTCTTCATCTTTACTTAACTACTTTTTATTGGGCTTGGCGTCATAAAGTTACCCCAAGTGGCATTTAAAGTATAAAGAAAGCCTTGGGTATATTTGGCCCAATTTGGAGCTAAAAAGGAGATACAATAAAAATAAGGTGTTTTCATTCGTTTGGATGCAAGCAGAGAATATCTAAACCAAAAGGAATGATATTTTAAGAATTACGATTACACTGGATTATAGCAAGGACAGCGGGCATAGAGTTTCTTTAAAGTTTGTCCTCAGCTCACAAACCAGACTTGTATGTCGACCAGCTGGGTAATCCAAGCAAAGACATGTTTTATCTATTCCATTAAAAAACAGGGTTGAAGAAGATGTACTGAAAATAAATATTGAGGCCTAGAATATGTATAATTTAATCCATGAGTTATTGAGCAATGACTCGGTATAGTTGTAATAAGGACAGGTCTAACCGCATTCTGCTGTACTGTGCGAACAAATATAAAATCCAAACACTAAAGGCAACAGATGCAAAAGAACTTCCCTTAATAGAGCCTCCCCTAGAGTAGAAAATAACAAAACAGCAGGTTAAATGCACTGCTATATAAATCACTCTTGGTATTGGGAATAATGATGAAGAAGTCCTGCTGATACGGAAATTGACCGTCCAGTCATAGACAAACAGAAATGTCTTGACTAGGGACTAATCTTTTATTTAACACGATGCAGGGCACAAATATACTTTCATTTGGTGTTATATTTTACCACCACAGCTGCTGTAGAACCAGACGATTACGTTTGGCTTTCTAAGATTAAAATATGTATCACGTGTTATTTTTAGGGTCCTTTATTGCCAGCACTTTTCACACCTTTCACCAATTTCTTTTCTGCTCCTGAAGCCCATTACCAGCCCTATTAAAATCACTGCAGATGCATTTGCTGACTCCGAACTGGCTGGATACCAATATTAAATGCCAGCTTAATCCAGTGACTTCAGGGCCTACTCATTCCCAGCACCACTAAGCTGTGGATACTGGAACACAATGTCAAGTGGGAGAAAAAAAAACAACATTCTGACCTTGCTTGTAAAACAACTGTATAAAAATGTTTTTGATTACTGCTTGAAGTTGTCCACAAATATCCAATTATCCTAAGTCTGTATGTGGTTATCGAAGGCTTGTCCATACACATATATTAGTGTTTAATGCCATTTAATGCCGTGTGGTGAGAGAGAGGGAGAGGGGGTGTAGGGTCAGAGAGAGTTGTATTGTATTGTATTACTGTATGTACTGTGCTTAGTGGTGCAGTGTGGTAACAGCGTGCATGTACATATGTTTATATAAAAGTGGTAATGTCTAAATGTTTGAGCACTGTTGCAAATACGTGAATATGACTTATAATGATTAGTATGTGTGGGTACTATGTGTAGGGGAAAGCTCAACCAGGGACAGGAGATGAGATTTACCATTTGCTTTTGCTGTTATGTGTGAATGCATTGTCCATGTTGAATAAATTCATAAACACAATACAACAAAAATACAGAATGTGTTTTGTTGTATGTTACTGCTGGTATAGTTCTGTTTTGTATTGTGTTGTCTTGTGTTGACTCTGTGAGAGAGGATTGGATTAATAAGCTTGTACTTCATCCAGCACATTGCAAACCCTGTACATTTGTGTATGTGAAGAATATTTGCTTTTGACATAAATAATACAATTAAATCAACCTAAAAGTGTTGAATGTTGAATGAATAGGTCAGATTATGCATTCAGGACATTTACCAAATATGGAAACACTCTGACAGGAAGCTTAAACTACCTGCATGCATGTTTAAGTACCAATAACCCGGCTCGTATTACAAATATAATACAAGGTAAACTGGAGTTCACCTGAGCTGTGTGAGAATGTTCCCCTCTAATGACAGATACTTGTGGCGATCCTCTTCCACCACAGTTCTCTGCATCTGCACTGGGTCATCCACTCGCTGCATGGCCTCGGCTAGTTTCACACTGATTTCCTGCTCGGCCTTCTTCAGCTGCAGTCGTAACGCTTCTTGGTTCTGGAGCTAAAGACATAGACAGAGTTGGTGTTAGATATAGAACTAAAAGTGTGTCTAGAAAGTGCGGCATCTTCTCATAAGTGCATAAAGAGGTCTTGCCTGGAGCTGTCTCATTTGGTGGAGTTGCATCCTGAGGTCAGAGACATTCTTCCTGAACTGCAGGAGGTTGACTTTTACAGGGACTTTGGCCGTAGGGGCCGAGGGGGTCTTAGGGGCCAACACTGGAGAGCCACCTGTGTGCAGACAAGTTGAGGCTTGGTTAATGACAAATACAAAAAAAATCATTGCAATTCATCCAGCCGGAAAAATTAAATATCACTATAACTATTGTTAATTCTGGACTAAAAGGATATTACAACTCTTTTCAAGTTTATCTTTTTATTTTTATTGTGGTTTCCTTGGGGCGCAAGAAAGACTTTGACGTGAAAGCCAACACGAGGAAATTCAGGGAAAAACAAGGAACTTATTTTTCATGTGATTAGGGCTGTTATCAGAAAAGAGTTTATGGATTTATTACTCTGACTCCAAAGTACACATGTTTATTGTTAAAATAGACTGAAAAATGTGTCCCAACATTGAAGCTAGCAGTTAATGCTTGCCTCCGTCTTATTATCATAACTTTGATCACAAGTTAACAGTGCGATCAACACCTCATCATTAAATCAGGTTGTGTCCAGTTAATCAGATTTGTTTTGCTCCAACATCAAAACCTGTGGCTCTTAGTTAAATGTGGCCTACATATGTGGACAAAATCGACTTCAAATGCAGCTGGAGCGGTTTATATACAGTCGTGCGTATTAGTCCAGCTAGTACTGTTTTGTATTCAGTAAAAGCATTTAAATAGATTCTAAATATTTCCTAACATCACAGCACTTGTACACATGAGTACTTCTAGCACAGCAAATATACTTACTTCAACAATCATACAATCATATTCTCTTCCGGCGGCAACTTGTGTGCATAGCTGTCTGGGTCAATATTTGTTTTTCTACCACATTTTAAAAACACAGACCTGCAGCTAAAACCCTAGCCTTGTGAATTAGTGTTTTTTAATGAAATTTAAAGTGGAAAATAATTAAAAGCTGTTATATTTTTGGTACTCTATTTGTTACCCAAAATCCACAAAATGTCCCAGCTCTTCTCTCACAATAGGAGATGTCTGTTTGAAGAGAACACCAAAGCTCTCCCTCGCCCTTTGCTATTTTCTCTATTTTTCACTGGGCCATTCACGCCTGTCCAATGTGACAGCTGCCTCGACTTGAAGTACAGGTTACAGTGCACAGAAGAGAAAAAGAAAAGCACTGGATTCACGCGGAGCACAGACAATGCATAAACTAATGCTTTGAATCGTTTTGATCCGAAAATACACTGTAAAACCTCCAGTGAAGATTGGTGGAATTGAGTTAGTTAAAGCTGGGTATAGCTCACTTTTTTGTTTCGTGATAAATACATAAAAAGTTATAATAAGAGAAACTTGTAAACGTGAAAAAGCTGACTTCATTCTATCACAAAACATGTAAAATTTTGCATCCTTGTTAGAAAGAGCCCCATGAACATTTCTCCATTCAATAAGGTTTGTCTTGTCTAGAGTCACTCTTTGGCGTTTTGGGCTGTGGTCTGATTAGCGAGGCTGGTCTTCTCTTTTCTTATTTTCTGTCTGGAAAGCCTTATTGAAAGATGTGACAGAGGCCAAAAATACATGCATTAGAGATTTAAAAGTCCAAACTAGAGATTGGACCTTTAAATAGTAGCGCCTTAAAGTCTTATATAGCAAGAAAAGTCATTTATTATGGTTCAAAAAGTTAGGTACCCCAGGTTTAGCGATCATGTAGGAATCCAGAAATGCAAAAGACCAAAAATAAAAATAAATAACACATATTTAAAGTTTTTGCGACACACCATTGTAGTACAGGGACGATTCTTTTCAATCCGTCAACCTTGGCTTTTCGCTTCCAGCTATAATATTTCTATCTTATGCCTTACTTCATAACAGCGCATTTATTGCACACAAACAACTCCGATTGAATAAGCTCTTTGTGATGCACTTTCTCCTGCACCACCCATAAAGTTACTGCTCTTTTATCAAACTAATCTCCCCACAGACTTCCCAGGAGCACAGATCTAATCACCGAATCTTGCTGCCAGCTTTGATAGCAGTAATGGCCTCTTGTTTTGAGAAGCTCGGGTTCCTGGATTTTTACCCTCCAAACTTCTATTAAACAGTATGTACCTGCGGATTGGGACGTAAAACTGAAACTTAAGCCAGCTAAGCAGAAAGCCTGGTCTTGTTTTCCCTCCCAACACTGGCTCATTGCACACTGCTGAGTGACAGTAAAGTAGGGGCTTGTCTACACATGAAATAAACGGTGCTAAAACTCAACATGGACCGAGAGCGAGCACGCACACAGTAATACTTACCGGAGCTGTGAGTGCTGTGGGCCGGGGACGATGTGTTTGGTGGTCTCTCGCTGTTGCCAGAGGGAAAGAAATTAGTCAACAATAACGATTTTTTTTAAGAATGCCATTGTTTGGTTTAGTATTAGTAACAAACAGACTATGATGGGAAAGAAAACTATAGGGTTAAGATGATGTTAATGCGATCCACTAGCACCAAACACACACATCTGTTGCTTTAAAAATGTTTTAAAATAGTCAAGCAAACATTAAAACAGCAAAATGCAAAAAGTTGAACCTCAGCCAGACACATTCTTCAATGACCCCACACAATTGAGTCAACCCAACCCAAATGACTCTAAAATGTCCATACTCAGGGCTTTACTTTGATGCTTGCTGTAACGTCATGTTTTGATTTTATACCCTGATGCTTCTGTCTTCTTCTGTAATTGCTTACCTTATAGACTCCTTGGTGCCACTAGTATTTGGGCCCGTTAAAAGTGCATGCTGAACAAGACCAGTCAAGCTGGCAATCTGTTGCTCCATAGCCTTCATTCGCTCTCTGTTGAAACATCAAAACACCTACTCAACATGGAGGCCTATGGTCATCGCAAATATTTGACAAATGAGACTGATAAGTTTCTTCTAATTTAAATGAAGTGTCGATGAGTGTAAAATGTAAACCCCCTGTGAGTAAAACACGCAGTTGTCCGAGGGCTGGTTATTTTGGCTTTGTGTAAAAGGCCTTTTAAGGATCGTCTTACTATTAATCTGTCTATCAAACTTCAATATTTATGAATGGTGATATTTTTAGGGACGTGTTTTGTATAATACCACAAATATTTCCCTTTTTTGATTCACAAGGCATTCTTAATCAGGTCTAGGCTCTCCAGGTGGCTATATCTAGATTAGAATATCTTTTCAACTTGGTAAATATTATCTAGGTAAACTCCTTGGCGTCAGTAGAGCAATAGCCCTCGTGGCCTTTTGCCCTCTGCTGTGTTTCAGATGTGCTTCCGCTCACACGTGAGAATAACAACCTCGCAGTTTCTGGATTAACTCGTTTGAATAGACGCTGTGATTTCTCCCAGTGCCAGACTAACACAAACAGTCCGCACCTGGGATTCTTGTCTTAAGCTTTCTAATAAAAACACCTTAATTGTGAAAATAATAATCATAAGGTTTAGAGCTTGTAAAAACACTGGTCAGACGCACAGACTGTTGCCTCCATTGAAAACAAACCGGTGCCTCGTTAGGTGCTGTGGACTCTTTATGGACAATGGAGCTTAGATCAGTCAGAGAACATTAAAGGTGGAAGTTAAGGTGACACTAGGATGCAGTTAGTCCATGCCCCATGCAACACAATCACTAACTTCTATCTCTATTCCCATAAAAAGCAAAGGGCTTGAACTCAGTGTTACCGTGTCTGTTTGTCATTAGCCGGAGGGATGGGCCCCTGAGGGTGACCTGGGACCTCCGTGATCACCGGTGAGCCCATATTGGCCCGGGCTTTGGGGCCGGCTCCATCGTCCTTTCTTAAAGAGTGCCGCACAGGTGACCCTCTCTCTATTGGACCCCCGTGAGGCCCCCCATGAGGCACACCATGAGGCCCCCCATGAGGTACACCGTGCGGCACCCCGTGAGGCGGTATTCCATGTGCTGGTATTCCGTGTGGTGGCATGCCGTGCGGAGGTCCGTGGATATCAATCATTCGCACTTCAGCCATGCGGTGAGGGGATGGGGGAGGTGTTTTGGATCCCAGAGTGGGCAGCTGGGTGTTTCTGGACTTCTGTCGATACAAAGAGGGGTGGTCTATGCTGTCTGTGGGGCTGGGGCCACTGTAGGAGCCGGTGGAGCGGATAGAAGCTCGATGAAATCCACCCATACTGTGCTCGGGACCATCCATCCCAGGAGCCGGGTGTGGTCCATGGGCGTTCGCCAGCATGTAAGGGTCTGCGTAGATTCCGTCCGCGCCCCGAGTGAGACTGTGGCTCTTGTTGGGCCCCGTCTCATCCGGTTTGACGTCCCGCCGCTCCAGGATGGCACTGGGACAGGGCGAGATGGAGCGGACCGGGGTGCTGACATTAGACAGTCTGTCCCTGGGCATGGTGGCGCTGCTGGGGAGAGAGCTCTGTCGCGAGCCAAAGGGGATCCTGGAGGGGGAGGGGGGCATGGAGTGAGGGGTGGGCGGGAGAGCTCCTTGCATGGGGTGATGTGGCGGTGGTCCCATGGGTGGCTGCCTGTGCGGGTGTGGGCCAGGGTGTACCATTTCACCGTGCATCTAAAAACACATATAAGTTCAAAAATTACAAGAAAATACAAAACAGCAATATTCTCTGTATGACAACCTGAAAGAAGACCATCCATCACTGGGTTTCTATGGAACTAGTCTATGCTTTGTGCTTAAACCAGTGTCTTTCTATGGATTATCCTTCAAAAGTCAGTAATCAAAATGGTATGTAAATATGCATATTTTTCAAGCAAGATTTTGTTGAATAGAAAGTTTTCCTTCTTCTTGGCAAATTTTTGATGGTACATTTCAACACATTGCTGCAATCACATCTTTTACAGTCAAACAATGAGGCTATTGTCTCTTCTACTATGACTCAATTAGAAAAAAGCGCGTCCTCTACTTACTTGAAGATTAATTGCTTGCTTGGTTTACAGTTAATGTTATCAAGCCTAAATTTGCATTGCATTCTGCCAAGCCAAATGTGTTTTGATTGATAGGCAAAAGCAATAACTTGTTTTTAGTTAAATGCATTAGTTGATGCTGTTCAGGCTTCTGCTTTTGTATGCAACAAGAAGTGAATACTATGCAATTATGAAAATACCAAAAGACTTCATTTGAGTAACACAAATATTTGCTCCGCTTGCTCAAGAGAATCCTCTGTATACAAAATATGCTTTCCAGCTTTGTCTACATAACATCAAACATGGCAGCAGCTATTGACTGACTTTTGCATGTGTTTTATGCAATCTTCCAGGCTCTAACTTTAGCCACCTAAATATGTAGAAACCAAGAACTTTGCATTATATCAAAGACAACTGTTTTGAATGCAATCTAAGACCTGGAGAATAGAGTGAGGAAGGTTAAAAGTGATAATAATATGTGTAAATTTTTGACCATGTGACAAGTTAGTACCATCTAAATTAAGTATTTTTCCCAAAAAATATATTTAAAACAGTTCCTCCCCATGGAATAAGCATCAGCACTAAGATGTCCTTGAGGAGAACAGGTAGACCAATGGTGAGGGGCCTCAGCTGTCTGTCAGGGGTTTGAATTAATTGCGTCCAATCAGGAACGTGTAGGGGCGGGTCTAACAGTGGCTTGAACTACAAAAACATCTCTCCATCTTCACAATTTGAGAAGTACCTGACCTTTGCTGGATGAATGTGAATCCTACAAATAATGATAAAAGATTATGACTAAATGAGTCAATATATCACATCAAAGTCTATTGTTTATATTATTATTATTACTATCAACATTTGTTTGATATTATTGTATTAAATATATCGTAGTATTTTTGCTTCTGAATATAATTGTGCAGTTTTAATAATATTATTTATCATTTGCCTTTAATTCATATGTTTTAAGTGTCTTACCATGTGCAGGTGTAAAAAAAACAACATAGTAAGAACGACCTCAGAAGACAACAAGCACACAGAATAAAAAATAAACAACTTTCTCAGTAGCCAATCACTGCGCAGGTCGGACCACGCCTCTTTATGGGAGAATGAAATCTAGTCTACTGATTGACTCGTGCAGAAACTTCCCCCACAGGAGCACGGAGACTTGTTACGACTCGCTGTGCACAAATCATAAATCAAGACACATTTGGCACGATGGGAAGAATTTTGTAACGTCAATATAAAGTTAGTGTAGAACTTAGAAGGCCTGTATTGGCACAGCCTTCAAGATCGTTTATTCATTTTGATTGCATCAGAAAATGACTAATGCTTAAGGAAGCTGATCAAAACAAACATGGCCGAGTTATGGAGTAATCAAGTAATATGTGCACTGCAAAAAGTGATGAAAAATGAGTCAAAGATTGCTCAAATTTGGCAAAATGTATCTTAATTTGAACCCATTTCGACTGCCTTAAAATGCCAAAGGGACTAAGCAAAAAAATACTATAAATGTCTCCCTTGGAATGAGAAATTAAAGCAACAGTTTTTGGAATAAGTGTAAAGGGCTTTGTCTCATTGGCAAATATTGTTTCAAGACAGTCAGAATAAACACAGATTAAGATAAGAAATAAAAAAACACTTGATTCAAGCAATTATTACCTCATATTTAACGTTTTTTGCAGTGTATGAGTAATCGATGTCCCATGGCACCATATGCTATTTATACCCACCACAAAGACTTTCCCTCAAGTGTTAAGTGCATCCTGGTTAAACAGTAACAACAATGCGTGCGTGGGGTCTTAATAATAAACTCACCTCATATTTCCGCTATTTATTTTGCACCTATAAGAACTTTTTTAAAATGATGAATGACATTTGGGCGACTGAGGCAGATTTTGAGCAAGGGAAACTTTGAGGATCTATTGAAGTGGCTTTTGTTACATCAGCAGGAAGCGAACAGTCCACGAATCAGGGCGAGAGTGAGAGATTAGGGCCACGGCGGCGAGCGGAAGAGTGCAGGGACATTGAATTGTGTCTTAAACAGGCGGCAGTCAAGCATGTGTGCCTGAACAATATGGGACCCCCCAAAGGCAGATTAAACGGAAGCAGGGGGACATTCTTTCCCGTAACTGCAAACAACACAGAAGTGCTATAAGGCCGCTGTTCAAAGTGTGGTGCTGCACAAACATATTGATGGTGCTTAAGGTCTTTCACAGCAAATCCATCAAATATAATTATATCTTCAGACAATTACAATCTAATCTTGTCGGCTTTTGGTGGTTTGGACATGGTGTAAAGCAGATTTATTCCAGATTGTGACCTTTACTGCAATTAAGACTAAGATAAAACATTTCTCACTTGAAAGAGAACATGTGGAACTGCTCTGTCTCATTGTCAATAGACAGTAACATACACTCAAATCAAGATGCATTTAGTCCAATTCAAACAAATGTAAACTTAGTTTTATCGTTTATAGTAGTATAGTTATACAAAGTTCAGACTTAAAGCTGGGGTACCTAAAAACTTACTCTGTAAAGAATACATTATATTTGACCACATGCTGTCTCTGCCTTATTAGAAAAACATATCATCCTTTTCAAACTGATAAGAAACAGCCCTGAGTGACTATTTGACACTTTGGGCTGAGAGAGAGCTGATTGGCTCAGAGAGGGTGGGCCTCTTTTGTACTTTTCTGTCTGAAAAAGCATCTAAAGATGTGACCAAAGTAAAAAATATGTGCATGTGAAAGCTTGTAATTGATCTATTTGTCATATGTGACATTTATTTGATCACAAAGCTCCATTATTGTGGTTTGAAAGTTAGGTACCCCAGTTTATGTTTCAAATAAATGAATAAAAATAATATCAAGCAAAAATCCAAATGTTATGCCTGATTCATCCCTGTTCTTGTAAGTCTACCAATCATCAAACAGTTCCACTAAATAAAATACAGAAGTAGTTGACAGTTTTCCCTCACCCTGGCATCTCCGTTGGTCGGCCTCGCTCCGTGGTTGAACGCTTGTGCTGGGTCCTTGTGATAGACTTTCAAACAGGAGTGGTCCGTGATGTTTCTGTAAGCAGAAAAGGTAAGCGGGGATAAGTACGCAGCCCAGGAATCTCCATCTGACCACGGCCGGTTGTGCCTCATCCTCCTCCACTCCGGCGCGACCGTCCCATACATCGACACGGGCCTGTTATGGGACATTCCGAGTCCGTAAAATCCAAATAAACCTCCTTATTATTCAAATGTTGAGAGACTGACTGTGGCATATGTGGCCGCCCCAGCCCCAAAGAATCACAAGACAATGTTTTACAGCCCAGATACAGGTTTAGTCATAAAGCACACAATGAATGGGAACCAGAGAACAGGGCAAAGTCGAATTTTTTTTTTTACACCCTGCAATAATAATAGTGTTTTAGTCTATAGCCAATCTGTCTGCTGCATTATTGATAAGGCATGTTCGTGAATGCTAATCCAGGGGGGGCTAAAGTACAAAGGGGCCAGAGAATGAGTTTCCCAAACAGCATGTAAATCTTACAGTAGGCCGTATACACACAGCAGGGAGCCAGACTGACGATGTGAAAATGATCAAGATGCAGAAATGTTTCCAAAAAGCTGTTTTTTGAGATATGATATATGCTCTTAATGTTCATTCTGCCTTAAAAGATCTGACAAAAAGCAATCAGGCAGACAAAAAAAGACAAAGGAGAGAGATAGAGAGATTGGTTGTACAGTAAGATGTGGCTGGTATGGACATGTATCTGGATTCATTGCTGGTCTGAGAAATTATATGTAGAAAGATAGGAATTACTGTATATTTGCATTTGTATTACAGTCTGTTCTGAGTCATGGGCATTTCCTTTTACCAGGGCGAGTGCGGCCAGGGCTACTCTATATTTAACTATATTTAAATGATTGAATGGTGATGATGGGGGGGTTATTACTAGTTACAGCTTTAAGAACTGTAATTATAATATGAGACCCAATGGGGGACCCAAATTAGTTGAAGATATTTTCAGCGTGTGAGTTTTTCATTTGCAACACTTGAACATCCATCAAGAGATATTTTAGTGATTCATTTGAGAAAATATCTGGTGTATTCATAATAGAAGACATGCCCTATATATATTATATACTGAATTGTCTTCAACAAGCTTTCATCGACAACTGTAAATTCTAACTAACCCATAGCGGTTGTTCATTCTGGAAGAAGCGAATTAAAGTGAATTCAAACAGGCTAAATAAGCGGTAGCCTGGTCGTACCACACCATAGTACAAATTACATTTCGTACTAAGGTCTGGCGGTGCTCCATTGAGCTCCGTGAACAGGTGGGAGGGGTTAACTCCTTTTGCAGATTGAAACGATTGGATCTGAGTTTACCGTGACATATGTAGTGCGCCCGAGTCTGTTGTTAGCATTTAGCATTTAGCCTAGCCATCTCCTTTGCCGCTAACGGAGCCCGTGGGGAGTAGTGCAACCATTTTTTCCACTGATTACATTTGCTAAACATTACCCTTGCTCCTGCTTCAATTTCTTGATAGAACCAGAGCAGAATACTTTACCATCGCATTTTTCGCCATTGCCAAACTACAACCTGCCCGTTCGACGCAAACTCTTGACGTCACCCACAACTAACTACAACACCCGCCTTCCGCGCTCTCTGAATGGTCGGTCGAAATTTAACCGATTGTAATCGCAAACACAGGGACTAGACCCAGACGCTACATGAAGTGAAATGATGATTGAAGGGAGTGTACGGATGCTAAGGCCAGGCTATATAAGCGGGAATCTGAAGAAAAAGTCCCTCTTAGCAACGTCATAGTAACCAAAGAGCCAATGAGGAATGAGTCCAAAGACAAATGCAGGGATAGATGGCACCTGATTGGTAAAGTGTTAGGGCACTGGATTAGGACAATGTCAAAATAAATTGTGATGAAAATAGTTGCAGAGTAGGAGGAGCTGACTTTTAAATGTAAGTCTGTGGTCTTACCTGATGTCGGAGAGTTCGTAGTAGACGTTCCTCATGTCGTCCTTCACGTAGACGGCCACACTCGGCGACTCCAGCATCTTCATGTTGAGCTGCTGAGGGAAGGCGCTCACAAACAGGGCGCGCACCGTGTCCATGCTGGTCACCTCGTTGGGCATTCGGATCTGCTTCGTCTCGTCGCCGTATTGTAGGTACAAAACGCCTGTGCACAAGGACAGTGCGAGGCCATTTTGATTAGGAGAAGAGATTGTAAATACGTTTTAGACAGTAATTATGTAAAGTACATAATTTCCTCTGTAAACCCTCTGTATCAAACCTAAACTTAGACCTCAACCAAACACTGTAATTAGTTTTTTCAGCCAATCTATTCCCAAATATTTGGATTTGACTAAAATGTACATTCTGAACAGAAATGTACTGTGAAAATAAATAACACAAATAAGTTTGTTTGACTTTTGGGAAGAATAAACAGTTTTGAGACACAATATTACAATAATTGTTTAATTAGTTTAAAATGCATAATGAAACTTCTGGCCATTACAGTTGTTGGAAAGTTGGAAACAGAATCATTTGTGACAAAAAGCTTTCAAGATAAGTTCAATCTACAATCGGATTTGGTTCTTCATCTTTTTGCAGATATTTCTGAACTTCTCTAGGACAGAGCTCTACAGACTTTACTGCAGTTTTAGCTCTTCATCTTTAGACATGTGGGAATGTTGAAGCATTGGCAACATTTTGCAGGATTTTGGCAAAATATAAAATTGCAATATTTGTGACAAACAATTAACTATTTTGTGCATATGAAGCATTTGTGCAAATGAGTTCTACTCTATAGAACCATATGTGAAATAAAAAGTATGTTTTATCTTTTCTCACAACATTACTATTGTCAGACAAACCTGAGTTGTGCAACACATGTTGATAGTCTGAATGAAATATGAAAAAAATCTCCTTTGATGTGAGAAAATCCTTCTGCCCGACAAGACTTGTTCCAGTGACAAATCTTCCAAGTACTTTCTCTTTTGCTAATCTTGAGAAGTTTCTATTGTTTAAATCATTGCATAAATTTCAATTTGCCTCAAACATAGTGATTTGAATGAAATTGTCATTCACATGCAGCCCTAATTATGAGTAATGCTCATGTGAGTATTTTTCATGTAACTAATGTCTGAGAACTAATCTCAGATCCAGTTCTGGAGCATGATTAATGCAGAGGGTGTGTTTCCGTGAGTTTCACACAAACAAACCAAGAGCACTACACAACTAAACTAAAGACCACACACTTCTAACAAGTAGGAGTGACAGTTGTTAGCAGTTCTGTGAAATAGTAGAAAGCTGTTGTTTGGCTGCAGTCGCCATGTGCCCATGTTGGAACAGTAAAACTCTGCATCACAGACTGAACCTCTGAACTATGGGTGTGGCTTTTGTGCTGCTTTGGCAAAACAGATGTGTCTCTCTCCCACAATATTTATAGACACGCCCACTGCGCACTTGTATAAACAATGACTTGGAAATAAAAAAGCGTGTCCATTCTCTGCAGCCGTGATTTTATCTGCCGTTAAAAACACAATGAAACAATGGTCCTGTAATTGATTTGTTTGGAGATTTTAATAGCAACTTTCCACATTAAAGCATTGCTCCTGCCAGACGTAAATCACTCCTACCTTTGCAAAGTGCGCCGAAAATAGCAGGTTTAAGAGAAATGGTCTTAGTGTCGTGCCATGAAGGGGTAGTAAAAGTTTGCAGATGTTGGAGAAATTTCATACAAGATCCTACACGCTCCACGAGACAGAGAGAGAGAGACAGAAAGACAGAAAGAGACAGAGAGAGACAGAGACAGAGAGAGACAGAGAGAGAGGCATAGAGAGACAGAGAGAGAGACAGAGCGAGAGACAGAGAGAGAGACAGAGAGAGAGAGAGACAGAGAGACAGAGAGAGAGACAGAGCGAGAGACAGAGAGAGAGACAGAGAGAGAGAGAGACAGAGAGACAGAGAGAGAGGCATAGAGAGACAGAGAGAGAGACAGAGCGAGAGACAGAGAGAGAGACAGAGAGACAGAGAGACAGAGAGAGACAAAGAGAGAGGCATAGAGAGACAGAGCGAGAGACAGAGAGAGAGACAGAGAGACAGAGAGACAGAGAGAGACAAAGAGAGGCATAGAGAGACAGAGCGAGAGACAGAGAGAGAGACAGAGAGAGACAGAGCGAGAGACAGAGAGAGAGACAGAGCGAGAGACAGAGAGAGAGACAGAGACAGAGACAGAGAGAGAGAGGGACAGAGAGAGAGAGAGACAGAGAGAGACAGAGAGACAAAGAGATATCAAAAGTGCTAACGTTGTTCTTTATGCTCTGTCTGGGCAACTTAACAAAGTGGCCTTTTTTTTCAGCCTAAACTTTATCTCCCCCCTGAGAGCAGTTATTTTAACAGTCTGCTAGTTTCTCCTGCCAGATGTTAACAAGCCCAGAGCAAATGAGTTCCGTGACAAAGCGTGCCATTCACGTGGATTAGAATTCTTCACCTCAGCTTCCATTCAACAATATTGAAAAAGAAAGTGACAAGCTCAGGTCTAAAGAGGAGTCTTGTTGCATTCCTCAGAGCCTGGTTTCACTGTGAATCGCAAGCAAATGGTGTTTCCGGAGCAAATGGCAAGAAAATAGACCTTCAAGTTGAAATAGTTTCGCCAAAACACTATGAATAAAAGCTTGTATTATACTTTCATGCAGAGAACATGTGTAATCATAGTACTACTTACTTTAATACAGCCAGATATGTTTTGTATCGTTTCACAGATCTCCAAACTCCAAATTTGAGTTCCCGTTTACAGGAGCAAATGTTTTCCAGTGTGAGTTTTTGTGCGGCTGTGGGTGGGACGTAATCAAATGGTGGCCCCTTTTTGATCCTCCCTTCTATCCCACTATGAACCCCCACGGACATGGCAATTGTGCTCATGTTTTGAAAGAATTGAAAAGTAGGGGCGGGATTTTATCTGTTTTTGGAAGTGGAATTCCCTATGGAGTATATTAGCTATTTTTTTTAGCTATCTGTAAACTTTATAAAACTTGTCTGACGATTTATACAGTGGTCCCTTTAGCAGCCTCTCTGTTTCGAAAATATTGGCGCGTACAATTTTGCCTGCTTTTCCAACAACATATACATCATATAACCACATCATATATACAGTATAACATGACAGTTACTAGTAGTTAGAAAATGTTGTGGCTTGTGTGCACTTTGGTGATCAGTGACTACCATGGTCTTCCCATAGCCCTCAGTTCTGCTCCATTTTACAGTGTATGCACAACTTTTGACAGCTGCAGCAGCACTCAGACCTACAAACAAACAGGTCTCTGTGATCGCCCTTAAGCAGTCGTGAGCTCAGGTGGTTAGAAAAGTGTATAAAATGTGTGGTGAGGGGTTTTACTGCCTTAAAACAAACAGCGGCTACATCAAGGATTGTGCTTATTTTTTGAACATAACCTCCGAGATAAAGCAGGGACCACAGTTTAGCATATTTAAAAAGAGAGGTTTAAAGTGTGTCCCAAAAGTTTCATTCAATTCCTTCTGGTCCAAAGACATGCCACTCAAAAATCTCATAAAGAATAATAATTAGAGATGTCCACTATTAAACTAATACAGTAAGTGAAAGCATTATTGGCCATGCACTTTTTCAACCATTCGAAAACAAATGTTAAACCTCTTGGCAGTGAATGCAGTGGAAACCAAGTAATGACAGAAGAAAAGAAGATTTGCCAGGTCAAGGAAATGAAAAAATATCTTCTTTAATTAAACAGGTGCTGAAGTAAATCATAAATTGTAAGTAGACCTGCTGCATTTTAGTTATGAAATAAAAATAAAGCTGCCTTAATGGGTCCAAGGAGATCACAAATACAGCGCTTATGTAACAGCCAGCTGGGAGTTTGAATGTATGTTGCTTTAGCCACAATTATGTGTGAAGTATAATTTGTAGTTTTTGAAAAGTCATTAATCAACTGTCAAAAACAGATCGCTGCATGCTCAGGTTGGCAGGTAAATGCTCCAAACCAGTTGTGTTAGTTTGAAGTGTATTTTGTGTGTACCTAGAGAGCGGTCCTTGGTCTGGTTGGTGGAGCGCACCACGGGCAGACTGGCCCTGACCCGACTGCCCCGGGTGAAGGCGGTGGGCGCGTCCCCCTCAGACATGGCCTCCAGAGAGTCCAGCGAGGCCAGGGAGATGTGGTCCACCTGGTCCCCTGCGCCCGGCTGCGGACTGGGGCCGTGCTTCGGGCTTCTGCTCTGGAGGACACAGGACCAGGAGAAGATCAGACCAAACAGACCAAACAAACATAAGACAGCTATGCTAATATCGTTTATATAACTCTATAGTAGTTATTCAAGCTTAAATCATGTAACCATTTTTCTAGTAAAATATATTTCTATCTTTTCATTAAATGTATGTTGTGTGGACGTCTGAAACGTTGCAGATCTTGAATAATTAAATCAAGGACAACTTGTGTTAAAAGGCATTTCAGAGGATTTCATGCTTCTTTTGACAGAGAGAGGCATTGACCTCGATTAAAAGAACTATGTGAAATGACCTGATCCCAGTTAGAAACAAATGTAATGTTCCTTCCTTATTTATATGAATGCATTTCTATTCAATAAATAACATGTGACAGAAAATATCTTGTGAAGCTCTATTGACCAGCAGTAATTGCTGGAGCATTAAATAACAACTATTTGTTCTGAAGTGACAAATTGACTGAAGATGAACTTCAGCATGTGTTGTATTTGTCACTGACTGACACAGTATAATTATTTCATCAATGCCATATTTAAAGAGTCATATAATGCTCTGAGTCACTCATTTATTCATGCTTGAAAAACAACACATGTAGATCTGTTTGTATTCAGCACCACAACAAAACAAACCACACCACACTCCATAATGCATTTGAAAACCCTGTTGCTATTCTGGCTCGCATGCTTCTAAGTCAAGCGAAAGTTCACGTCCTTCGAGATAACAGACGACAAAAGAAAACCGAACTTACAAAGCCGCAGGTTCAACACAAACTATATGAACCAGTGATCAGGGACACGACTGTATCACGACTGTATCATCAGGAGATCGGGACCAGGCCCATGTCCGGTAATCAGATCCACTGTAACTGCGCTGACAATGGCCACAGCCTGGCGGACTCCTATGGCGCGGCTGAAAGGTGATCCAGACCAGGGGGACGGAGTGGGACAGCCAGTCAGGGTCAGCCAACACTGGGCCTTTTATGAAACGGCTCCTTTGAAAGAGTGCAGAGCCTTAAATGGAGGCTGATTCACCAGCCCAGGCCTATGGGGTTATATACAGACCACAGAGAGGGCTGTGTCAAACTGGCAATGGAGCGCTAAAGGTTTTACAAAGAAGACAAAATCAGCCAATGACTATTCATCTTGTTTCTGTGTGTATTTAACCAACACAAATGCTGCTTGTGCACAAGAATTGGCACAAGAGCTGTCATATAAATGCTATAAAAATCCTATATTGTGACTGCAATGTGTTTGTTAGTCAGATAAAAAATAAAAACACATTTAAAGCAATGTATAGTCATAGTTTAATATTTAATTTAATTCAATATTTTGAGTTTGTAGTTTTTTATTTGCAATAGGTAGTTTATTTCTTTTAATTTCATTGAATCTCTATAGCAGCATTTATGTATACAAATTCTCAATGCATACAGTATCAAACAAAAACTATATAGATGGACGATGCCAACCTGCGAGCTCAACGAAGCCTAAAACTTCTCCAGGATAGTAACAGTTGGAGTCACCCTCACCATTTTGCTGAAACGTCTGTGGTTTAGTGCTCTCTGAGATCCTGGGGTTTTTATATTGTTTTGATATTGTATTGTCTTTGTAAATCCAAGTATAAGACCCTTAGCTTCACAAAGAAACAAAGTATAGACAACTGTATTCTCTAGAGCAAGAGCAATATACTTAATAAATACATATATACTTGTATGTATACATCTGTAGTGCAAGAATATGGAGGAAGTGAGTCGTTAGCTGTGGGTTCAAATATTCACAGTGATGATGAAATGTTAGCGGCATGAGGCTCTGGAGTAAATGGGACTTAGGGTTAAACACACGGATGTAAATATGATAAGACACTCCTTTTCGAGTTTGAATCATCAATCAATCAATCAACGTTTATTTATAGAGCGCCTTTCCTACACAAGGCAACGCAAAGCGCCTCACAACCCATATAACATCATGCATAAATCATCAAACATTAGAATTTAAGTAAACATAAAAAGACAGATTAAGAGCACAAGATATATAAAATCACACAAGTAGTTAAAAACCGTAAAACATTAAAATCACACAAGGGATTACAATCATAAATAATCATAAATAATCATAGCGCATTAAAAAGATTAAAGATAAAAACAAATATAAAATCATTCACTTGTATGCACAGCTAAAAAGAACTGTTTTCAGTTCAGTTTTAAAAACTGCTAGAGTAGACGCCTGTCTCACACTCTCGGGAAGACGGTTCCAGACTCTAGCTGCATGAATCTGAAACGCAGCCTCCCCATGTCTAGTTCCGACTCTTGGCACTAACAGAAGTCCAGTCCCTGTGCTCCTCAGAGCCCGAGTTGGTTCATATGGCACCAACATGTCGCGGATGTACCCTGGTGCGAGGCCATGGAGAGACTTGTACACAAGTAAAGCTACTTTAAAATCTATTCTCTGAGCCACAGGAAGCCAGTGCAGAGACCTGAGGACCGGACTAATGTGGTCGTACTTCCTGGTTCTAGTCAGGACTCGAGCTGCAGCATTTTGGATGTACTGCAGCTGTTTTACCGCTTGTTTAAAGAGACCTGTGAACAAGCCATTGCAGTAGTCCAATCGACTGGAGACAAATGCGTGGATAAGAATCTCCAAGTCTGCTTTAGACACAATGTTCCTAATTTTAGCAATGTTTCTTAGGTGGAAGTAAGCTGATGATGTCACAGATGATATGTGGCTATTGAAATTTAAGTCTGAGTCCATTATTACTCCTAGATTTCTGACCTGAGTTGAGGGTTTTAGGGAGAGAGACTGGAGGTGGCAGATAACGCTCTCTCTTTGTTTTTGAGGTCCGAAAACAATCATTTCAGTTTTTCATCATGTACAATATTGTAATAACTATTTGTAAATGAATGTTCGATGCACATTTAACTTGAAAAATATATAAATACCCAATAACAATCAAACACATGTGGTCCCATAGTGCACATTCAGACACATTATTGCATCAATGCATGACATGTGAGGTCAGGTCAGGTTGAATTAGGGCAAACAAGAGCAAATGTTAGTGAAATAACAAAACAAAACACCACACTTTTGTAAACAGATGCACAATGCAGATGACAAAAGCACCAACTTTGCGGGGCACTTGGAGTCTCAGCAGGTAGCTCTGAAAGTCCAGCTCCGAGTGCAGAGCTGAGAGCATGTGCTGCCAACACTGATGAAGAGGAGGGGAGAGAAACATATGTCTGATGAAGGACAGCAGGGGGTGGAAGAGAGAGAGAGCAAGAGAGAGAGAGAGAGAGGACTGGACATCACACTAAAGTAACACAGTAACCGCGGCAACAGGTCAACAGCAGCGCAAACAAGAGGGAGAGGTGCGAGGAAGGCCAGGTGCTGAACATGTGTGCCGCAAAGACAGATGAGGAACAGATAAAGACTGGATTCGTGTTTTGGGAGACTTCTGAAAGAAATCCACGTCACTAGAGAAGCTCGCTCTGAAAACAATTTGGGTCTGATGGGTTTGCACATCTTTAGATCAGCTAATTCAGAGGGAAAAGTGAAAAAGAGGGGACCACCCACACTCGGCCAATCCGCTCTCAGCCCAAAGCGTCAAATAGCGACTTACAAGAATGCATTAGATATGTTTGTTAAGAAGAAAAAGATGTAGCATGTTGTGTCTGAACTGCTTTGGTCACAACATAATTACTTTTACAGGACTCTTTCTGATGGACTAACTACTGTACATGCTCTTGCTAGTTATCAAACAAAAAATAGTGTTCGCATACATGCCTTGCTTATATCCCTAATTATTTGTAATGATGTAAAATAAAAAAACAAAATAATTACCTTCTAATCTAATCTATTTGCATACATATCTGCAGCTTGGAGGCTCATATTTTCTTACATATATACTAAATAATCAAACAATTCTATGGTGAGACTAACTACTAAAAACACATATGTCTATTTTAAAATGAAATGCTTTATTTTGATGCCATAGAATCTCTAGAGTCATGTGATCTTAGCCTGACACAGCACCCTAATACGCTGATGTATGCATAATTCCACATTAAAATACACTTAGGTTGCAATATCAATGATTAAAAATACATGAATAAACCACACTTAATGAACAATGTCCTTCTAGGTCACCTGGAGTTGGCTTGACACCTGAAACCGTCGGGTGCGTTGGAAACAGAGACCCAAGTGAATGATTTATAAGTCTGTGAAAAAAAGGGCCTGGACATGAGACATAAGGAGCAGTGAGTTAATCAAATGGACTTCTTCAATCCCCCTCTAGCACCGGCCGTGTCTAAGTGATGGTTGTAAGACAATATAGTGACAAAAACAAAGTAGTGAGGGGGCGGGTCTGAAGGAGAGCAAACAGGCCCAGAGCTTTGTCAACACCATCACACGAGACAAGTGTGAACAAAGACCCTGCGGAAGATAAAAAGGTTATTCTTCAACACTTTGTAAATAGCTGCTTCACAAATTATTGCATCCAGTGTTGTGGATTCAACGGACGCCATGTTTAATTTAAGGTACAATGTTATTAGGGAGTGGCCATTTTGGATTTATTTTTGGGAACTGATACAAATGCCAAAGTTTATAGAATGATGACAAAACAAAAAAGTATCAAGGACATTGGGACGACTGCAGGTGAAGCTTGACATGAACATATTGATTTACATTTGCTGGAGCTGAAATCACCTGATTGATAATTGTTTATTGTCTCACTAGATCCTGAATTTGAGAGGTTCTAAGCCTTAAAAATAATATACATGCCATAAAGAAGGCCTTTTCGCTACAACTGTGGCCACAGCTGTCCTGGGGCAGACAAACAGAAGCGAGGCAACCCGTATGTGCCATTGGTGCACTGACCACAGCCAACCATTCACACACACACACACACACACACACACACACACACACACACACACACACACACACACGGGTGAAGTGTCTTGTCTAAGGACACAACAAAGGTTTGGCACTCTACAGCTGCAGCCGCCCCACTGTGGCAGCTGGTGTTCCTAGAGATCTCCCATCACAGTACTAACCAGGCCCTGCACTGCTTAGCTTCAGAGATCTGATAGGAGCTGGCTTTCACATACAGGTGGACACAAGCACCTTAGTCATGTGAGTTGTATAATGTAGTAGTAGATAAATTGCACCTGCAGTAAAAGGCATCATTAACTTTGAACACGTGCACTGTTTTACATTTGAATATAAGACTCAGCCCAAAAGGTCAGTCGTAGAACTCAGTCAACTCTTTACGACTTCCTCTTTTTCATTCACCCATTTGTGGTTAAACACTGAGTTGTGCTTTGTATTGACTCTAATAGCCACAAGTTCCTGCGTCTACCCAACCGCCTCCATGTGCGAGATGCCGGTCTCTAACCACAGCCCCAAACCTACTTTGACAACTCCTCTGCATTTCCTCCTCATAGATTTCTCCCTCTTCAGTCACAGAAGACAAGCTGCCATTCAGCGCCTGTCTGCTTTTGTACACCATTTACCCTGACAGTTATGATAGATGTGCTGCCCAGGGACCGCCATTCGCTTATATGCAAAATTATGACAAGTTATGCACCAAAAGAGCCATTTTCGAAAGCGCCTGGGAAATAAATTATGACATGAAATGATTTAATAATAGTGGTCTGAGGATAATTAATAGCGATGTGAAATGTTTGTGCAGGTGAAGCTTGTTTTGAAAGAGCAGCACAAAAAGAGGCGGGTTGCGTGCACGGGTGAGTCACACTATTGTTCCTGCAAAACTAAGCTTGAACTCAGGACATCCTGAAAACAGTCGTGCTCCAGCTCACAGCTCGGCAAAGAGGCAAAACTACAAGTGGAACATTAAAGGTGGGGGACCTCAATTGGAAATAACACAAAAAATAAATACAGGGGGGTTAAAAAAAAGGTATTTAGTCAGACACTGATTGTGCAAGTCCTACCACTTAAAGATGAGCGATGTCATTTTCATCATCATCACGTCGTTGTGTCCTTGGGCAAGACACTTAACCCCACTTTGCCTGAAGCCCCCACTGAAAGATCTCAGCTCCTGTGGACTCACCACCTGCAGGAGGATCAGTGAGGGGCTGGTGCTCTGTGGACTGGGTGCAGCTCTGGCCACCCCCCCGACCCAGAAATGGATTAAGGGGAAGAAAATGGATGGATGGATGGATGGGGTTAAAAAAAAGGTATTTAGTCAGACACTGATTGTGCAAGTCCTACCACTTAAAGATGAGCGATGTCATTTTCATCATAGGTATAATAATAATAATAATGATAATAATAATGATAATAATAATAATAATAATAATAATAATAATAATAATAATGATGACGATGATGATGATAATAATAATAATGTATTGTTTATAAAGTGCTTATACTTAGCTATGAATAACAACATGAGAAAAAAAACTCAAAGGTCTGTTTTTTGTTATTTTGTAAAATATGGTGGAATATAAGTATTTAGTCTTCTATAGAAAAAAAAAATCTGGCTCTCACAGGTCAAAGAGCTGTGAAAGAACTTTGAACACAAAGTTGTAGACCTGCACCAGGCTGAGAAGACTGGCAAGGGATCTTTGTCTTCACTAGTTTTCGCATGTATTCAAGTACTCTAACTTGAATGGGATGTTTAAAATGAACAGAAAGGGTGTTATTCACTGCAGCAAATTTAATATGTTAAGTGAATGGACAGAGACAATGAAAAACGCAAACCAGATGAAGTTAGAAGCATTGCCAATTATTCTATGCTATATGTATAGTTTTCACACACTACTGCTGAATACCAGGACTGTCAGTGGATCTCTCATTTAAAGCTCGGATACCTAACTTCTAGCACTTGATATCAACGCTTGTATTTTTGGCCTGTCACGTTTTTAGAGGATCTTTCTCAGAGGACCACCCTCACTTGCTCAACCCAAAGCATTAAAAAAACCATGTAGAATGAACTATGAAGACTGACGCACTGCCAGCCTGCCCTCACATGTTTATGCATCTGTGCAATATTGTGCAATAATGTCAGAATGTGCAATATGGAACCACTGTTACTTTACTCAGTCAGTACAGTAGTATCCAACCCTGTTACATGACTCTTTCTGTTGGCACAAGCAAAATGCATTATTCATGGAAAGGATACATGAACCAGCTTTAAATGGACTCAAACATAATATTATTTTAATTATGATATATATATTTTTTAATGAAGTCAAATTGGGGTAAATTCCAAGCCATAAAGCCATGCTTATGCCCTCATTGTCATGCTGTTTGCAATGTCCATACAATATTGTTTGAAAAGTACATTACAACTGGCTTATATAACTTTGCATTTCAAGCAGCCATTTCCACCATTTACGATGGAGACGGCTGCCTGATTTGAGGGACTGGCGCAGTCTCGGCTCCTGACAGCAGCCTGACATGCCGGGCCGAGATGTGCCGATTAAACCAAATTACCATTGTTAAGAATAATGACGCTCCCATCAGAAGCCTGCTGTGTCACTCACGGATTCTCAAAGTATACAGACATACAGTGCCTTTGAAAGCTCCCACCACACCTGCAACCTGCCCACAAAGAGCGCTGATTGAGGCTTACTGTACCTACGGTTATGTAATCAGCATAATCGTGACATTTACATGGCCCAGTTTTACCTTAAAAGCCATAAACTAGCAATCAGAGCAAGCGTACGAGCAAAGATATGGAGAGTACAGATGAAAATGGTCAAGTTTCACAATAGAGAAAAGTTGGGCTCAAATCCATACAGCATATGAGTGCATGGTTCAACTCCAGGTCAGCAGTGTGTAGGATTGGTTAATACTTTTCTACTTACGTTTAGGCCTAAATACCAATGTACTTTATGAATATGTAAATAAGTATATGATAGAAAATGGAAAATAATTATCCTGAATTGATCATTGATTGATTCATTCATTTTCGTCCCCTTTATCAGAAACATTTTGATTTCCCAGCCTTGGTTTTTCAGTGTGTGGGGTTAAGTGTCTTGCCCTGGGACACAACAGCAGACATCATTTGGAGCAGTGGGGGCTCAAACTACGACCATTAGACCCGCATTTTATTTTATTCAGAAACGTCTTGTCATTCTAAACCTACATCTTTTGATTAATAAATTATACATTGTTTTGTGAAAGTAAAATGTTGTGAACAAGTCAGACACAGGCTTCATCTTATTAGAACATATATTTTCA